CAGTGCCAGAGGTGCCTCCAGTGCCAGAGGTGCCTCCAGTGCCAGAGGTGCCTCCAGTGCCAGAGGTGCCTCCATTGCCAGAGGTGCCTCCAGTGCCAGACATAGGAACATCTGGATTTTCTGAGTTGGGAATATCTTTCCCATCGCCAGAAGAGTTTTCATCACCAGAGGAATCCTTTTTCTTATTTGCGTCCATATCGGTGTTCTCCTCGTAAAAGTGTAGTAGACGCTCAGGCTTTACCCACTTTCTCTGGGCTTTCACCTCTGCGGCCCATCTTGGTAATAGAATGGTGGCTCTTCTGTCTTCAGCATCGTTCAAAATTACCTGTGAGGTTTTATCCCCTGCTACTAAGATATCATATTCTAGGTTTCTTAAATCTCCAGGGTTCTTGATTTTATCTTTAATATCGGCTGGTATAATGACTTTAACTGTATCACCGAAAAGTCTTTTAAAACTGTTCTTGATGTCTTCAAGAGTCCCTTTGCCTAGTTGTTTACCGGCAAAGAGAATAGTGTGGTTCTTAGGTGATGTAAGATCGGTTGGCATTTTGGATAAATGGTGGAAGTTGCTATTGATGTATGCTGTTTGTTTGTTTGTTTGTTTGTTTGTTTGTTTGATGCAAATTGTAATTTATTCTCCTTGGATTGTTGGCAGTTTATATATTTTGGCTTGAGTTTATATTAGCACGGCTGGTTAAAATCCCCGCTTAATATTAAACCCCAAGTTAACTTAAGTCCCTAAAACCAAAAATAAGTACTGACCTTTTGATCCGTATTAAAAAACGCTATTGCCAGCTGGAATGCATTGTTTAGAATGTTGATCGGCGTATTACCGCCGTTATATAATATAGAATTGCCGTAGAATTACGCTGTAGCTTCTAGTATAATATAGCAATTGGCCTTTTTTGGAAGCAGCTAGCTAACTCATGAAGTAGTGAGAAAATACTATTTATTATTTGATAGAATTATGTTACTAGACATGCGGAGATCTTATAGTTAAATACATAAATTTCTTTGTGAATGACTTAAGAATACTAATTATCACCCACTTATATAAAACTACACTTCAATAGAGTACAAGCTTGATTCAGATATTGTAGAGTATAAGCTTCCTTTTGACTCTCGAGAAGCTTTCTTCTGTTCCATCTTTACTGTCGATTCCGCCTTAATATCCGGCCTGGAATACGCTGCGGTGGCTTGACTTTGCCCAGTTCCACGAGGCTGGAACTCTGTTTCCATCAAATCAATACTTTTATCGTCAATACCCTCAACGATTCCTGACCTAATAATAGCTCTAAATTCGTCATCTCCAGAAGCTATAGATGATTAACATAATTTATAGTATTCTCGAGAAAAAAACATTACTTGCCTACAACAGCCATGTTGCCGGATAAGCGACTTCGCTCTGCTTTTATTTTATTCACAATAATCTTATCGAACGGCCGGTTAGGATTAGGATTCAGGCATCTCCAGAAATCCGACTCTTTGAAAGGCACAAATCCAGCTTGGCGATGTGCAAGCCCACACCATACGACAAGTAATTCCTGTGATCCATATTAGAAAGCTGTATATACGAAATGGAATACAACGTACATTTCGAGGATCAAGAGCTTGCAACGCTACAAGCTGCTGTTGTGCTAATGAAAGTTGTTCATTGCTCTCGAGATACCAAAAAAGAACGATTTTCTTAATTGAGTCTCTGTAAAGCTTTTTGCTAGAATACTCTCGCCGTTCTTTCGCCAAATCCATTTTGTTTTGCTCGAGGGTTTTGAGATCCTTATCAGTCGTCGCAGCTGATTGCTGCTTTGCAATTGTTTTTCCTTTACCTGCAAGCTCCTGCAATTTATCTCGCACGCGCTCATCGTGATGTTGTCTTGCTGCCAAACTTAAAGCCAGCGGAAGGGTAGCCGCGATACCCATACCTTTCACTGCAAGAATGACTGTCTCGTATTTCTGTAACCCATAATCCATTCCGTAAGGGCCGTCAAGAAGAATTGTCTGCCCCTCTCTAAGTCGAGAGATGGCGTTTCCGTGATTTCCACGGCGGGATAATAAGAATGTAATTTCTGTAACTGCTCCACAGGCATCTTCAGGTGGGCACCAGAAAGCTATCGCGGTACAACTTTGGAAAATATCATACTTGAACCAAAATGCTGGGAGAAACAGGTAGAAATAACAGCCAGGCTGCAATTTAATAGGATGCGCGAGCCGAATTGTAAGCTGAAGTGCATCTGCATCACCGTATAGTTGAAGTATTGTACCAGAGCGACCAGAATAGAGTACTTTTAAGATCCGAAAAATTGTTGTAAATAACCAAAATCCACAAGACGCTCCAACAAGTATTCGAGCGATGGTTGAAGACACTTGTAGTACATGCCAGAAGAGTACTCCAATTGCACCCATAGCAATAACTCGGTGGTTCCAAAGAAACCATCTCCCAAGTATTCTCTTGATGATTGGAATAGGCATACAAGAGGCTCCTAATATAAGGCCAAATGACTGATCCAAATTAGCACACGCGTATACTAGTGCTACTAAACAACTTACGATCCATCCTGAAGTTAACAAGGTATGCTGATCAGAACCTTGTTTGTAGATTAAAGAGATGACAGAGTGTATGACTGCTTCTATAGCGGCGATGACTCCAATAGATGCATGAGCGAAATAATATGATTGTCGCGATATGTTCAGAGCATCAATTATTGGAGCCCGACCCCCCATACAGAGAGGAGCAAGATTTACGATGCTTGCTAGAGCTACTCGCTTCTGTATTAGGCTCCATTCTGGGAGAGGGTATATGGGAATTAGAATAAGCAAGATGTTGCATGTTGAGAAGCATAAGAGGATTAGTGCTTGCGACGTTGTTATTCCGTGTCCTGGACGAAAAAGCCAAGGAAGGAACCGAGGGTATACAACATGTTTTAAAAAAAAGTTTTTAGGGCTCGGAATAAAATTCTTAACTGCCCACACAATAAGAGAAGCAGCAATGAATCCAAAAAATGCAATAAAGTACCAAATGTTCTGGTCAAGTTCCATTTTTTGCGTATAACATAGGCACTATGAATGATGTTTTGGGGGGATGGGGGATGAAAGGGACATTTGATGGCTTTAAATTCTTGTCAATAGCGCCTACGTTCAGCGGCTAAGTTTAGTACCCAGTGATTAAATTTAGCAGGGTGCCTTATTTGCGGCAAACTTTAAATTTAGTACAGCGCTTAATCTTAAGCAGCACCAGGCTTAATAATTTCTCTTTCCGTCCATGTAGAGCGCCGGCGACTAACTCGCCTGATGCTACGCAACGGCGATACAGTCCGGGCATGTGGGGTCAACGGCGGTTACAGCCCTCGGAAGTGTGGAAACTAGGACCGGAGTACGCTGTAGTTGGCTATGTCATTCAAGAGTGGTCCACTGTGCAAGAGGCAGCGCCTATTCGTCTTTAAAAATAATTCATGAAGAGAGTGTCTCATAGATAAAAGCGAGAATGCTCGTCTCCAATCCCAATCCTGAATTCTCTAACAGCTCAGATCTTCCATACCAACGCCTTCACAGACATTAACTTATCTCCATTTCAATACTTCAATATGGCCCGTTGCCGTTCTCGTGTCAACAAAGATCCTGTCCGGGGCATAAGGAACCGGCAATACGGCCTCTCTAGGAAGGCACATTTATTTCACAAAGACTACAACGCGGATATTTTGATTGTTATTCAACGCCCAGACGGAAAATATGCCGGGTATCAATCCAAGCCTGGTTTACTGCGACAATTTCGATATATTTCAGATGATAGTCTTTTGAGCCCATCAAAATTTACCAAGACTCAGGAGTCGGATAGTGATGGTATCTCACGAGCTTCTTCAATACGGTCTTCTTCTATTGAGTCGCCTATCAGCTCTAGCTCGTCTAAGACACCTAGCTTGAGCAGTGAGCTCAGCTCAATCAAGACACCAAGTTTGAGTAGTGAGCTCAGCTCATTGCCGTCAACACCTGCATCACCGACTTCAATGAATATACTTCCTCCAGCACCAACGCCACCCCAGATCGGATATAGCGAAACATGGACGCCTTCTAATATCATGTCTTCAATCGACCCAGCAACTTTTCTATCTTTTGCCCCGCATGACGTTGATGCATCTCTTAGCGACAATGAGATTGCGGAGCTCCTTTGGCCAGATGCTGGTAGTGGTCCCTCTAGCTCTGCAGACATGGCTATTGAATGGTCTCATCTAATTCAGCCAAACCCAGTGTCTCTTCCTCGACGAGAGGCTATTCTATCATTGCTGGACCGGTACTTTGGCGATAATGATGCATATAACGTTGAAAGGGAATTATAGTAGAATTTATAATTAGACGTTTAATGTAATAAATAAAAACTTTTTTAAATATTATAAAAAAATCCCAGAGGCTTAATACATACGTGTAAATAAGGGCTTTATGAGCGGCAATTGTCGCTGCATATATATGTTTAAAAAAGAAAAAAAAATTCTAAAAAACTATGCTACCCTACTTAATGTTTTAACTAAAGCATCTATTTCCAAGTCTACTTGTTTCCGCTCCCCTTTAGCTAGCATGTCGCTGGAAAACAGCGAATTATGTTGCCTGCTACCAAATGGAGTTTCTAATCCCTGATCAAGTACTAATTTCTTTAATGGATAAGGGCAATTGCTAATGGAATGTTTGTTTCCATCTATGCCATCCATTCGAACAGAGATAGCAGTGTTTAAAGACAATGCAGCCAATTTGAGTTGGCGGCAAAAAGGCCGATAGTTCCGGCAGCTATCCAGAACCGACTTAGTACAAATAAGAGCCTTTCTTTCCTTTCCTTCACTGCCTTTATAATAAAAACAAGCGTTAATTTGCTGAAACTTCGAAAGAAGATCCAGCAGTCCATGGCCCGGCGAGATGCGGCAACGTACTGCAATGGCGCATATTTCAGGCGAAGTGTAAAATCGGGGCACTGTTTCAAGCTCAATATAAAACAGACAGCTGAATAGCTTACTGGATATAGATTCAATATATGATCTAGTATAGCTTGCCTCGCCGCATTGTATAATAACGTCTGGATTTGTAAGACAATCTGCGCGTGCGTTGGACAAGGCTAACTGGAAATGTTTTTTTCCCAAATTGGCAGCGCTTAATGTAGCGGAGTGCTGTAGCTTTCTTAGATGCCAGGTAAGCTTTCTGCCGAAGGATATTTTATCTTTCTTCGCTTTAAACTTCTTAACGTCTGGAAGTTGGTTTTTGCAGGCTGTAAATGTCCACTTCTCAATGAAGAGGGTAATTATAAAATAAATCCCTGTATTCTCTCCCTCTTAGTTCATATACTTGACTGATGTTCATTTTATGGCAAAGTGTACCGATGTCATTCCCAATGGCACTATCAAAGTGCTCCCAAAAAGGCACCGAATTTAAACTAGTTGAATGCCGCAGGTCTCGCAAAAGCTGCCACATTGCTGTAGGGCGAGCACCATCAACTTGAAGAATTCTCAGGCCCGCTGTTGGCGGCTTTATTATGAGAGGACTCTGATTTTGGGTTCGACATAATATACATCTAGCTAGCTGAAATCTCCATGGGCTGGATTCCTGTCCTATTTGTGCGACGCATGCGCTGCAAAGTCTATGTCGACAGTCTAGGGTAAAAGTCGAACTTTGAACAAGACAGACAGAGCACGCATGATGGGTGTATATATTTGAGATACCTGTGCAAGATTGGATGTTGTTACAATGCTTTTTTATAACATCCTTTGTAGCATCAGCGGCTATTAACTGAAATTTCTTTCTTATATCGCGGCTGAGGTTGGGAAACCCTGTCTTGATTCCGCAGGCTTGCATTGGTTTTGCATAGATTCTGTCATAGACACTTCCAGGGACGAAGGCTTGAAAAATCATTAGATTGTCTTTTCATTAGTAGAAATACAGCGCATATGGTATTGAACCGACTAACCCGGCATATTGGAAGGGAATGCATCTAATACAAGAGCAGACGCTATCACTCTAATGCTGTCTATGCCTTGATGGCTGCAGGCTTGTACAAAACCTGTAATATGATCAACTAGTTTTGTGGGCAATGGGTGTAATATCCTAGTAGCTGCGATTATATTAAATGGAAAGAATGGCTGCGCCGCATACTGCGCAATTGCTGACCGAAATAAAAACTTCCATTGGGTGGCAGAAAATTCTAATCCGAGGTTTTTTCGGTGAGTAGCGGTAGCTGATGCATCAAAGCAGAAGCAGTTGCATAGTTCTTCTTGAGTTAAGAAGCTTATTCTGAAACATCGGTGACTCAACTGTTTGATCTCTGCAAACGTACGAGCCATGAGTGGCTCTGAACTGCGCATCTCAGATAGTATACTGGTGGTAAGTTCGAACCATAGGGCATCCGCACTGTATAATTCTGCCTCATCCAATATTAAGAAGATCTTAGTTTGAATAATATCTTCCTCAGCCATCGCACTGAGCGCCCAACGACTCAGAAGATGGACAACCTTTTTCATGCTTCCAATATCTGAGACGAATATAAGAGTTATGTCACAGAGAGATGATGATATAACTTTATAGAGTCCAAGTGAGGCGACTTCAACGTCATGCGACACACCCTTCAGTGGATGGTGGATCCACTGATTATATTGGCACCCTTCAATTGTTTGGGGAGTCTCTTCTTTTGGCGATAGTTGCAGCTCGCAGTCAAGCAGTAGCCTGCTACTTTGACTGGGCCACCGCGCCAGCGCCAGGCTATAATTTACCATAGAATAGTCCATGAAAAAGTTTGAAAGAAATCGTTTTTTTTCCTTCCCTCCAATCGCCATTACCACTGAAGGCCTTTTCTCTCCCATTTGATCCAACAGTCTGTACGAAGCCATATTTTCTAGTAAATAAAGCCTCTGTGATTCAGCTGGGGCTGGAACAAAACGAATAAGAGTATTATCACCAGGCATTGAGATGAATTTGAAAAGCCAAAACGTTCTTGTTTATTCGAGAATTAAGGACTTCATCCTTTCTTAGCTGGGCTTTATACTTGGATCCAGGGCTTATTATAGGCGCTAATAACGGCGAGGCATTAGAGTCTCGTACGAAAACTAGCCTCAAGCCAGTGCTAATTTTAAGCAAATCTGCAGGGGCTTAAAGGCGTCCCATCTTAGACAAACCCTATGTAAATATTAAATATAAAATTTCTACTGGTAACGGGCAAACCTCTTTCTCTTTTTGAACTGCTAAGAAGACAGATCGCAATGGCCATGAAAATGCAAGAAAACTATATTGAAGGTATCATCCGAGTGCCGCTTACGCAGTTTGTCGCAGAAGAGAGCCGCAACCACCCGCCAAACTGCATTACTGTCTGTGGCTTTGAAGGCGTTCTCCAAAATCCTAGGCATCAGATCACAGGGTACATTAGTTATCAGCTACAGAACAAGTTATTAAACGATCTTAAGCTTTCTCCGAAAGAGTTCAAAAAAACAATTGGTTCAGCTGCAATTCCTACCATCGCCGACCAAGATATACATTGTTTAGTCAACGGTAGCGCCTTGGAGGCTGCACAGCAATTGCACAAGTCGGGAGGCTTAGCTGAGTGCACCGTCCAAATTTGCTATCTGCCTCCCCGTGAGTGCAATCAGTATTGCAGTTTCATCGCACATACTAACCTGTGTGCCAGCTCAATCAAAAAAATTCTCTGATGGAGAAATTTTTCAAAATGTTCGACACTTCGTAAAGCAAGAACGCTACCACATTGCACAGCAGTGGGTAAATATCGTGTCTGGACCAAAGCGGCGGCATTTGACTTTTTTGTTTGATCGTCCGCTTATTATGCACGCACTAGATCGCTTGCTCTGTTTACCAGGACTGTGGGCTGGTCTACAATTGGGAAATTGGGCCAAGCATCTCGCCGCCCACGTTGATGAGCTTATTATCAACTACCTGGCCCACATTAGCGATTCATATGAGAAGATTTTTCGTGGACATGAAGATCTGAAACATTTGCTCGACGAATCAACCGTTAAGCAAATCCAGAATCGCGCTCCCCGCTGGTCTTCAAATGATCGCCACTATATTGAAGAGGCGTTTCGACAGAAGATCATCTTTACAGATATAACATCTCGAGACGTATTAGCAAAATTGGAACAAAATCTTCTTTCGTTTGAAACAATTATTCCAAGTATACAAACATTTCATCAAAATATGAAATACATCACTATTGGAATTAAAATCTTGGAAAAGCATATAGCGATACAGCCAGCGGCAACGAAGAAAGGTGATATAACAAGGACAAGGCCCAGTCTTATTGATAGCTTGAAGAACGACTGGGTTGGCAGTACTACAACAGGTCACTTCCAAGTTGATCATGAGAAATTCATACCTGCTACGGAGGCAAACGCAGATACGTCAATTGCTCAATTATTATTAGCGGCGCTTCGCTACTTTCCGCTGCTATGTAGGGAAGCGCCGCTGCAAGATGTGGATTGCGAGTGGAAGGCTCCCGAGCCAAGTGATTATAGCACGCTAATCCGGCGGACGGCGCTTCAATTAGGCTTTGACAACCCAAAAATCAGGAAAGACGTCGGGAATGCTACAATGAACTATCCGCTATATGAAAAGCCCTTTGCTAGAAGGCGGTGGCGTTCTGGAAAGCTACCGTGCCATTCGTTCGCGTTGCTGTTTGATCAGTCATTTTTTCTGCAACTTTTTGGACAGCCGTTTGAGCAGTCAACTGTCGTAACCCCCCTGCGCACCCAGAGTGCTATTTTACGGGCGTTCTTCAACCTCTGGGACTACTACGCAATTTCCGCGGCGCCTGGCATAGATATGGCAGAGGCGGGTATGGATGTAGAGGAGTCTCCGTGGGCGGAGACTCAGTGGGCGGAGATTTTAAGCTCCCGGTCCTTAGAGAAACCAACGCGCTTTAAGAGGAAGAGGACTAAACCACTTCAAAATGACCAAAGAGCCGGAGAACATTGGGAGGTGCCGCCCAAAAACACGCAGGAAATGCAAATGGTCCCATGGGTCCCATCAGTCCAGGCAGCCCCAGTGCCTCAGCGCCAACTCACCATCTTCGAGGAAGCCCTCCCTACTCCGAATAAGCCTCTGATGCGAGCTATTAATGACTACGACGACGAGGATGCTGAGCCTGCCATCAATAATAGGAGAAAACGTGCCGACATCCGTCCAACGAAAAAGTTCAAAGGCAACTCCACGGCATCCACGATACCACTGGTGCCCGGCTCCATCTTCAATTTCAGAACCAACATTCCGCTTTCAATACCAGCTGCGTTCACAGAGCCGTCTGCAACTACAGACGCGCCTGCAGGCATAAAGCTACATGAAGGTACAGAGCCGCCTGCAACCACAGACGCGCCTGCAGGCATAAAGCTACATGAAGGTACAGAGCCGCCTGCAACCACAGACGCGCCTGCAGGCACAGAGCTACATGAAGATACAGAGCCCGATGAAATGGTTGTGGACAGAGATATCATCCCAGAACAAACAGCAACTGTTAATAAACAGGGCGCGCAGGCACTAGATTCTGATGATGAGTTTGGTGGCATTCGATAATGAGGCTTATATTGTCGACCATATACATGTAGCTGCATCCGAACCAGCTTTCTAACTAGTACTAGAACTAAACACACTCATATACCAAGTCCATATTGTAATGTACAAAGCAAAATGAATGCTGTAAATTAGCTAGTGATCTATAATAATGATCTTTTTTTAGTTGGATTGTCGCATTCTGGAAAACATGTCGTAAGCACTATATAACCAGCAGGAGAAATAAATCAAACCCTTTGGATATATGTTGAACAGATAGCAGAACAGAAACTATGTAAGAATACCTAGGAGAAAATATAAATTTATTGTCCTAGATATATAAACTTCTCCGTGGAGATTGTTTTTTGCGAATAAGCGGGTGGCTGACCCTTTTCTGAGTAAGCTGGAGGCACATTTAGATTAATGTGCGGGTGTTCAGCCGCTTGTGTTAATATTGGTTCAAACTGTTTTGCATGCTTGCGCCAAACAGCCAGACTAACTTGCCATTTTAATACCTTGCTCCGATTCTGCCACTTCCCCGGCTCAAGGAAAACCACATTAGCTTTCTCAACATTATCCTTTAGACCACTTGTACGTTTTTCCGGGTTGTCCATGACAAGGTGAGCATCATGAGTCGCAGGACTATGATATATTTGAGCAAGATATGCCAAGTATATGTTTGCCACAGCTTCTTCAATTAAATCCTGGTCTTTAGAATTTTGCATTTTTACAAGGTTTGCCAAAGAGTTTCCATGAGTAAGAGCCATCATCATTAGCCTCTAGAATTAAACAAAGCTCTGGCGTGTTCAGTTCTTCTAACAATAGCAAAAGCTGTTGTCGCATATTAGAAGAGTCAATTCAGTTTGTATAACTTTTGAGACACGGACTTCGCTCAAGAAAAAGACGTGTAAATTTTCGGAAAACTATATTTTATTAAAACGTTTTTAGGGGGGGGGGAAATCCCCCTTTTCCTTTTAGGTAGCTAGACTTACGCATACTCTATATTTGCCAATATCGCTGTTAGATCTGTAGCGGCGAAAACAAAAGTATATAGATTGGATGTACTAGAATTCGACCGGAAACGGGGCTGAGATGCTACGGCTATGTATAGCTTGCCACAATACGCACGCACACGTATATGAACATGTGTGTTACATAAGTCTGCTTCATCTACTAAACTAAGTCCCGTAATCGATAAAAGCAATGCTTGTCATCTGCTAAACTAAAGTTCCTCATCCGCTAAATCACGCCATCTCATCCACTAAATTTAGTACTAATGTCCTTATCATTCCTGAAATTAGAGGCCTCTCCATCCGCTAAATTAAGTCCTCTCATCTGTCAAATCATGAGGGTCTTCATCTTCATCCACGAAACCAATTCAGCGGTCCTCATGCCCTATAAGGCCAATTCCGTACATGTACTTGCGTATACCTAGAACAAGTTTTCCCATCCACCAATCCCACAGCCCAAGACCGCTTATACATATCACCAAATTATACATGAGCGCCCCAATTAGTTTATCAAACCTAGGGCTTTTAATTTCTTGCATCCATTGCATGAATCTTCGCTATATTTAAAGAACGCATTGGCTTACTAGAGCCATCTCTACTGAATGAAACAATATATCGCCGCGAATTATTGACGGTGTTATTTACATGTGCTCAACCCCAGATTTCATTAAGTCTTGCTCAAAGATATAACAATTTGACAAGAGGGATGTTCTTGGCAAATAAAGCGCACAGGCTCGCAAAGCATGATCTGCGACTTCCTTAATTCTCGAATTTGTGACGGAAAAGTCCCTACTGAAATGGAAATTAGAGACATGCTTTCATATCAGCGCGCAAAGACAATACATTCACCTACATCAACATTTCGGCTTTGTCATTGTATGCAGTCGCGATAAAAATTGATCCACTGATGAGATCTGCCCAGCGTTTGGCGACTCTCACGCGGTTCTGTACCTTTTGGCGCAGAACTTTTGGTGAAAAAGGTTCAACCTGGGCTTTGACATACAGGTCAATGAGTATACTAGCATTACCTTGACCGACGCGTCTGCGCTGCCTTCCTCTTCGTGCAATTATGGATTTAATGGCAATTAAGACTCGGGTTAGCTGCACATAAGCCAACCTTGATCTCCAAAAGTATTCTCCGCTGTGGAGGATTGCATCATCGATAATTGTAAAGGCAGAAGTAATTATTGGATCATTAATGGCGACATCTGCTGGTATGGAAGTTTTTCTTACAAGCCAAGACCAGAAGTCGTGGATTTCTTGGCAATGGCATTCAAAAAAAGGCAGCGCATTTGGCTGTATTATAGATTGAAGGAGATTTAAATCAATATCTGGTGGCGTACTATGCATGAATTGATATGTGCCGCCAGCTTCAATCTGCTCTAGCGTGCAGGCGTCGTAAACAGATGCCTGCGTGTCATCATCTATGTCCATTTCCGTGGGCAACTCTTGGAGAGCTAGAACTTGCTGAACTGCCATTTTACAATCAGATTTTATATCGCAATAACCGTTCCAATACTATCATTGCAAAAATTAAAGACTTACGTGCCATTTATACAAAAATTACAAGACTCTAAGTGCTTAATATTAGTACAGGTTTGATCCAAGCCTGTGCAGTAAGTATTCACAGTAACTGTTCTTAGATAAGCAATTGTGCTCCATTTGGTGTACTAATTTTAATACCGATTCACATAACCTATAATAAATCGCTTCAGTCCCAAGGTTTGCCCTTCTTTATTTATCGCCGCTTTAGATCTCGGTACAAACACTATTTCACACGCTAGCGAATTCTCAATATCATCATGGAAAATCTAACATGCCAGCAGTAAGACGAATGAGTATTCACCTGTATCCGCAAGGAACCACTAACAACATCAGATGTCACAAGCTATTTTCACCTTTTACAGGAGAGAATCAAGCGAGCATCCTATGCGCTCATCCAGCTTGCGCCAGTCAGAGTAAAGAGGATATCCAGAAGCTTCGCAAAAGCGAATCGACAAAATTCTCAAAGCGGCGAAAAACACTCCTTCAGAAAGCGCACGATCTACACAAAGATTGTGGCGTTGATATCTATCTTGTAGTACGGAACAGGCGAAATAATCAGATATGGCAATACTCAAATGGATATGTTCCACCATTAGTCTCAGAATTCGTAAGTGTATTCGGGATCTATAAAGAGAAGAGAGCTAATACAATCTGAAGGAAAACGTATACCCTGTCCCAATTCTCTCATCTCCAATAACTATGGAGTCAAAAAAGAAAGCCATTGACTTTACTTTGATTGACCCGAATCTACCCTATCATCCCCAAAATCCATATCTTTAATTGCGGTTGGTGTTGTTGGACTATTTGGAGTAAAAGAGGCGCCTTCAGATGGCCCAGGCGTGTTCTAGACAAGTGTGAGGAATGGATAATAGATAAGATATAGTGCAATACAATACCTGCTTGGCGTCTATTTCACCATAAAGCTGATAGAATTCTTCCCTCATCTGACGAGTTCCAGCCCGCAGAAGTGTTTTTGTTTGATGGTGGAGTGTTTCCGCTTGGTGGTGGAGTGTTTCCGTTTGGTGGTGAAGCCTTTCTGTCTGCTTATGGATTACACGAGCTTGCTTCAGGATCAAGCAAGCCTCTTCTTTTAGAAGGGAGTCAAAGGTCTCAGGACGAGTATCTGGACGCCTATCAGATTGCTTGATCTGAGTTATAGGCCGTGGCTCAAGCTTGAGAACAAAAGGTATGTGCTGACTCTCGCGAGGATCCGCACTTCCATATTCAGGGCGAAGATTTGGGAGCGATGAACGTGGCTTTGGCATTTTGAGATAAATAGAAGGTAATCAAAGCTTAATAGTATGACTAGATAATTATCTCTGCTTGTGTATACAGATGAAAGACAACGAAGACATGGAGATGGGAGGTCTTATATAGGTAGAGAAGAAACTACAGCTTGACTTCCTTCGTGCCAAACAGCCCGCAGATCCATACAGCCCAAATTCGTCCACCCAATTCGTCCTAGTAGGCCTACTACGCCGCTAGCGCAAAGAGAACGGCGAAAGTGGAGACCAATACTAGGGCAGCAGTCAAAGGCCCTTTCAAGGGGGTTGACGAACTCGTAGTGACTGTGTCATGAGCGGGTATTTGAGACTGTATTGGCTTTGGGGGGACCTTGAGCGCCGGCGGATGCGATGCATTGCTTCCGATTGATCCAGGATGCTGCAAGTACATGTATGCTGTTGGTTGGACTTTTGAAGTAAAATTATCCATCTTGAGAGGCGGCACTGATGACAGACACACACCCCAGCCTGTAGTGGGCCGAGGAGAACCTGCATGTGAGCTGTTGGTTGTTTGTGTACCTTTCTCCACTGTGATTGGGAATCCAGTGTCCGCACAAGCTATGGATGCTGGCTTCATTTCGGGCTTCTCCGTACGATGTCGGTATAATTTTTCGCCCACACAACGACTTAATAGGTCAGCGATGAGAAAAATTGCTCAAGGATTGAAGTCTACGGAGTATCCAAACCAAATAGTTTTAGTTTTTCCACCCCCGCTAGTGCCAATGCACTGAAAATCGTCTCCATGTTTACAGCCCACTCCGATCGGAGGAATACTTCTGTAACGGAGTCAACATGCAGTGCAATGTGTGCGGTATATTTTTTGAGGTGCAAGAGCGAACTTACATTGCAGCGACGCTTTCTTGGCTAGCTTCAAGAATAGGTGGAGATGTGAAGTACAAGGACTCTGCAAGAAGCAGATTGAACAAGAGAGCCAGAGGCATAACGTGGATGAAAAGGCGCATTGTGTCTCGACGTAGGTGGTAATAATAGATTGCTGCTGAAGTAAGGCCAAAGAAGTTGAGGATAGCGCGCGTGGCCCAGTGGAGTTTAAGTACCAAAAGATAGCGCCTATGACATGTAGGTAGGCCCAATAAAAGGCATCAATTTTTCCCTCATCGTGCCCAGATTAATCTTAATCCTGGACTACAGTTAATGTCGTCTATCTAGAACATCATCCCAGTTATCTTCATTATCTCAGACTTAGTCCTCCAGCCAAGATGGCACCGCATGATCAAGGCCTCTCACCAGCGTCTCCTCTTGGTAAAAATGAGGAAGCAGAATCTATACTGCCTTTCAACTCGTCAAGACTCGCTACAGAATCCTTATCGGCGACCGTGTTTCAATCGCATCTTGATTTAAACATGGAGGATATTGACGGTTCTCGACTTCGTCTATCTAACAGCCGAAATGAAGCTCTGCAAGGGGATTACAGGTCACTACTGGGTCAAGAGGATTTACCAGGGCCAGATAACTCTTATGCTGGTATGACAACGAACGATGATATGAACTGGTAATGCCGCCTACACTACGGCCGACTTCAACGACTAATAATTGTAGGCTACTTTTAGGATTATCGACCCGTCTTAATGACCTTGAGACAGCCGTTGCAAATGGAAATGCACGAATTGCCCATCTTGATGCTCAGATTATAGGATTGACAGATGAGTTTCAACGAGCCATAGCTCATTTGAAGAAAGGTGTAAAAGAGGTAGCGACGGTATTTTTAGCTAGTGGTTCAGGCGATTCAAAGACACAAACGTAATGTCAAATGCGATTTGCGGTTTCTAGTCTTGGTATTAATATTAGCACTCTACACCTTTCTTAATCTTGATGGATTTATAAATAGTTAACACTCCCACGCTCCCTGTTCATGCTCGCTACAGTGAACATCCAAAATGTCGAGATACTATAAAGATCTCCCGCCAACTCCTCCAGACTACCCTAATCATGAAAGGGCTGCTTACGCCCAGAAGCTGCACCCATCGTGCCAAGCAGCAGAATATCAGCATACTGTTCTTAAACACCAAAATTGCAGACTACAAAAGCAAAACACCGAGCTACAGCGAGAGGTGACTCAGCTGAGGGAGCAGGCCTCACAACTGGAAGATAAAATTAAAAAATATCAGCAATACATTAGGCAGCAGAACGAAAGTTTTGTCTTGGTCACTCGAACCGTGTGTTCTGCCTTCGAAAAATATCGCGAGAGTACAGGGGGTTTGTCGGCTCAAAGTTCCAACGCCAGCCCCATTGACCAAGTCCTCGACGCATATACTGCATTTAGTGATAGCGAAGAAGACTTGATGTTTTTTTAGCAGTATAGCGGAGCTAGCTACACATGACCAATGGGGGAACCCGACTAACCGCCTGTTTTTTGAATGAGCCTGACTTTCGGCTTGGTCAAATCGCCGCTGCCCCAATGAAGCGCTGCGCTCATGCGGCGGTGATATCACTGAGATGTAATTACAAAAACTTGTTTTTAAAACGTTGGACATCTGTGTAATCATTGGAACAATGTACTCATACGATGTCCACATTTGTAAAGCCAATGCCGGTCGTGGGTGGAGTGTCCGGTTCCGCCAGGCACCCAGCCGGGGTGGAGATAATAATGGGAGTTCGCCGAGATGTGGGCACAGAATGTTGTTGGTCAGAACCCTGTAGTAGTATTATAGTCATCAGCTGAGTTAATAATGAGCTGTTTTGTATTATTTATCTCGCCCCCGCCGTTCTTGTGGACCTCCGCCTCCGAATGCAACATCAAGCTGGCGGCTATATATCAGCGTATCTTTCGGAGTGGGTTACAAGGACTTGTTTTAACAGGGTAATGGGGGCAAGAATAAAGCCTCAAGGACTAAAATATAGCAGGGCCTAGAACAGTCGGACTTAAGGATGAAAAGGAACAAGCTATAGCTGATATAAATAGGTAACCAGCAGGCATCAATGAAGTAATACAACCAGATAGCATTCACCGTTTACATAAAGAGTTATTACCATCAGAATAAAAATGGCTCCCTTAGTTTGCCAAGTTGTCGATATCTTCAATATTGGCGTCAAAGGGGTGCATGTACTCCTTGAATGCCGAGATGAATTCTATAACTGCGTTGCGCGACTGGACGCCATGACGGGAGATGATGGATGGATCTGTGCTTGGCTTCCAATGATGCAACCTTTAGACGATGACATTGAGCCGCGGATTGTGGATACTACGGACGTGCCGCGGGTATCTCTGGCATTCATACCGCACTCTCACCCCACGGCTCCCTGGTTGAGCATACGCGCAGATCTTTACCTTTCAGACATGGCTTGCCATGGGGTGATTCTTCATCTTGAAGACAGCCCGCGGCTAGAATACTTAGCGCAGTCGGCCACAGACTCCACAGACAGGGCGGGCGTGGCGCCGCAAAGCCGAGACCTTCGAACACCGTCGCCTTTTCTATTATCATCGCATATGATTACCCCTGCCCAAAGCTATGAGGCATCGGAAGACCAATCGGATGCGACCAGAGAGATAGGCGCCGAAAAATCGACTGCTGGCCGGAAGAGGAAGTTGGAATTGGGATCTGAAAAAAGTACTAGAACTACAAGACAACGCTTGGTATAACGTAAAACTAGCAGAGCAAGCAACTACATATACTTTTATAAAATACAGCCTCTTGTCCTATCCATTTCAGGGCATATGCATTTTCCACATTCACTGCCTTCTTGTTATCTTTATCATAACACTACCATCATGGAGTCTGTTTTTCCTGTTTCGCGTGATGTTTATGCCGGGCAGTACCGGCCCGCATCTCTGCAAGCCAATCCGCAGCACATCTGGCAGCAACATCGTCGCACTGGACTGCAGCCCGTTGGCGCGCAAGCTTATAAGGAGCCTGTCTCGTCTCCCTCATCCAGTGCGCTCGAAGCTTGGAAGCGCCAAAATGACACCCTATCTCGAATTATCATGAGGCAAGAAGATAATTTCTTAGGCCTTGAAGATGAGGTGAAAACAAGTAAGCGGGAAATACAACGCCTTGGGTATCTGGCAGAAGCAAGGAACCAGCACATACAACACCTTGAACATCAGCTGGCACAGACAGAAGCCAAAAACCAGCAGCTCTCCCATGAAATTTTTGTGCTCCGCCACACAGTATGTCTACCTACCCCTCATCTCCTTGTCAATCTTGTCAACAGCCTACTCAATCGTAATTCTAGGCCCAATCGGGTGCAATGCACGCTAAGCTCCCACCCGCTGATACCCCCCAAGGCAGCTGTGTTCCGACGCAGGAAAGAGCGTTTAGAGGCACCAATGAGAGTGACCAACGCCAGGGAAGCCAGATCTCAATCAAGAGCGAAAGGGATGGAGAGGAAAGTAGCTAATCGGGGAATCGCGGGATGCGAAACGGACTGCTGTTGGTTCTGTTCAATTTGATGCTATCAAATTACGTATGTAGCAGTGGAGGAAGAGATTTCATGTATCTGCATTGGATGAGGCCAGCTGGATCTGCCATCGGTGGATTTAATAAAGGATTTGCGTATTTCCGCACTTAAACTCTTTACCAAGGGACTCCCTTGTCTAATTATCAGATGATAGAAATGCTATGCAGACTACTCTATTTTAGGCAAATCAATCACCACTGTTGTTCCCTCGCAAAAGTAAACGAGTAGCTTTTGCCTTAATCTAATTGCCCCATTATCTGCTAAGAGCCTCCACATACATGCATGTAGCTGGCTAAATTACTACAGTGTGGAAGCATGTAGAGACGTCCAGTGACCGTTCTTTACAAGGGATTGTCTGCTATCACCAACAGCATTCAGGTCAGCGAGCCAATCAGCTACAGTACTCTATTATTCCCCGCCAGAAATGCTACAGCAACGAATCCATATACAAGGCAACCTGTTCCCACAACAGGTACCTATTGCGGGCAAGCCGAGAATAAAACACAAAACAAAAAAAACAAAAAAAGCGGACCGCAACGTGAATACGTGTGTACAAAGCAATAACAACATGGACACCTGACTCCCGATATTGTACACAGTCTGGCGTGTCTGTCCAAGATCCTTATATTCCCGGGCTATTTTTCTGACCTCCGTTCAGCGCCAAACTACCTGCCTACCCACCTAGGTAGGTAGGTACAAATAGGTAGTAGTAGTGGCAGACAGGGGCCAGCTAATTTCGCTACCGACGGGACGGATCGCCCCTGCACAGCCCACCCGTTAGTTCCAGGTCACCTTCATGACTCGCTACGGCCATGAGACATGACTGCCTGTACTAGTAAATACGAGTCCATCCTACTCGTATACTTTAGCTCGATGCAACCTGTTATGTCCGCCAACACTGCTCCATACTAACCAGAACCTGTGCTTCATGTGTCGCCGAGCTTTTCCGTAAACAGGCTTAGAGCGACACTAATTGTAAAAATCTTCAAGGCAGACGAAGACACCATGGACATAACTCAGTACTAGCTCATGTTGCACGCCCTCCATGCATCCGGCATCTGCGTCTAGTTATCCGGGCGCGTATGCCCTCACACTAAGCTATATACTGATGTTACATGGCACTTAAGCTCCACATATGGATACTACCTGTATGGATACTACGGAGACGAAGGCGTTCGTCCATCGGCGAAGCTGGAGATCCGGTCTTCCGCGTTCTCCGTTGACGAAAACCCAGCTGAAGCGCCTACGCTATCACCGGCTAGAAAATTGACTGGAGTCGCCTTAAGAGACGTTGGTCTTCAAAATCACGCCATTCTGCGGCCATCACATACGCTAAGGAAGGTAGCAACGAAAGGTCATTTTTTTTTCCCCAATCTAGGTAATGGTCAACTAATGGACCAGCTGCGCAGGGGAAATGAGTGCGTGTTCATGAATTAATACTATTTGCACTCCAAGCTAGTCCAGCCAACACTCATAACGCAGCTCTTGAAAGGTATCTATGGTTAAAAATTTCTTAGGGCTCTCTATACCCTTAACTTGAACTAAGCCTTCTATAATGCCTACGCCCACAACGTTGCATCTTTAAAGTAGCACCCAGTCGTGCCTGATGTTGCTACAACATGCATTGCCCATCCTTTCATCAGCTTATTTATACGCTCCCTCTCTTTCACTAAGCTGCAATATTCCGCAGATCTGAGCTTGCTAGGAGCTTTTACACCGGCCGTAATCTCATCAACTCTTACAATCCATACATCGCATACTTCTACCATGGCCAGCGCTACAGCAACTAAAGAGGAATTTTATTTCATTCCTCTTGATGATAAAAATGTTAGCCTCTCAGCCATAAGGCATGAACTTGAGCAGTTTCATCTCGCATTCAGCATGATCCGGGAGGAAATCATTCACATGTCACACACGCTCCCACAAATTGACGGCAGAGTTGCTCGACTCATGATGTATAACAAAGTACTAATCAATTCAATTGATAAACAAGTAATTAAAGTATTCTAAGCATAAATGGTCTCTGCTAATAGTTCACCAGCTATACCAAGCTATCCCAGAAACTCCTGTGACTGCCACTGCGCCACAAGTACCATGGCGGGATGAAATGGATAAGGCAGGATTAAATTATAAATAGATGGGCTAGAATAATTTCTCTTATGGCGATAGCATGCAATGTACTACCAAAAGGTTGTAACAGAATATAGAACTTTGTTTCAGATAATTTGCAACCCTTTACGGCGAACTTAATAAAGTAGAAGCCGAGGCTAGTTTATGAACAGCACTAAAGGCCTAATCGCATTACGAATTATATTTCCATCTTCACTTGATCTTATAAATATGTCATTTGCTTCACGAATAGCTCTCTACGTTTAATGTTTGACAAAAATGCCAAGAAATTCCTCAATTTGAGATAACATGTAATATAATCTCGTTACTGATAATTGGTTCTCATTCGCACTTTAGTGTTACATTCACTTCGAAAGGCCCCAGCTTATCTAGGTTTTGAGCACAGTTGGCACCGATAGACGGACCTCCTTTGCCCCGCCGATCTATGTATTGGATTGACAAAGGAATTTCTTAATAGGTGGGCGGTTAGCAACGCAATGTGGTTGGCTCCATGGCAGAGATTCAATTCAATTACTCAGCATGAGTCATAAAGTTAGGGCTGGCGTCTAAGAGCGGAAAGAAGAACCGTTGAGGGCGCGCAGTGTAAGAAATAAAGCAAGTATATAATATCCCCAAGCCCTATCCCCCATTCTCCATCTCCTGTTCTTCTATTCTCCTATTACCCTATTCTTTCAACTCTTACTTTATCATTACGCGCAAAGCAATGGCCATGGTATCTACTCTCCGTCTTCCACATTCCCCGCAGCCAACAATGGCGCTCACAGAGGGGGGGGTGGAGGAAGCACGTAATGTGCTTCTCTCATTTGACCAGCTACCAAAATGGCATCAAGACAACGAATTTATTCTTCATGGCTACCGCTCAATTTCAGGCTCTGGTTGGATTTCATTTCGCAGCTGGTTATATATTCACAATGAATCTGTTAATATATATTCTCATCTGGTACCAACAATTATCTTTTTACTTAGCGAGTGGTATCTTTTACAGTATCTTAAAAGTCAATATTCTTATATTACTAGCGCCGATGTTTTTATCTTCTGCTTCTTTATTATTACTGTTATTATCTGCCTGGGGCTATCAACAACATACCATACCTTAATGAATCATTCTTCTAATATTGAACAGTTATGGCTGCAATTCGACCTAGTGGGCATAGTGATTTTAATATTAGGTGTCTTTATATCAGGAATATATATGGTCTTTTGGTGTGAACCGTTAGAGCGTAAGCTTTACTGGTCAATGGTAAGTTATTATAATATCCCACGCCCTTTTACTTTATATAATATTGACTTTACTTGGTAGATTGGAGGTCTTGGTTCTTTTACTATCTTTGTCATGTTAATTCCCTATTTTCAAGGTAAAGAATTCCGGGTTTTCCGAGCACTTGTATTTATAGGGACAGGCTTATCTGGCTTTGCACCTTTAATACATGGGATTAAGATGTTTGGCTGGTTGCAAATGATAAAACAATCTGGAATGTTTTATTATTTAATTGAAGGGGGATTTCTTCTCCTTGGGGCTTTATTTTATATTGTAAGTGTGTAACTCGAATTTCTACCTCCACAATTAGTTCTAACACTTGAATCTATAGACAAAATTTCCTGAGAAACAGTTTCCAGGTCGTTTTGATATATACGGCTCCTCCCATCAACTTTTTCACATCCTAGTTGTCTCCGCTACTGCATTTCATTTAATTGGGATAATGGATGCCTTCAACTACAATTATATTAATCGAACATGTTCATCTCACTGAGTCATCTACTTGTACGGGGCAGCGGATATCTTCCCGTGGGTCACTTGCAATAGATAGTACTCATCAAAAGCCGGAATAGAAGGATATAAAAGACCTGCCTGAAGCATGTCATTCCTTGGCTATCTGCAGTAGTTAGAAACAAGAGGTAAAAGAGATCCATCTATCTGGTGACAGAAAAACGGAATGCCCAAGAGTATAATCAATATGCTGAGTTGTGTGTTGTGGTCCTGGGCTTCTAGGTGATGGTGATTTATCGGGCAGGAACTCGCGCCTGTGGAACCGATCGAGATTCTGGCCGGCGGATGAGCTTTGCCCATGGGTGGTTGCTATGTGTCTGGCGTTCGCGGCAAGCAGCACAGATATCGTCGCCCCAGTTCTGTTTGCTCACAATTGAGGGAACGCATCGTCGCTCAGTCCGAATATATTTGGGGCACCATGATTCTACCAGGTGGTAGTGGTGCTGGCACTTGAGTTCCGTGTATATGTAGTTGCACATGGTTGCTGATAGTATCTGAGGTGTGGAAAAAAGATTGGAGAGAGGTGCTTCTCGGGTGGTAGTGAAGATGTCGTTATCGTCCCAAGGTAAAAAAAGAAAAAAAAAATTGGATGAGGTCGGGTAAGCAGAGACAGAAGCAAGACCAGAGAGGTTGATGGAGACGTATTACTAGTCACCTCATGCTACTTTAAGCTGGCGTTGCTTCAGCTGCCGTAGATAGGACTTTGAACACTTGGAGAAATAACTCTAAGCTAGCCTGCGGATAATCAATACCTAATGCATGGGAATACCGAGAGACCGGACATCCACAACAAAGAGCCGGAACTAGATTTGGTCAACATATGGGCTACTATGAGGAAAAGTCATAACTTGGGAGAATATGTAACATTTATTGATAGTTACCCTATTGGAGGAGACTGCATCGGGCGTAAAGTGTGTGTGTAATGGACCAACTGCGTAAGGGAAATGAGTGAATATTTATAAATTAATACTATTTGCACTTCAAGCTAGTCCAGCTAATAATAATTATGCTGTTTTTGAAAGGTATCTGTAGTATAATAATATATCAGGGCTCTCTGACACGCTTAACTTAAACCAAGCCTTCTATAGTGTCCACGCCCACAACGTTGCATCTTGCAAGTAGCACCTAGTCGTGCCAGATGTTGCCACAACGTGCATTGCCCACCCTTCCATCAGCTCATTCATACGCTCCCTCTCTTTCACTGAGCTGCAATATTCTGTAGATCTAAGCTTGTCAGGGTTTTTTACACGGGCTGCAATAATATTGCCGAGGCGACGACGACTCGACATTGGCAGCTCTGAGCCCGCAAAAGTGATCTTTTTGGTGCGAAAATAACTTTCCAGGACACTCTGAAAGCTGACAATACGGCCGTTAAACTCAGTCCACGAGATGCCAGAAATATTTTCTCGCCTTTCGTTCAACATATCATTCAACATTGGATAGCGATATTCGGATATAAATTCGCGATACATCTTGCCATATTCGATCAAGAGAGCATCATCGTCATTTAAAGCTCGGATTTTAACACCAGAACATTCAGCGTCTGCGAATTCGAATCCCCTCCTTTTGTACTTCTCTATAGCGCTAATAATCTTGAGATTATTTTTTGCAGAAACGTCTCTCCATATTTTTGCTTTTTTTGATCTGGCTTCTTTATAGTAAAGATGGCTTGCGCACCAGCCCCCGATAAAGCACTGGACGTGGCTGGCATAGAAATCTTTAACGAAAGCCATGCAACTCTTAATTCCATTGTAATAAGATCCAATGATTAGCTGCACTCTTTGGTGGCCTCTTTTGGTCTCGATTTTGCCATGGAGAATGCTAAAAGATCTGCCAAGAGCATCGTTATAAGGAATTTCTTCGTTTTCGCGGGCCCATCCATCCGAAATTGAAATGAAGCAGATACGATTATTCGGGTCTAACCTTAGTTCGAATCCTTTAATATCGCTGGGCGTTTCTTCTCGTATCTGGCGGTATGCATTGACAATGTCGTAAATTCTCTTTCCCAAGATAAGAGAAGCAGACTTCCTGCTTAAATTGGTCACCCATGTATCCAAATTCTCCAACATTTGCCGGCTGATAGCGGCTTTTCCGTAATGAAATAAATCTGAAGCAATAGTCTTTGCATCAGTATTCCACTCCACTCCGCAGATCTGGAGAGCATTGACCATATCGACGACTGACTCCTTATACGCTGGGACATAAAAATCCCAATCAGAATCAGGGCAAATAGACCCAGGTATAAAGAATTCCAGAGCCCTAGAGCCACTTAAGATGCATCCAGTATCGAACATAGCCGCCATCAGTGTTATTACATAGTCAAATGTATCTTGAAGATATGACACCGGACTGATACGTTCATCATAACATGCCCTCAGAAGACTATTTTGTGGGTAGCTGTTTTTCATGCTCAGCGCATCGCTAATGCTGAGATTTTTCATAATATCCAATATAGAGTCGGTAGTCATGATGGTATTGTTTTCCTTCGCAGTGCGAGTCGATATCAGAGAGGCCGGTTGTGAATTGCGTGTAAAGTTTATGTTGCAGTTAAATGGCAGAATATCTGTTTGACGCTCACTTTCTAGGAATTAGAGACCGATTTATACAGTGAAGTAACTACAGCTGTTCTGTAATCCGCCAAATTTAACGCAGTTAAATGAGCATAGTATTTATTTTAGACGGTCTTTTTTTAAACCATTCAATGCTTTGGTGGAGTACATCGGCGTAGCAATAATACACACTAGCAAGAGGGGATTGTTCTCGAATGCTATAGTTATAATATCAGTTTATGAATATTCTATAAAACTTTAACATACATATGCATGTGAATCTAGTATACATGTATGTTAATAAAGACTGCGTGCACGCACTAATACCAGTAACTCGCTTGTTTCTCTGTGGTGCGTCTGGTAATCTGGCATGTAGTACGTCTCTACATATTTACTCTCGTACTCTGATACTGGTAATCCGGTATATAGTGCGTCTTTACGCATGCGCTATCGAATACTGATACTGGTAATACAGGGTGTAGCGCGTCTTCATGCAAGTACTCCGGTATCCTGATACCGGTAATATAGAATGTAGTGCGTTCTTTATATAAGTACTTCTGTACACTGATACTGGTTACTTCTACACACTACTACTGGTAATCAGAGGGGTTAAATATTTAGGGGCTAGGTACCAGTAATTAAGCGCCGTAAATTACCAGTACTTTTGCGGTACTGGTATCAAATCTATAAGGGCTACTGGTACTTTAGCGCTACTGGTATCCAGCAATAATGCAGTACTGGTACTTTAGGATTACTGGTACCTGGCAAGGGTGCATTACTGGTACTTTAGCACTGGTATAATGCAGTACTGGTAGCCTAGCCTACGCCAGGTTCAATATGAGTACTTGGCTTAATATAAGTACTGGTAACTTTAGTTTAATTTAGAGCAGTACTGGTAATCTGTATTTATAACGAAAGGGGTGTTCTATTTAGCTACAGATGGTACCAGTAAACTCACTAGGAACTTTTCTCGTTTGGAATTTGCGCTATTTCCATAGTGTTTATAGCTTTTGATGTCCACCCAGTGCTGCCAGTAACTTCTACCAAGCGGCGCACCATTTCACTTAAACAACCTTTTATTTCTTTTCTTTATATCTTTCCCTCTCTTAGTCTCTTTGAATTGCATCCTGGTGATACATCTCTCTGCCCTTTCCCTTTTCTCTTTCACGTCCTCTGTTATCATGGCTCTCATACAAAGATCCCTCGTACTTATTCCCTTGGCACTCTCCTTCATCGCCTTCGTCTTGATAAACCTGGCGCTGCTTTCTGGCCACCAGCAGGGTTTCATGGAAGACTATGCTGTTATTAGGGTGAATTAATCTTGACAATAACACTTTACCTTTACCTTTGAGATTTTACTATCTAGATAGGTTGCTGACCCGCAACGCAGCTCAACACTTCCATGCTTGGCCAAAATATCCTCAGAGATGGCAGGTTAAGCGGCCGCAGTAACGATGGCAGTGATGACAATGTCTTCGGCAAAATTAATGCCAAAGACAAGCTTGGTGATATCGCCGACGATATCCTTGCAAACATCGCCGAAGACCTTGGCATCAGCGACTGGTATTCTATCCACATCATGAATGCTTGCCAAGGTGAATTCGGAGCTAATACAACCGCTTATTTCTCACTCAACACCACCAACTGCACTCATTCATCTCCCTCAAGTAAGCACCCAAACAAATATCACTTATGGCTTTACTAATTTATATCACACTTCTAGATAAATTTAACCTCACTAAAATACTAAATCAAGAAATGTCCATCGGCCCCCTTGGCCTTAGCCTTGCAGATATTAGCTGGCCTGATTCTATCCAAGACAAGATTAGTAGCTTTAATAGCGCTTTGCTCGCCCTCTTTATATTCTTTATTCTGGGTGCTACTTTTACCGGCCTCTCTATGCTAGCATGCATTTCAGCATTCTTCTTGGGAGACAAAAATATTATCCTCTTGGCAAATGCAATCCTTGCATTGCTTGCCGCTACAATGATTACACTTGGCAGCATTATTGTTACGGCGGCTTCTTCCATTGCTGTTGATGGCATTAATAAAGCTGGCGAAAAGATTACTCTAGTGGCTGATAAGGGTATAAAATTCTATATTATCTCTTGGGTTGCGGTTATATTTATAATCCTTTCCACTCTGTTTTGGATAACTAAAGCCACAATGCTATGGAAAAAGGATAAGAGAACTTATAAGCATGTTTAATCTTATGCTCAATGTTACTATTTGAAATAGGGCCAGTATTTTTCATAAATGCTTGACCCTTGCGTTTGTGTAACTTTCCATTATTAGCTAGGTAACTAAAATTATATAAAAATGCATGCATGTTAATTTCCAGCTGGTATCTTTATATATGGTAAAGGAACTATATTATAGTGGAATAGCGCTATATTATGGTGGATATCCGCTATATTACAGTGAGAGAGCGCTAAATGGTAACGACACATACCTATGTATGGACTACATACATTTTACAGCGGGTAGTGCGCTATATCATAGCGGAATGCACTACCCAGATTATAAAAGATATTGCGCGTGCTACTATATTATATTAATTTCTTTGGCAGGTACGGAGTACACTACATGTCTATACAAGCACTCCTTTTTTATTTTCCTTATTAGGGGAAATACTTGAGTATAGTACTATAGATGATCGTTGGCATTGAATTTCCAACGCATCATCCACACCGTTGCATCCATTCTTCGCCATGAGCTGCTTTATTCCAGACCCAGTCTCCCAATACCTCGCCCAAAGCTCGTTAAACTCTTTCCACAATTCCTCCTCCAGGTCTATTAATGGCCAACAGCGCGTCTTAAAGAGTGCACTAAAGTTCTCCCTTTCATTTCGGTTCATGTCTACCCAGGTAAAGTGCGTATTAATTCGAAAATTTCTGTCTTGCATTCTTTCTTCAATGTCTGCGCGCAGGTGGGTAATTTCATCCTCCACGGCATCGGACTCATCGCAGCCCTTGGCTGGTTGTAACTTGCGTTGAACGAACTTAGCGACGGATTTCCTCAAGCCCATTTTAGATATGTCCTTTACACTTAGTGAAATACTTTTGTGCTGGTCCTTGAAATAGAACAGATATAAAACTATTTGGTGGTATCGTGAAAAGCCTAGGAGGGCCGCAAAACACACAAATTGCTACACGCCTTTAGCTAAATGGGGTTGGTTTCATTGTAATAAAGATAAATGATAATAAGGCAGAGCCAGGTCGAGAATAAAGGCAGAGGAACGGAGAACCGCAATTCCTTATGCTGCATTGCGACCCCGCCAACTACGTTTGCGATTATCGCCAAGTGATTGTTGGCAAAAGAAGATAGCATAGATGCCATTAGATAAACGTATGCTTAAGAATAACTGAGAAATATATAAATATAAATAATATCACTCTATTTATTTAATTTACTATATAAAAAGTACTAATTCTAGCATCACCATCGTTTACTTGGGTGGGGCATAATTATAATTCTGTACGAAATTTAGACGGCGCTGTAAAAGGGCTTATTTAAGGCAGTTCATAGATATAAGAGTTAGGTATTTCTAGCTGTCTACTAAAATTAATGTCTCCTTCCCCATCCCCATTAAATTCAAGTCTTGTAGTTTAAAGGAGATAGAAAGCATTTAACTATTATATTTCTTAATATGGCCCTTAATTTTATAAAAATGATATATATAATAGGTTTTATTTCTACAATAGTCGAGCTTGGTCTTACCTCCTAGAGTAAGCATTGTTTTACTATATGTTATTTATCACCGCTTTTTTTTACTAATATATATCTTAATAGTATGCGTTATTAAATACAGCATAAACGCTATCTTTAAAATAAGCGCACTTGCAAAATTTGCATATATGCTTTTTCTCATTAATTCAGTCTTGAGCTTCTTTGCCTCTACGTATTTAACAGTTTCCTCTATTGCCTTTACGAGATACTATTATAATTTAGCCGCATTTATATTATTCATAATTACAACAATTCTTTGGCTTACCGCGTCTATTGCTTTCACTGTTTATGAATGGCGTTTTGAATCCTGTAGATGGGTACTCTGCGGAAGTGTCTACGCTAGCATTGCATTTGGCTACTGCCTTTGGGCTATTTCTATGGCACTGGCTCTCCTCGAGGGGTCATCTATTTGGAGACGTCCCGCAAGTTTACGAGACTCTCAATAGACTAAAAGGGTGAGTAGTTTAAGATAAATTGATGATAAAGGAGAGAGATTTGCGGCTATGGTGTGGCAGTAATGTAAAAATTTTCGTGTTTGCTGTTTAAATCCAAAAAAAAAAAAAAATGTAGTCTCATATTTCTATCTCCGTTTACATCCGCTTTTACATCTGCTCTGCAATTTTCTATTTGCCGTTAATATACTTATTCTAGTAGTGAACATGGTATAAACGCTAAAATCTTGAAGTATTTACGACTCGCTTTCGCCATGTCCGCCGCAAACCTAGCTCCTCCTCCAGATGACCTCGTTCTTGTGTTCGAATTCTCTTACTGCGCTCCTCTGCCTCCATCTTCCTTTTCCTCTTTGGACGAATCTGAGCTTCGACCAAAGCATCTTGATTCCATGCCTCTCTCAATAAGTTAGTAGCCTTGCATCTTAAACTTGTGGAGTCAATAGATGTTCCATCCAGAAAGTTTGCAGGTAGGCCAACCATGCGATTTTGGGCGTGTTTAATTACCATTAATCCGCAACTATTACCATCCTTTTGTTGTATCCCTTCCTATTAACGTTAACTATTGTTGACTGTAAAAATATGGGAAATTTCACCTACTTTCTCACTAAACTGTAGATGGGGGAACTCTTTTTTACATGCATTCTAGTCAAGAGTTAACTGTGGTTGAATGAAATGAGTCTTGGTTAAAGTATACCTCAACATCTTTACTTTTTCCTTGCATAGAATTGTAATGATAAATGTAACCTTCTCTCTCATTTATCTCAAGAAGAGTAAAATGGTTGCCATGCTGATTAAGTGGGAAGAAGTATACAAGCTGTGATTGACCAGCTTGTTTACGCCACGATTCTATGCTTAGCGAAGCTCTTTCGAACGGTTGCTGCATTGGAAACTCGGGTTGGATGTCTTGATGAATCGGAATGCACCATCCTACCCGCACAAAGGGTAATTTGTCAGACAAGTGTAAGCAAGCAACAACGAGCTTATCGGTTAACCAAGTCCGCCCCTTCAGGGTTTGAAGCGCGACAACATCAAATTCACAAGGTGACTGTGCATTCCGAACAGCCAGTCGACCACTTGTAACTGAGTTAAAAATTTCTTGATAAAGGTTGTCCAACTCAGTACATTTGGTCCTTGGTATAGAATTGGTGGGCAATTGAGAACTGACACCTAATGAGGCATTTTGTAGCTGCTCTTCAAATTCTTTCTCTTTTGTCTTTCCTTCTTTGATAAGGTATTTTAGCTGATCAGAGAGAATATCCAAGATGGCCATTTTTTTTTCATCCATTGCCAGTTTCTCAATTAAAAATCCGAAATTTATATTTGGAGTTTTTGCTAACTTCCTGTTTATCTTTAGCCCTATTACTTGTGTTTTATGTGATAGAATTTGCTTACCAGGCCTTCTTCAATAGTATGCCATGCCCAAGTTGTTCCACCAGTTGATTCCACTTTTTCCCACGCGTTAAATGGGTGCGAATGTTCTTCCGTCGTTGAATGCTGTTACTCTCTTGCGTTGGCCCAACTAGTCTGTCTATTATCAGTTTTGACGCTGTTTGTTCCGTCATTTGTGGCGTTTTGTTTGTAGACAGCCGCATTTGAGATGCATGCCACTTTTGGAATGCCATTGCTGTTAACGCGTAATTAATCGTCTCTCTCTCCCTCTCCGCTTTCCCTGATTCCACTAGTCTTAGCCATTCCGAACCTATTGACCACTGATTTGATCTATTCTCGCTTTCTTCGTCGTCCAGAGAGCCGAAAATGGCATCATAAGTTACCGATGGGACTTCATACAATGCTAATTGTTTAATTTGCTGACGAGCATGGTATATAAACTCTTCAATGGATTGGGATATTAAAGAACGGAATTCATATTCAGGACCCTTCGGTTGTTTCGGTTGTTTCGGTGTTTCTTCTTGAAGAGCAGCTCTGATTCGAGGAGGCGTACCCATACTCTCTGGAGAACTGAGTCTTGAAATATCTGATAAACTTTCGTGAGAAGTTGTATCGCAAGTCATTGGCGACATAGCAACAGGCGTAGAAACTCGCTTAGTATTCCTGCCATCTAGTATCGGCAACGGTTTCGCGTTGAGCGAAATAAGTTTAGATCTAGGCACTTTCTTGGAAGATTTGGCTTGAGATGGTTTGAAACCATGAGTAATCTCTCGAAGCATAGGCTGATCCTTGGCAGAGATATTCTGACGATGTCGAATGTGAACCTCTGCTGCTATAGCATCCTTTTCTGATCCACTCTCATTTGCGTCTAAGACCTTTTCTCCGAACTGTTCGTGCTTTTCCTCGTGGCTTAATTTCCAGCTGATGGATGGATCTTCTTCGAATTTATAAACGTTTTGACAAGCATTGAAAATGGTTTGGGCGATGTCAAACATCTGCGCATGCTTTGCTGCTGGTTGCCGCCTTAAAGTCGCCTCAAGACTTTCAATAAATTGTTCTTTTTCGAACGAGGCATCCAGTATGCTATTCAATGCTTCAGCGAGGTTTTGAAGGTGTTGACTAAGTTGAACAGCATTGATAGCAGCGACACATTCTTCTGCCCCGAATTCATAACTTGGCGGTGGATCATCTCTCATCTTCGGAGAATTATCAAGAGCCATTTTGTGGTAGGAGATATCATGATTAGAAGCGATTGGAAGAGAGGTAGACATGGTAACACAGTAAGTTGTAATCCAAGCTAAGAATGGTAATGAAAGAGTCGAGAAGGAATCTCACTTTATTGGGGGAGAGACGGGCTTTTATAGTTCATCAAATGCCTCTTTGAGGCAGTGGTAAAGCGTTGTTGACATTAGAAGCACCAACGTGCATTCCTCGACTCCCATATCTCTTCCTTCCACACCCAGAAAGACTTCCGCACCCCCTCCCCTCCTTTCCCCCTCTTATATATCCTCTTAAGCGCTACGTATGAGTCTATCATTCGTGCTTCTTAGCCGCTGCGCTTGCTTAAGATACCGTTTCATTGGACATAAGGCTAGAGTGTGTCATTTTGCAAATCCTTTCCCCCGCTCTACCTCCTCCCCTCTCCTCCCTCGGATACTAAGAATACATGAGGTGATCATATGTTTATTTGTCTACTGCATTTGCTGCGCCTTCCAACAAATCCCTCTCATAAAAACTTGTACCTAATAAAACATCATCCCCCCTGAGCCACACTCCCCTTGCTCGCCCTCCCCATATCCGATACTCTTCTAGTATCATAAAGAGACGAAAATTGTCTTTGCAGCTTTGCCTAACCGCTCTATCCGCCGTTTCAAAAAATTCCTCATAGAAAATACCCTCGTCTAACGGCTGATGCCCTGGCACACTGGTTCCACTGATAAAGACCTTCCTAGGGACGACTTTTGCCCAGCCACCAACACAGAGGCTGGGCTACACCTGGCAAAGTGCTTCCTGGGAAGCACTTTTGTCTTACGACTAATGTAGCCTTTAAGCTGCAGTCTCCCACACCATTCGCAGAGAAATAGTCCTCCCTGAGAAAGACTTCTGCCTAACCATTAACATGGTACTTGGGCTACACTCCTTTTCACTACTTCCAGCAAAGTGCTTCCTAGGAAGCACTTTTATTTACGACTATTATAGCCTTTGAGCTACAGTCTTCCACACCACTCGTACTGAGATAGTCTTCTCTAACCACTAATATAGAGTTTGTACTTCACCAGGTAAAGTGCTTCCTGGGAAGCCCTTTAAGCTGCAGTCCTCCACACCGCTCGAACGGAGAAAGGTCCTCCGTCGGAAAGTCTTCTGTCCAGCCACCAACAAAGTCTGGGCTACATCAAGTAAAGTGCTTCCTGGGAAGCACTTTTGTCTTATGACTCATGTAACTTTTGAGCTGCAGTCTTCCACACCGCTCGCACAGGGATATTCTTTCCTAGGAAGGACTTCCGCATGATCACCAGGGCATGCTTTGGGCCACACCCCCTCGAGAAGGGATCTAACTAGCCACCAAAGCAGAATTTGGACCGCACCCATTCATACTACTCCCACCAACGACCAGGAAGAACTTCCGTCTAACCGCCAAGGCAGATTTTGGATCATATCATTTTACACACTCCTTCTCTAACGTACTCCACAGAGTCTCCTTTTTTTTTGCAAGGCAAGAGCGGCTATTGTTTTCATGTAGTTTTTGTAGTGCTCAATCCATTGTTGTGACGTTGCGTTTGAGATACCGTCTTCTCCCACTTCCCCTCCTTTATCTTCGGCTACCCTCACATGAAATCTGTGATACATAACGACGACTATTGTGCTTTTTAAGAAAAATTATATTCTTAATATACCATATCTACGCAGTTGAAAAGATATCGACTCAAGTGTGTGCATTATTAATGGAATCTCTCCTGATTAGTGTAGAGTCATGCGCCCCTGAGGCCATGCAGGATTGTAATATTGTGTCATATTAGGCGCCGGCCATGTTTGATCCGGCGCGAATGCATCGTAATACGAGCCATAATTATGACCTTGTTTTGATTTGTAATATTTATCACCATCTTTAGCTTGACTCGAGTTCTCATTCGCTTCCTCTAGAAGTTGGCTACTGCAGACGGTCGCAGCTCTGGAGATCCCCCTTTCTGGGTCAGAGGCAGATTTACTATTTTTGTTTGTAACCGAGTCAGATTATAAAGTCTAGACTGAGGATATACGTCATGAGGCAGGCTTGGCTGCCAAAGGCCGGATCAGTTAGGGGATCCCATACGCTCCAAAGCGGAGCATATTCCGCGTCTTCAGGTATATAAAGTGTTGTTCCCCCCGACAAAGAACATAATTTTTTCTTTCTTTTTCACACACAACTCATATATTCATTTCTTCTTCATTATTTCAAAACCATCTACCATGAGGCGTTTTTACCCACGGAACGAGGTCTATCGTCCTGACAGAATTACCTTGAACCCGAGGAAAAGCTATATATGGCCAGAGGATAAGGAAAGGCCCCAAAAAATGGGAAAGGTAGAGGCATTTCGGAAAGTCCAAAAAATACAGCAATTTCAACGAGCTGTTCGTTCTCGTGCTTTGAGTCGTCTAAGCAAGCATAATGACCAGACTGGGTCTGATGCAAGTCAATCGGGTTCGGACCAGATTATGTTCGATGCAAGTCAGCCGGGTAAGCTCTTAACCTCGGACTAATCTAAAGCCTTCGTCGAAAATTCAAGATGCTGAGATATATGCGCCATTTTAGACTTTAAGAACGACACTATAGAGGTGTATAACGATGCTCTTAAAGAGGTAGACTCTGAAAACGACACCGTTGCAAATACCGAGATTCCTGAAGAGGTAGACGGTAATATCGCAACTGACCTCAAAACTGAGAGTATTGCCTTTCCTTGTGGCCGGAGACGAAGCTTCGGAGGAACATGCCACAGTCCCGATGATATCGCCACTGATAATATTATCTTCCCGCCCGCTGGGATTTTTTTCTTAAGCCCTAGGGCTGGGAAAGAACGCTCGCATTTATTAGCGGCCATATCAGAATGTAGGTTATTGTTTATATGTGGTTATTAGCTGGGAGAAATAGCTGAATATAATTTCTATTAGACTCTCGAGAGGTCAGGAAAGGAAAGGCCTTGGGTAGTACAGAAGTAATACCTGGCGATATCCAATGTGAGCGAGTTTTATCTTCTTGTACACTATATATGCTGACGTCTTCTACCAAGCCTCGCAATGGAATGAGAGCACGCTGGGAGAGGATACTACTCTTCATAACGGCAATCCTCGCAAACGGAGTCGAACTGAAGAAACTGGGGATGAAGAAACTGGGGATGAAGAAACTGGGGATGAAGAAACTGAGGATGAAGAGCCAAAGTCGAAAATTAGCCGACTTAGATACAGCTTCTATAGAGAAATCGGCCACTAAATACAGTAGGTAGAATAAACTTATATATGCCAATAGAATTGACTAGCAACAAAAGATACAAAGATAAGATTATACCCAAAGACCGTAAAATTTGCAGCATGATCAATGTCCTGTATTAATTTCTCTTTCTAAAGCTAGGGTTTTATTATGATACAGAGAAGACATCAGACCAAGTTAACGCACAAAACAGAATACAATAACAGCATATATTGCATTTCAGATATGAAGATGATATAGCATTGGGTATCTATAACTATCAAAGTTCAATCGAATATAAGGATATGCTCTTTAAACCATGGCAAGTAAACATCCCTCCCCCAAGCGGTAAGCTCCCGAACACCAGCAACAGCAGCATAAGCTCCCTTTATTGTTCTAGTTGTCCCAAAATCTGTGTCTGTCCACAAGAGTGTTGTTTTTTTGTCATTATCATAGGTAGAAAACACTGGAAGCCATCGATATCCACTAACGATAATACCTGGGATAAAGCCGAGGGCTGATAATGCTGCAAGCTTCTCTTTTTTAAATTCTTCCTGATCTTGAGTCGTAGCTGGTTCATAAAGGCCTTGGGCTATCCGCTGTTGATCAAGCTTCTCACCAACAGCCCAGTCCAAAAATTTCCATTGTGCAGCATGCCATATGCCGATTTGTAGCTTCGCCTTCTCTAATTCTGCAGCAGGCTTCTTAGTCTCAATACTGAGTAGAAGAGGATCATATTGGATCGGTCCAAAGTCGGTATGATTTATAGATTGGGTAGGATTAAAGTGGGCAAATTTCTTTATAGCTGATATCCATTCTTGGTCATCCACAAACGAACGGAATATGCAGCCGTCAATCATCCTGGCTGTAGAAGCCACTGGTCTAAATTCTTTGTGTAGCTGGGCCGTGGTACTATTATATAATAGGAGTTAGCAACTATATTACTGCACTTTTTGAGGTCATAGACTTACCAGTCTGTAGCACCAAATTCGCCGATCGGTCCCGTAATAGGATCTTCAAATATCATATCAAGCAACCTTGAAATGACAGCGCCATTCCAACGGGACTCATTATCACCACGAGTGCCAACTTGAATAGCCTTTCTTACTATTTCGTCTATCTCATTCAGAGACGGAATCCGGCCAGGTAAATTATCATCAGGTGCACTTTCCGGCCTACAACAGGATTTCAATTTTTCATACACCTGGATTTTATTTTGATATTTTTGCATTTGATCGATCGCCTGTTGTTGAGTGGTCGTCTGTTGTAAAGTGGTCGCCCGTTGCTCAATGATCGCCTGTTGATGAGTAATCGTCTCTTGGAAGCCATGTGGTAAAATATTTTTATTTTCCGCGAAATCTTCCAAAGTGTCATACAGCTTCTTTGCAGCGACAGGCACTGTGTCCATAACGAGTTGGGTATATACTAACGTATCGTCCAGACTTAAGCTCATCATTTGTTTTTTGGGCGATAATGATCTTGAGCCCGCTCGGGAGCGAGATGTAGAAAGAGATCTGGGGAGAGATATCGAAGCTGAAGAGCTTGGAAAGTTGCGAACTGCCGATCGAGGCGTTGCTTCAGGATCGACCGACGCATCCACGCTCTCTAATCGGCGTTTCTTTAGAGTTGATGCCCTACTGTCGGAATCTGTTGATGCCATACTGTTGGAATCTGTTCTCATAGAGCTAGATGGAGGACTGGCAAGGCAACTGCTAGATACGATTGTTTTTCTCTTGCGTTTTCGGGTCGCGTCTGAAGGTAGGGGATTGTCGTGCTTTCTAGCCTCCGAAAGGCTGCTAGACGCGATCTTGAGTTTTCTCGGCGCGATCTTGGGCTGTTGGGTCGCGTCCGAATGTAGAGGAATACCGTACTCCACAGCCTTCTCTGGAAGACTGCAAACCCAAGAATGAATCCAGCTATTGGCCATTTTATAAATACAAAGATAGAGGAAGGTAAAAGATTGTCTTAAGCCGGCAGGACACTACTCTAGGCTACTTCTTTGCAACTGTAAACTGTTTCCGCGTTGGCCTGCCAACAGCCCCATAATTCCTCTACGTGTACGAGTATAATAGGTACTGTGTTTAATGTAAAGCCTTGCCTAGCGCGCCCTTGCGCCCAGTGTATTCTAGTGGGGTAAGTACTACTTTTAATACAGTAATATGCAAGAGAGTCCGAAATCGGTGAAGAGCACATCTAGAAAACGGTGCACTGGCTCCGTTTAATATTGCAAGCCAGACCAGGAGAGGTTAGTGCCTTTACATTAGCGCCATGAGTCACATCTTCAAAAAACGGAAGCATATGCCTCTAATCTTGTAGCCCTAGACACCCAAATATGGCAGACTTGACTCATCCCAGAAGATCATATACGAGCGATCCGGACCCACTTTATTCCGTGTGTTACAAAGTGGAGTTGTTGCTGTTGTGGAAGACATATCTTGATTAAGAATGAATGTTGTGAATCGTAAAACTGATTGCAGTCATCGAATTTACAGAGCAGAAGTACTAGTAGTCAATGTCAAACTTAGCAGATGTTCATAATAATGATACTGGTCAGTTGGCTGTGCCCTTGTGTTTTTGATGCTTCAAAGAAACATGCATGAGATAATACGACTCGGTTTATTTGCATATAAATCATGACTCCGTCTATTCCCACTCAACAATTCATGTCGATTCAACATCCAACAAACCAATATCCTATCTTACCTCACTGTGATTTCATATACGAAGTGACAGCAGTAACACCGTTGCCATTCGAGTTTCTAGAGCGTAATGAGAGGAAGCTGTGTAGCATTATGCACCTGCATGTAGTTGGTTTAAGGCTCTTACGCTTCATCGACTAGAACCTTGATATTGCATGAGTTTTGCGACTTCTGCGATTTTGTTTTCGAGAACAAACCTGCGCCCAAGGATCATGTGTTTAGTCCGCTTTTCATCTTCTCATGGCAACCCTCGTTCAGTAATCTTTTCTAATTGCCTCTGGCTATCAACACAGCTATATATAGTATTTATTTCCACGGTTATTTCTATGTAACCTTGCGGGTTAATTTATAATACGTTACTAATCATACACTTGTGCAACTCTGCCGTGCATACCTACGTACCCTTACATTAAGGTGGGCATAGTGGAACATAGCGAGTGCTTAACTGTATGCTTAATCCAGAACGTTCAACAAACGGCGGCCGGCCTGATTCTTGACCGGTCGCTATTCCTGTAGTGGAACTCTACATATTCCTCTCTTGTCTCTTTATTTCTACCACCTTCTATATTCGTCGTCCAAAAGAAGAGACTAATGCCTCTATAATGACAACTCAGGTCCCGGATATTTAGGAGTCGTCCCATCAAGCTGTGCATATGTAATTAGCCTACCATTGGTGTTACTTTTGATACATGAACTATTCTATCCTGGGAATGCCTCGTCAAGCTTGCCCAAGATATTAGTGATCATGACTTACCTGGGTGAACAGCGGCTTGCCCTTCCCAGCTTGTATAAAACTTGGACCGTGTGGCCTAGGAGCTCGACTATTCTGTATGAGAGTAGATTCGAGCTTCTGTTTTGGTTTGATTGGAATAGGTAGATCCAAAAATGCGCCTATTATTAGCTCTTTGGAACAGCGTGATCGTGGTGTTAATAGCCTCGTCTCAGGTTACGGAAGCTGTCTCGAAGATTGAACCATGCGGCGAAGTCAGCAGCTTATGGGCTGCTCAGATTGGAAGCACCAGTGAGTCTTCCGAGCACACTAGATGAAGATATCAAGCTCTAATGACACCGCCGCACGGTTGCCAGCCACACCAACTGTGGCCGCCTCTCTTGCTCATGCTTGCCTGAACACGATCCCTCTCCACAAGGACGCGGGTATCCAGTTGATTGACGCCTTGGAGCCGTATCTGGAGTGGCAGTCGGACGCGGCCTACAAGGCAGATCCGCCTGCCGATTACTTCTACCCGCCCCACGATATCTTCAAGGCACTGGCTAGCGTCAGGGAAGATCTCGTGGCGGACAAATACACTAACGAATACGAGTTTCAAGCGGATCTTTATGCTCGAGTCTTTGGTCCAGCACACGATGGACACTTCGTCTTTTATCCAGATGCGTTGACCATCGCGTTTGAGTGGACACGTCCGAAGCCAATCGTGTCAATCAGCGAAAATGGACATGACTTGCCCGTGATCAAGCTCTATGGTGAGTCCCATGAATTAAATCTCCCATGTTGTTGTCTCTTGAACTTGCCTATGTAGCCTCGTTGGCAATAGCTGATTCGGTAAAAAAGAGGATGTAGTTAGGGACCCAAAGACAGCGCCCATAATAACAAAGATCAACGGGATTGAGGCCTCAAAATTCGTCCTGGACACCATCACAACGGCCTCTTTCAACCAGGATGGGGATGCCGCTTACAACTCCATGTTTTACTCGAAAGCGTTCACGGCGGCTACTGCAGGTACTGAAGGATACTTTACAGGCGGCGGCCGCACCCGATACATTTATCAGGGCCCAGAGACGACATTTACCTTTGACAATGGAACCAACGCAACCTTTGAGAACACTGCGTCGGTCAAGGCGAATATGACGGGCATCGTGGACGGCCAGTCCTATTTTGATACCCTTTGCGTTCTGAGTATCGATGGTCTGCGCAGGGTTGTACCTGCTACCATCGCCGCGAGAGCTCAACCGGGCCAGAACCCCGGATACCCCGAGCCAGTCCTGGCAACTGACGACGGTATTGCGTCTGGCTACTTTCTCAACGGTGACGGTTTCGATGATGTCGCGGTCATCTCGATCCTCACCTTTGATCCCAGCTCCCCACCCCAATTCCAGGCCGTTGTCCAGAACTTCTTTGCGGAAGCGGTGACCGCCGGGAAATCGAAGCTCGTGGTGGATTTCCAGGGCAACCCCGGAGGTTTCATACCGCTGGGCTACGACTTCTACGGTCAACTCTTTCCGCAAGTCCGAGCAGATGGGTTCTCGCGATGGAAGCTCAGCCCGGAGTTCGAGACCCTCGCCCATGTCTACAGTAACATTTCTCGGGGCGTGGATCCCTTCACTGAGGCCGATATTGAAAAGGTTGAAGCGTATCTGTCGCCGGAGAATTGGCGCTTCGACCTGGACTTGTAGGAGCGGGGGTTTACCAGCTTTGTGGACAAGATTGGGCCAAGGGTCTTCAAGGATATAAAATACACGGCTCTCATGCGGTGGAACTGGAGCGATCCTCTCATTTCGACGAACTTCACAGTCGGATTTGGCACTGAGATTTCAGGGTATGGATCCCGCGCAAATCTCACTCAACCGTTTCTGCCGGAGAACATTGTCCTTCTTTATGACGGCTCCTGCAGCTCGACTTGCACCTTAGCATCCGAATTCCTCAGAATCAACGGAGGCGTCAAGTCCGTTGCTTTCGGTGGCCGGCCGAAGAAAGGCCCGATTCAGGGAGTCGGTGGAGTGAAGGGTTCGCAAGTCTACCAGTTCGGCGATATTTTCCAGCTCGCTGAGCATGGGATACTTCTTGGCTCGAGTCCAGCGAATGCGGAGGCACTGCAGAACGTTTCAACCCTACCGATTGCGCGGAGCACGGCGGCGTCGGTGAATGTGCGAGACCAGATCCTCCGAACAAACACGGACGATGGCCTTCCGGCGCAGTTTGTCGTCGAACATGCCGACTGCCGGCTCTATTGGACAGCGTCCATGATCACGGATATCACCGAGGTCTGGAAGGCTGCTGCCAACGCAGCCTTTAACAATGCCGAGTGTGCAAATGGTGGCATTGAGTACCGAGCTCCGAAGGATCTTGTCCGACCCGATGCGAACCCAAAGCTTCCTATGGCTAGTGATTTTGACAAGATAGGGGATGCACGACACTCATCAGGGCTGTGGAATGCAAAGTTTCGTCTCCGTACTACAGCCTGAAGCTTGGTTTTTAAAACGCTTGTTTACAACGGAAGTAAACTGCCAAGCTAGGATTACACAAGTGAACAGACAATGAATAAAAATACCTGTAGAGCACTACTAGGGAATAATGACAGCAGAAGTTGCATAACGTGTACAAATACCAACCAGATATATTGCATGTAATATAAACTAGGTGCAACTTGTCTCCTTTACTCTCTTAGTACGGGTAATACCTATCATCGGCATTAAGTAATTGAGACTCCCTTGAATTCAGTAGAATCTTCAATTTTCGACGTTGTTTAGCGAGCTAAATTTCCATTTCTTCTTCATACTCTAGGCCGATGGTATCAAGTATGTCTTTATTTACGCCCACTTCCCTGGCAAGATATATGGCTGTGCCCTTCTGGCGCTTCCTATCTCGTCCATTAAAGTTTCGTTCATCAAACTCTCGTTTATCGGGATGCCTGCTCTGGCGAAGTGTATTGATAGCACGCTCCGTCCCGACACGGTCAATCATGACCTTGAGAAGATCCTTGCGTCCATAGAACGCTGCTGCAGCCAGTGCGCTTCCATGTCCACCTCGGTCAGACAGGACTGCTGGGTCCGCACCAGCTTCAAGTAGCATGTACTGCATTTCTCTGAGATGTTCTTCAGAATTTTTAGACCTAAGTCTTTTCGACACCAACGCCTCAAGCGCACTGCCATACATGCCACTTATCAGATGCAAATTTGGATCCGCGCCGCTGTCGAGGAGCATCTTAACAGTTTCCACATGATCTTCCATACTCACCTTCTCTACTGCTGCGACAAGAGGACTGCCGTACATGCCATTTTTCACGGCAGCATTAGCATTGGCTCCAGCCTTGAGCAGAGTTCGAACCGATTCGATATTGCCATACCCCATAGTGCTGTACCACACACTGCCGCTGTACCCCATTGCTGCGATCAAAACGTTTCCAAAATAGGGACTCACGTCATTCTCTCTCTCTAGATCAACGGCGCCATGATCCACCATCCATTGCAGCAGATCGGGGGAACGACTGGCAGCGAGTTGTGCAGTAGTTAGTGTCTTATATCTGCGATGGCAAGGGAAATTAACATCTGCATTCGCCTCCATTACAAGCCATTTCAAGATATCGTAGTTGCCTCTTCCAAACGCGGCTCCCAGCGCCCCGGCGTGTCTTTCTGCGTCTGGATGCGTAACATCAATCAAGCCGGCCAGATGCCTGCAGATTAGGTCGCAGTTGCTCCCTGCCGCGAGTGCAAGTGAGTTTTGGCCGCTACTATTTTGTCGGAGGGCCATCTCTTCGGTGATTTTGCCTCCTATTGAAAATACGCTTTATTTCATCTTGTGTCTCTGGTTTTCGCCGTTTAAATATCTCAGTTGAATAGAGCTTATCTTCCAGATATTTTTGGATGTCATCGTGTTGATTGCTGGCATCCACAGTGATTAGAAACTTGTCCTTGAATACTTCTTCCAAGTATTCCCGGTCTGGTCGGCTTGATATAAAGATCTTCACAGGCCTTTCAGACTTTTCCATCATTTGAATGAGACATTTTGCTAGATTGTACGTCGCAACATCAGATTCATCCAATGCATCGAGAACGATTGTTGTTTTTGAATAGAGATTTAAAGATTCTAAGATGAGCTCTTCGCAATCCTTATAGCTCAATTCTCTCATTTCCTTTTTCGCCTTTAAACATTTTTGTCGAAGACTGCTTTGTATTTCATCAGAATCATCAAAGGCCTTACCAGATAGCTGACGAATGAAGCTTCGTAAGACGACGAGTGGCTGCTGCATTGAGGATCCAGATCGATTGCAATAAAAATACGCAAACCCTTCATGGTGTGGGAATTTCTCCAAGTTGCTTTTTACATGATCAATCACTCTAGAAGTGAGATATGTTTTGCCAGTACCGCCTGATAACGTTAGCCAAGTATCATTCGCCACGCTAAGATCGACGTACCGGCCCCCTTGAGTAAAAAAACAGCTGAAGAGGAGGGTATATCTTGCCATGCACGAAAATCTCGGTTGGCCAATAGCCAATTTCCAGTGTTTTCTATTCTTGTATCTGTAACAGCAGCGTGGCTTTTCCCAAACATTTCCGAGCTGATAAAAATCATCAACTCCTCTAGCTCTCTCTTGTTGACTTTTTCTAAGAGGCTGGATACGCTGTCATCGATCCGAGGTAGTGGCGAAGATAACTGAACCAATTGTTTTCTCAAATCATCTAACTGGAACTTCATTTTCTCAGATGATACAGCAGAGCGAGATGCGTTGCAACATCTGATTTCGCTGTCAACGCCTTCCTCTTTTTTACGTAAATTTGAGACAAGATCTGCAGCGTAATTGGGGCTTAGGACAACTGATAAGATTTCTTTAAAAGCTCCCTTTTTCGCCATGACATCAAACCTCGCTACTAACTCAATAGCAGCTGTATATAGCTCAAGAAGAGCATTATGTAAATTCGATACAGCGCCCTCGTCTGTTGTTTCCGTGGTGTACAGAGATTCGTAAATTTGCCCTCTGCGAGTAATGCGTATAAACCACTCGATTGTGCCAAAAAGAGCAGCTTTTTGCTCAATATTTTTAACTGGGATCTAGCGCTAATTAGTTAGATACCTCCAAAGCGAAAGTCGTTTCCAAAAGCTAATTTCTAGAGCTTTTTAGATAATTTATAAATCTCATATCTGGGTGATGATCTGAGTCTAAGTAATTGACCCAGATCCAGATAAGTGGCCCATACATAGACAAATGAACTGGATATATAGGTATATGAGCTAATTTTAGATAGACGATAATGGCCTGACTCGACGAATCTGGCCAAGCTCGTCATCCAATCTCATACATCCTTGGAAAGAAAAAAAATGACATACTTTCATGATGGCCTTTGCAACAGCCCACGGCGCACTAGCTTGAGGTGGTGCGAAAACAATAGCTGCGTCGCCAACCATAGTAACAAAAGCAATAGCGTCTGCGAGATACTCGCGAACGATGATTTTGCGATTCGCGATCTCGATTTTAAGCGGTTCGCTAGTATCTTCTGACAAGTCTTTACTTTTCATGAGGCTAATAATCTCTTTGACTTGAGTTTGGACTTGTTTTCCGTCTAAAGAATGGAGATCTAGTCCTTGTTCTTTGAGCCATTTTTGAGTTGTATCATTTGCCTTACGAAAGGCTTGGCTCCAGAGATCTGACGATTGAGAGGGCAATAAGGACGGAGATATAGATGGTCGACGGCTTGTAGAAGGCCTCAAAAATACCTTGAAGCGCGAAGTATCGTCTGTTTGTGAGGTCGTAGAGGGACCTTCTCGTGCGGCTGAAGATGACGACCTAGATCGTTTCACCCAATTCAAGGGGTTTAGCAGTGAGTCTCTTTTTCTGCCTCTATTATCAGGAGCCATGTTATTTCCCACTTCTCTGAATGTTGAGATTGGTAAAACTCATCAATACGACACGAACTTATCATGAGCAAAATCCAGCACAGTGGTATCGAAATCGGCGTTGTTGCATGCATCTGTCGTAATAACTATACCTTATACCCTTATACACTTATACATTATTATGTGACATTTATTGGACACACGTGCCTACCTAGGTACTGTACCTACATATAATTTTCAGGTATCTGGCTTGTAGTATTTATTAGGTGGACTACCAACTCACTTATGACGGAAAGAGGGGTAAGTACATGTACTGTCTATTATATCCTGAGAATATTACTGATAACGATAGAGCATGACAACATTGAAACTAGAAGAATATGAAGAGAGGACTGTTTTTATTAACAATTTTGAGCTCATACGACGATGCTAGGAGGGAGAAAGGTAAAAGCAAAATAAAACAAAAAATGGCAAATTGGAAATGAGAACTTAGGTATTATTAAAGGGTCCTGGCTAGCGACAAGAGTTTCGGTCGAGCGGGCAGGATTTGTTTCTTTAGCATTAATGTATATCTCGTGTGGCAAACGGTATCTACAGTGACATTGGTGGAGGACAGATGCTTCATAACGACGCTCGGACGAGGACCAAAATCGAGAGTCCCACTGCTCGCGCGTAGCATTTCCCGCTAGGTATCGCTCTAAGTGCAGTGGAATGGATCATGTAGGTGTATATAAGTTATATGAGACGTTATAGGGAGATTTATTTTACTATGACCATAACTATGCATCATATATCTCGGTCATGTTAACGTACGACTGCAGTTCGTTTTCGTTTCTGTAGCTAGGAATGGCTGGCGTTTAACAACAGCTGTAATCATCATATTGTCTCTATATTCTTAACAAAATCTTGGTTCATATATCAGTAACATACCTATGATACGGTTAAAATAAGGTTTTGGTTAGGTAGCTTGCTATGCAGTGGCTGCCATATGCCAACAGACCCTGTAATGTCTTACGAATACTTCTTACATGTACTAAACCAGCAAAATTTTCCCCGCTCCCGCTTTTAGTAAGAGGGACAGAGTTTCCTATGGCATTTTAAATAGTTTTATATTCTGTATCGAAAAACATATTATCCAAGCATATAGCCCCGGGCTGCTGCAATACCAACTCTTACTCTTCTACCACCTATAGTGCTCCTTGGTTGAAACAGTATAGGGCGCCATTCGCATTCCCAATAACATTATCTTTATAGTAATATTAATAAAAACACTGACAAGTTATGATATAATTTAACCTACTTGTATCTATCGATGTATTGATACTGGCGCCCGCTGTATTGCGACAGCTAGCACTGAGAACTGTGCCCGTGAGTATCACATTCGTGCAGGACGACCCAAATGAGCCACTATACATATATAAGTGAGCGAGTATAATAAGAGATCGACTATGAAAAGTAGTGCTTACTTCAGCTGAGCAACAAGGGATCCATTTGAGTTGCTAAAACATGAGTCGATGTTGATTTTGGTATTCAGATTAGTCTGCTGTGCATTGTTTGTGCAATCCGCAGCAATCTTCCAGTAGTTGGTATTGCCGTCAGGAGGATATATTTGTATATTTTTGCAACTTGCTGCGTAGCCCGAGTTAGCGAATACGCCTACCGAGAACTGGGCCAAGGCGACAAGGGCTAATGCAGCGAAATTCTTTGTCTGCATGGTGTGTGACTATGGATAGTGTTTCACAGCTCCAACATGCGAAGAAATGTCAGAGGTCGTGGGGATAGCTTTTTCCTTAATATACTAAACATTTGGACAAATCAGGAAGCCAGCACACTTCGCGCTTCGCGAGAACTCGTGCGCTATTGCTATACTAGCCTTTTCAGCTTGGAGGCTTAAGCAACAGGGATTGTGTTTATTTGATTTCCCTTCTTCTCAGTATCTAAAGAGACATAGGGAATAAATGCCGTGACCAATTGAATATCTGTAATTTTTTTCAGGTCTGTTCCTCCCCAAAGATAGGAACGGGGCATGGTGAATTGTCTACAAAAACCATGACTTTCGGGTGCCTGGATGTGTATCGAAACCACAAATTTCAGTAGCATTAGGCACCCATCATAACCCTGCAAAGTGTTCTAAAGAGCAATTTTGGAGACTAGAAGGATTCAGAATTGCAGTGTTTAGTCTAGCCTCTGGCGATTATGTGGGACGAAGGAGTTTAGACAAGCAACTACTCGTCAACACCTTCCACCTTGAGCTGGCCCAAAAAAGGAGCTGCTTGTGTCTTTTTAATGCTGATATTAATTGCTAATGTTTATTTAGTCACTTATCCCTCGTAAGCAAGTGAAATACCGCTTTTTAATTCTGATGGTGTAGATGTAATGATATTGGGAGCTGCATTTTGGTTTGCTATTTCTATTAAACGTTTTGAAAACACTCATTACGGCATGTAGATGATATATACGTATGACATCAAGAGTAGCTGCAAAAAGAGCTTAGATCTATACTGTCACTATTCTCCGAGACCACATCTCTGTGAAGTGTACTATAGTCTGCAAAACAGCCTAGTTGCTGGGTCTCCCCCGCAACTTGACATGGAACATGAGAAAAACTCCCGCGCCAATTAGAATACGCAAACGTTGCAATGGCTATCCCATAGCCATAGCAGACGCATGTTCAGAACCAGATGCATCAATGCTACTTGTCCACACTAGGAAGGACAATCCATATGGTCATATCTTGCGTGAATAGACGAGGTTTTAGCGCCGAACGCTACCGTAAGTGATACATCAACGTTATTCGCTGTCTTAGTGCGTACTCTTTGCTACAGTTCTCCTTTCCACACGCTATCAGGATATATTGTCACTTTCCATTCAGTCTGTGGCCACTACATATCAATATAATTAAGCTTCGTGTATGAGTAGTAGTAACTATTTGTATAACGGCAGAATAACGTTCGAGGCAGAAAATGAGTATCAATCGGAGTCACTGCAAGGTCTTATAAGTCAAATGGAACCCCCGGAAATAAAGTGTATATAATTTTCGGTCCTGACGATCAATTCTTAGTTGGATCGTTTCCCTGCTAGCTGCCTTACTATAAGCGTCTAAGAGTGGGCTGACGACTCAAGGCCATGGCACCAACATCGGGCCTTCACAAACAGGCTGAATCAATACTAGTGCCAGCCATAAGAGGATTGCAAAGGAATGAGATACATGCTGCTTGCTTTGTTGACGTACCGACTCCCTTGTCTCGTGCCGTGTATAGTCTACATGGAGCTATTAACGTGAAGAAGTTTGCTGCCTAGTACGATTAGTGTTCCTCGTGACTACGGTATGTCGGTATAGGAGGCTTCTTTACAAATTCACTCTCACATGCATGAATTGCCTTGAAGTATGGAATCTTCCGGGTCCAATTCAAGGAAAAGTATCACTTACTGACCGGGTCGGCCCATGGATCTAAAAAGAAAGATGTAGGTGGCCATAAATTTAGATGTTGCAGCACCCGCATCCTCTAATGTGGGAGGCAGTTTTTCAGATTTATCGTTTGATCTAGTTATATCATATAGCTATTTTTTGCATCCATTATGGCAAGAAAGACGCTTTTTGCTTTGACCGCCTTGGTAGCGGCCGGAGCCTATGCTGATAACACGTCCTACGATGTCAACGCTGGTTGCTCGAAGTAAGCTCCCTGATCTTTCCGAGATTTTTCCCTGTTCTTCTAGCCAATGGCTTTTGTTTCTAGCCTGAACTAATTGTTTATTTCCAAGTGACCAACTTCTCCGATGGTATGACAAAGACCTCGGACTCTTCCTCTATCCCAATGGCGCCTACTACTTCTGGCAAGCCGGCGTCATGATTACAGCAGTTGCCAGTCTCGCTGCGCTCGATAGTGGTGTCAAGAACAGGACTGCCTGGATGTGGCAAAACACTTATCTCAAGGGAGGTCAGCCTTCTCACGGTGTCATACAATTAGACGGCACAGGCCGTAAGATCGTTGTGCCTAAGGGATCTGCGCGCAGCGTTCCCGGCAAGTTCAGTAAAAGAGAGCAAGGTTTTCTAGCAAGTCACTAGTGAGTGTTTTTGCTCTTTTGGCGAAAATATCTAAATTCAATGGTTCCTGATCAAGAATAAAAACATGTAGCGACGATGAAGGTTGGTGGGGCTTGGCTTGGCAAGATGTCTACGATATCACCGGAGATCAGGATTACCTCACGGAATCCATTGCTATTTGGCAGGATATGAATGCTGGCTGGGGCAATCTTAATTGTGGTGGTCTTCCTTGGTTCAAAGGCGAAGTCAAGACCGACAATCCACTGGCTATCCCTAATGGTGGGTTCTTTCTTCATCTCACAGCTGGCAACTGGAAGATATAAGAGGTTAACATGGAATGATAGAGCTGTACCTTGCCATTAGCGCTGGTCTCGCCAACCGTGTTCCTAGCAGCCAAAAGCAGACATACCTTAGTGCCGCTCAAACAGTGTGGGCCTGGTTCCAAAAGGTTGGCTTCGTCAACAGCCAAGGCCTTGTCAACGACGCTGTTAACGGCAACACCTGTGTGAATGACAACAACCAGCCAACTTGGACCTACAATCAAGGTGTTATCATAGGTGGTCTTGCAGACCTCTATATCGCCACGGGAGACTCATCCTACCTCACATCAGCCAGTGTCATTGCCAATGCTACCATGGCTCATCTGGTCGACAGTAACGGCATTCTTGCTGACAGCTGCGATTTGACACATAACTGCAGTGGCGATAATCTTCAGTTCAAGGGTGTTTTTGCTAGAAACCTCCAAAAACTGTACCACAGTCAGCCTTATCCTGCCTACAAGGCATTTTTAGAAAAGAACGCCCAGTCCATCTGGCAAAATGATCTCGCTGTGGAGGCAGGCGACTGCTTCAATGGTGCTGATTGGGGTGGTCCCTATGTTCTTGGCTCCGCTACAGCCAGTAGCCAGAGCAGCGCCCTTCAGTGTCTCGTTGCTGCTCTCTACGTCTCTCAGAATTAGAGCCGATGGATGTGGCATAAGATGTGTAGCTAACAGTAATGTATATAATTTTATGCTTAGATGATCATTTCTCTGAGAATCGGCAATAGTTAAACATTTATCTATATAGCATATTAACTAAACGATTCTTCGTCTTAGCTGTTACACTTGGCGTAATTACTCGCGCGGAATTGGTGAATTACTAAGAATTGTTCAAATTGCGGAGATAATCCTAATGGTTTTGTGTAAATATGAAGGAAACATTGTAAATGCCAGCTCACATGATAACTTTTACCAATCCATCAGATGCGGCCGAACAGTATCTGTCAAAATTAATTTGCGCATGTGAATGTGAAAAATGTGAAAAACGTCGCGCTCCCCCAAAGTGCGGGAGCCAAAGGCTTTGGCTACAAGGCATTCAGAACGGTATATACTCTTGACTATGGAGAGATTTCATCCCAATTTAAAACTACTCCGTGATATTCATCTTCTCCTAAAACCAGTTTATATCAGAGAGTACAACTACAGCACTAGGTACTCTAAAAATATATTGACATGAATAGACTAGGTAGAGAAGTTTTGAGTCTATGGTAGTTGAAAGGAGAGCTTCTACCCAAATAATATCCTCTGAAAGAAACAGGATTGGGAACATACAGAGTAGCTGAATGTACATTGTATACACCGTTTTCACTTTCAGGAAACAACTCAGTCGTAGGAAATATGTGCTACTGATATCTTTCCGAGTTACGACACCTACGAACATGTAGATTACAGTGTACAGACCACTTCTGTCAAATCTGGGCCAAACCCGCTCGGCCATTTCCAGTAGCTACCAGAGCTGTGGCACCAACCGGCAAATTCAAGATTCCTGGATGACCACATCGTCTACCTGCTTCAGAAAAAGAACGCAAAATTCAGGGACACACCTCCATTCTTCTTCTTCAACAAACAATTGCAAATCTCTCACCCCATATGTATCACATCGATACAACGATGGAAGAAGCCAACAGACAAGACGGTGTAGTATGCCATGAGGAGGCTCAAGATGCCTTCTCTTACAACAATGACGACGCGACAGGCTTTGAGCAGGGCAATGTGCTAAGCTTAGAGAACGACGACGATTTAGAATTTGAAGAGGATTACGATGATGTACAAAAACATAAGGATGTCTCCGCGGCTGTTGTGAAGTGCATCTTTCTGTTTGGTAAACAAATGGGCCAAGCAAATTCACCATGTGCCTCTAACAAGCCGGAGACTACCAATGAACGTTCAAAAGAGATTGCCGAGTTCATAGTGGATATGAACTCAAATTCTATGTATTGGTTTGAACGCACTAGTGCTCTGGCTAGAGATATCAGTGATTCCCTGTATTCACTCTTTCAAGAGTACAGAGGTGTGAAAACTGAGGTTATAGGTCTTCTAGAGGTCCTCATAGAAAATTTGGAATCTGGTACGCTTCTCTTCTAAGGGCATTTATAAGTTATGAATTGTGGCTCGTGAGCTAATTATGACCAGTAATTTCAGGCGGAACGGAATACTTATACACACCGCTTGAGGCGATGGAGGGCATTCGATTTGCGATTGAAGAGCTACATGCCTTAACGGAAATGATTCGCAAAGCATCTATACGGAATGAGGACCTCAGTCTCGACGCAGCATTCATAAAAGACGATACCACGGACTTTAAAAATCACATGTTTCCCATTATCAGGCGCATGTTTCCCCATGCTCAGCCTTCTCTCTGCGATCAACTCGCCTTGTCCGTTGCAATTCGCCGAAGACGCTTACGTCTCACGTTCAAAGATGCAGAAAAATTGAGGGCCAGAAGAGCCCGAAGTGCCCGAAGCCAAAGCAATAACAATCAAGAATATCCAGCCTCTGCCATTCCGTCACAGCCATCTCAGCCTCAGCCTCAGCTTTTGTACACGCTTGCTCGTTTGCCACATAACGTGGAAGGTGGTATTACTTGCACAGAATCTGTCGTTACGAGGAATAAGCTGAACGTTGGTGTAGCCTACAGCGACTTCCAATATGGATCAGCTCCTTCAGCTAAGAGTATGGGATCTTCTGTGTGCCTATCTACGTGCAAATCCCCCCCCAATCCTCATTTTCCACCAGGTACCACGGACTGTATATGCCCGTATTGCGCAGAGAAAGTTTCTACCGCTTTTCTCAGCCGCCATCCTAAAATCTGGAAGTACGTATCTGCTTCTCATTCCCTTGATTTCCAAACCTATATATTCTACCTATTCTACTTTAGAGACCATTTAAATGAAGACGTAAAGCCTTATGTTTGCCTTTCGGAACAATGCAGGACTCCAGTGCTCTTCTTCAGAACTATAGGACATTGGGTCGATCACATGAACCACAGGCACTCACCTGAGTGGACCAAAAGAATTCATATCGGCACCTGGCTCTGCGATTTTGAGCATGACGTTGCCCGTTTTAATGAGCTTGAAAGCTTTCGGGAGCACATGAATGATGAGCACAACCATCCCATTAGAGGACCGCCGACTAAGCATGAACTGGATGTACTTGAAATCTGTCAATACAAACTTGTTACTCGCGACGAGCATATTTGTCCATTTTGCGATTGCATTCCGGATATTCCTAAACGGGACATCTCGACTAGTGCCTCAGAGGAGAATCTACATCAGCCGTTGCACGAGCATATTGCTAGCCACCTCCAAAATCTCGCTGTCCTGTCTATTCCGGGCTTGGACACAGCCGAAGCGTCTGAAATTATGTCAGACAATTGCAAAGCCGAAGAAAAATGCAGCTGGTTAGGGGAGGGCGAGAAAGATTCTTGCCCGAGAGGATATGCCCGAGAACTGTGCGATATTTCGCTCTCAGACGTCCGAAGTAGCAGCGATGTAGGCCAAGAACCGAGGAGGCGACGTAAAAGCGAACCTGAATACTTGCACTACCACATGAGAGACAACATCGATGAAGAACTAAGGGCCTACTTTGGTACATTAGAAATATTTACTGCCCATGGGATTGAATGAGATGACGCCATATCTATTTAAAACACAGGTCAAATTGGGGTGCGTGACCTTATTACCGTCTTGTTTAATAGCGGTTTAGCAGTTAGTTTTAGTTGTTAGTTAAAGATTGATAATGCATATGCCAAGTTTCATCATTAACTAGTAAGTTGTGCGAATCTTGGTTTTTCTCCTGGCTCCATCACATTCTGCTTCTCTCTTCTTTCTAAACGGTAAGCCCTTTATTACTAGGATATTGACAGTGCTATGTTGAAGAAATGTGGTACTATCCCTAACCCATACGCCATTACACGGTCTGTACGCCTTCTAGAGCCTTCTGTTCTCTCAGAATCGGCTGCAACGAGAGGGGCCGAACAACCTGGGTTGAAAGCTTTAAAGCGTGAATTGCATCACCGTGAGACTTGATAACAGCTTCATTCAGCCGCTGCTGAACAAAATTGAGTCTCCAACCGTTATGCTGATGATGTATGAATTTATCAGGGCTTTTATAATTAGAAGCCGGACGTCTCTAGGCAAGCCATCTAATGATGGACCACATTGCACGTCGCTAAATAATGAAGACATAGTGTGATAGGATGAAGTCATAATATGTTCAGTAATAGCGAAAAATAGAAATATACGTTAGCGGATGTAAATTCGACAGTGTGTACACGTTACGAAAGGAATGGACTTTTTTATCACAGGAAACGGGAAAGGAATATAGGTAGGCAGGTAAAGCTGGTAGTAATTTAGTCAAGATCGTGTCGATAAGAAGACCACAACCAACGAGCAGGTAAAGCTATGATGAAATCGGGTGTAATTTTATGTCGACGCGTTAGAGGCGTGCCATTTGGGTGATGGAGGAATTTTCTGCGTGTATAATCTAAGGTTTCTCCAGAGTGAGGGTGACAACGTTGTATTGCTTGTGAATAATAAACTATGAGGAGAATGGAATCTATATCACGTATAGTAGTATATTGTATTGTTACTGCAATACTTTACAGTTTTTTGTGCGTGTATTAGTCCAAATAGTTCCGACAAGGCGAAATTGGTACCGCTTAGCTATTCCCATCCAAGCTCACTTATTCTCATAATAGGATTCTCTACTCCAAAAGTTCCACATCCCAGAACATAGCTGTCTATCCTACCTCGTAAGCTCCTATTAATCACAGCTTCACAAGATGAGTGCCCAATATGCTGGCCAAATGGTTACACCAGGGTCGCGTCGACAAACACAAGCCGCATGTCCCATATTCCGTCTTTTGAGCTATCAAATTGCTCCGAAAGACGCCCAATGTACGATAAACAAAATAGACGGCCCTCGCTCTTCTTCATGCTATACGTTACCTCGTCCAACAATGATGGCGTGTCCGCACTTACACCGCGCACCAGCTCGCCTCACTTGCCTCATCCGCTCCCTGGCTCAATGCTGCACTATCAAGCAATGCTATGGGGATGTAACATTCAAATATGCTCTTCGCTGGCACCAGAGGAAGATTGCCCACGTTTGCCCAACCGGACATAAGGCCCGTCTGTTAAGGTTAAAGACAGCATAAATCCATTGTGCAGCAAGGCTGGCTGCAGCGAATGACCACGTCTGTGGCAGTATAAGTTTGCTGACTTCTCCATCATCTTTTGCATTGGACCAGGTACATAGTCGACTTTCTATATTTGTTTTGACTCGTCACGAAACCTGTCGTTGAAAATGTCTGCCGCGATTACGGCTTATCACGATGGCCTCATGTGGGCACCAGGGGCGTCCTGACATGTATGGCTTGGGCATACGGCTTGGCATTTACATCTAGTGGTTTGGCGAGATACTGGTCGAGTTCTTTGACGAAGCAGATGTGTCCGACGTACGGCTTCTGGGCCTTCTTCTGTCCGGGGGGATCATTCTCGGATCGCTTGTTGCGATTGCTGGCCAGGACATCCAGCCCGCCGATATTTATATCGTACTCCAGCTCGCAGCTGGATGCTACGTCTTTCTGATACCGATATATATCTGGAATACACTCTCTTGTTGCAACCCCAAGTGGGATCCTCTGAAACGGACAGGAGAAATCAAGATGCCCGTATATATTGTTTCGAACATGATCCTTCTAATAGTCATTTCAGCCGTTGGGATCTGGTTCTTTGCGACTTACATACCGACCAAAGGGCACCAATGCGAGCAGTACGGCTTTTTCTTCGCCAAGACCAAGCTTGGCAATGCCGCATTCATAGTGGCTAACATCGTCATCTACGTCATCATCATCCTCATCTGCGTAGCCATGATGCTCTCTTGGACGGGATTTTGGGATGGCCAGTTCCAAATACATAGGCGGCACCGCCGAAAGAGAAGCCATCGAAGACAGTCAGCCTCACTCCCCATCCCCCCTTGCTGAAGAAGTGATTCATACCAAGATAGTTTGGTATCTGACATGGAGCCATCAGGCCAGAGCGGGTCGACCAAGAACGTATTGCACGACGGAGACGCGCCAAGCAGGAACAGAAGGACCTGCTTCGGACCATGCGCGGCATATCGAACCTGGTCGTCTATGGGCTTCACATCACGGCCATTGAGCTGACGCTGCGGTGGAATCAGTTCGACAATGTCGACGGAGTAAACACCAGCGCGCAGACGATTCCGCTTCTTGTCAGCCTCGGCATCTTGCTGCGCCTTGTTGTATCGCACTACGCAAGGACCGTTGGTGGCAGCACCGATGGACAATCTGCCAGCGTTGAAGATGGGCCTCAGCCTGCCGAACCAGAAGACCCTAGAGGCTGCAGATGTCAGCGAGCTCCAGCTCCAGCTCCAGCTCCAGCTCCAGCTCCAGCTGCAGGTAGAACTCCATATAGACCTTACCAAGCTCAAACAGCAGCAGCAGCCACGACAGCTCCTATCCCAGAACTAGAGGTCCTCAGCGAATATGTGGCCGGGATGGACATGGACGACGTGAGCGAGTATTTCGCCCGTGGCTCAGACCGTTATTGGCTGGCCAGGATGGCGATCCAGAACCGTGAGACGGCAGAGCGGGCCGCAGCAATGGAGCGGCAGCGAGCGCGAGGGACGATGCCTCGACCGGCGAGAGCGCATGCTCGCGGCGTGCTATAAGTGAGAAGATGAAGACGAAGTTGCAACGGGAGGCGATGGGAACGGCATCAACAGCAGCTGTATGGCAAAGTTGCCTGAGGCCAATACAAAAAGATGTATGACACACATGATGTATTGATGTATAAACTATGCACTTGCGTCTTTCAGTCTAGCAAATATCAACACGTCGGTTCTGTGTCTAGCTCTCTTCGTCCCTCTGTCCCATCATCCGAAATTCAATGCCTCCAGACCATCAAGGTGAAGCTGCGCACTAAAGCCTCCACTAAAGCACTAGAGCACTAGAGCACTAAAGCTTTCCCCCTCTAGCACCTGATTTGACGCCGCTCTCACTAATTAAAGCCCCCCTGCCAGCCCCGCAGCCTCGCATAGCACCCAAGCAACGCCAAAAGTAAACAGTTTGAAATCGGCTTGAACCGCCTTTTTTCTCAATACATCATCTATCATCACCATCCCCACGTCAACAGCCTCTTCTCCCTCTGCAACAACACCCACAGCCATGGAGACAGATTTAAAAAGGACAGCCCCAAAGACATCGGCGACCAAAGAAAAGCGGCCCAAGGACAAGGAAAGGTCAAAGGAAAAACCAAAGAACAAGGACAAGGACGAGTCCAAGGTGCACAAGCTGTCGCTCAAGGGCAGCTCAAGGCTTGTTGCTGAGTTTGTAAGCATTTCCCCCGAGAAATCTCTTTTTCACGATTGTTTCAAACCCGCAGATGCTAATTGAATCGCGCCCTTTCTTTCTTTGCTAGTTCCAATACTCGATACACACGATCTTGTACGAAGTCCTGCCAGAAAGCGAAACCGCACCGAAGACGAAGAACTGATCGCGTTATTGCAGATTCCAACGAGGCGTCTACCCAGCCGAAGACTTCACAGCGTACGATGCCATCCTCCTTTCCCACCCCAGAGTCCAATTGATCCAGCCGATCAAGAGAAAAAGACACCATCAGCTAATGCGCATCTCCTCTATCACAGCGTCAAGAAATATGGCCTCAACATGCTGGGTACATCATACACCTCCCTTGCTTCAACCGCCCTCCCAATTCTGCTCCCAGATTGACTGACCCTCCCGCTACGCGATTCTAGTCTCGGCCGACGACCAAGTCAAAGCCTATATCAAGAAAATCATGAGCCAGCTCGACAAGTGGATGGTTGGCGGCAAAATCTCCAAGCTCGTCATCGTCATCACCGACAAAGATACCGGCGAGCACGTTGAGCGATGGCAATTCGATGTGCGTCATACCAAACCTCCCTTTGTTACGAATGCTATCCACCAATCCCCATCGTCTTCCATGTCTGACAAAAAAAAATATACGACATAGGTCCAAATCTCCGCTCCGACCAAATCAAAATCCAAGCAATCCACAACAGACTCCTCCGCCCCAACCGACGAACAAGACCAGCAACAACAGCAACAAGAAAACTCCTCCTCCTCCGCCAACAATACCCTCTTCGCCGACAAAGAAAAGCCCGAATCCGAGATCCAGGCCGAAATCGCCGCCATCTTCCGCCAAATCACCGCCTCCGTCACCTTCCTCCCCCAGCTCAGCGGCGACTGCACCTTCAACGTCCTCGTCTACGCCGACGCGGATAGCGACGTCCCCGTCGAGTGGGGGGACTCGGACGCCAAGGAGATTGAGAACGGCGAGAGGGTGCAGCTGAGAGGCTTCAGCACGGCGAACCACCGCGTCGATACAATTGTCAGCTACAGACTGGGGGAGTAATGAGATTTTTTTTTTTTTTTTTTTTTTGCGATGGAGTATAACTGGATAGAAAGGCGAAGGGGTAAAAAGGTAAAAGGATTTGTAATATTACGAATATGAGGCCTTGCATGTCAGGTGGGTTGTCTTTTAGACGCGACACTGGGTTTCCTACGGCGTTGAACTGGAATGGAATATATCGGTGCATCATAAAGCTTCACGAATCTCTCGACACATTTAGATGTGCGACTGAAGCTACGGGTTATATATTGATGAATATTCTCTTATTGGTATCCGGCTCTCTTTGTGTGATACTTCATCTATTGAGTTGTATTTCCCTCTCATTCATGACTCCTCTGAAGAAACAATTCATCAAGCACTGCTATGTCCCGGCAGCGCACTAAACGCCGTCTCTCCCATGCACAATCTACTCCCCAGGGGAGCTTCATTCTCCTCTTACGCTCTCTTGAAAAAGTACACGTATGCAAACTTGCGCATTTCTTCAACATCATGAGCCTCTACGACCTTTTCATCATTGAAAAGCACCCACGTGGGCGTATCTTTGCCCTCCACAGACTTTCGAATAAAAGCGACATAGTGACTAGATGGATCGGTCAGTAGTTGTTCTCCTCTACGCGTGTTCAAATTATTTAACAAGGCATTAAAGAAGGGGGGAAAAAATAACTTGCCCTGCGTGGATACTCGTGCCCTTGTGGCACACGATGGATTGCAGTTGAAACTGTGCTGGCAGTACTGCGCTTCCAGCAGGCTCTTTTTGAGACTGTTCAGCCGCCTCGCCAGAACTCTCGTCTTCCATGATGCCTTGGTCGTCGGGGTGGCTGAACAACCATTCAACAGCTCGCTCGACATCGCCGCCCGTTTCTTTCAGCGCCTTCTTGGCCTGAGGGGCACCGAAACCCATAGCCCCCAGCATCTCAATCTTTTCAGGGTCGGCGGTGCCTACGTCTCCCGATCCAGCGCCCAAGTCAAGAGGCGCATCAATGTCGGCATCATCGAGATGCGCAAACAGCCACTCCATGGCGGCATTGGCATCCGAGTTACCTGTCGCATGCAGTGCTTTTTCGGCGCGGTTTCGTGGAAAGCCCATGGCCTCGAGCTGTGCAACCGCAGCCGCATCTGGTACAAATGCAGGAGCTTGGTTTTCGGGCTCCTCTGGCAGGAGTTCTTCTGAAGGCTGAAGTCCTTTGGAGAGGTAGCCATCTAACAAGAATGGCTCGTCTGGGACAATAACGGGGACATCAATCTTGATGGGAACCCAGTTCACCACAGCCATCTTTCGTGCATTTACGGCCAAAACGTTGGGGAAAGTCTTGAAGAGGGATTGCTTGGTGAAGCCCGCTTTGCTGTCGCATGATGAGCAAGTCAATTCAACCTTCTCGGGCGCGGTGAAATTGTCCAAGCATTCCTTCAGAGTGACTGGCTTGTAGGCATTAGCCGTCTCGGCACCTTCACTTCCAGCATCAAGCTTCAACAAGGGCACGTCGAGGAAAATGTTGTCCTGTTCGTTGGAGCTGTACCTGACTTTGTGGCATCCAAGACACTGGAGCCGCTGCTCTAGGACAAATCGGAATTCAGAGGTAGGGTCTTTTTGGCCATCGTGTGGTGACCGGCTAATGAGTTTGAAAAGATGCTGAAACAATTCAAAGGCATCTTGCTGCCTCATCGTAGAGAACTCTTCGTGCCCTCTTCCTATCAAATGCTTGAACATTGCTGGCGCTAAACCTTTCTGGTAGGCAACTTCTGACCCCGATGCCACAGAGCTGTCCGGCTCCGAATATCGTCCAGATAACAAACCATCAGCAATCTTTCTCAGCTGCGTCTCAAGGTCGGCTGCGGATTCCTGGACTATCGGCAGATCCTTATTTGCGCCATAGTAGCGTTCTTGGAACGATGGCATATCAAATAGGCACTGGATAATGCTGGCTAGGTAGCAGCTGTTACCGAGATTCTTCAATCCAGTGAGACCGGGTCCAAAAACAGGCTTCAGCTCGTGGCCATCTTCCGTAGTCATGCTAAAGTCCCATTTGAGATTCTGTTCAATCTGCATCTCGGTCAAGCTCTTTTCTGTCTTTTGTCGCTCGGCAAGAATGATTCCCCAATGGGCCAAGTGCTCGCCGAGCTGCTCGTCGATTCGCTCTTCGTCGCATCTATAACAATAAATATCGGCGGTGCCTTCCGGTGTGATCGATCCCAGCTTGACAGCTACGCCGTGCCCAGACTCAGTGGCGTGACCCAGAGCGTGAGAATTGCCGTCAACGCCACCCATCTGTTTTCGGCCACAACCCAAGTTGCCACATTCAAGGCAAAGCCAAAGGTTTTCCCTCAGGTCACAGCCTGAGCAGTGGCCAAGGTCGCCTTGCTCGATCTTGCGAGACGGGTGCTGCTGCATGGTCAAGATATGCTCGCATGACGTGAGCTCTTGCTCCCACGCTTTTACTTCCTCCTTTCGAGAAAAGGTATGTGCTTTCAGGATGCCATCCACGATGGGTGAGATCTTGGCATTTTCGATATCCAGCTCTTGTTGGCATTCGATGCATTTGACAGCCAGCGCCGTGTCGTATCGGTCTTCTTCCGTCTCGGCGGCAATGGCAAGCTTCGTGATCTTAGCCGGAGGCTCATCGCGATCGATCGTCTTTCGGGTGCGGCGGATGTTGAGAGCAAGCGGGTGGCTCCAGACGGCGTTGTGAAGCAACGAGTGCTGTCGTTCGGCAGTGCAGCCACCATTGAAGCATTGGAGGCAAACATCGAGGCCTCCGGGGTTGTCCTATGGATAGAAAGAAAGACAATCATGAGCGCCGCCGAAGTCTTCGTTTGAAGGCGGTTAATCGGCCTGCTGAAGAATACATACAATAGAGTCAAAGCATTGTGTGCAATCTTCCTTATACACAGACTGAACGGGAGTCGGCGGCTTGAGCTCTATGATGAATGGATATGAGCTCTCTTGAGCTTGACAGGGCTTGGAAACAAGCGTCCAGCTGAAAGTTGGCGGCGGGGTAGGGCATTGACGTACCGACAGACTCGAGATGAGGGCACGACATATCGCTGGTGGTAGGGAGAAGCAATGGAAGAATGACAATAAATGAAGGAAAGCGACGATATTTGTACGAAACAGGCCCGTTTCTGCGGCGAAAGAAAAATCACGAAGCGCAGTGTTGATGGAGCTTTTGGCGGTTGCTATGACGAGGCGAAAAGCACCCTATGCGCTGGGCGAGCGCTATCGATTAGCGACTAGTGCGGGCTGCAGCAGCTTTTAGGCGCCCACAATTTAGCCCTTGGAGCTGTTAGGCTGCCCCTCGATGACGGAGTTTTGGATCTGGAGGGGCAGCTTGATGACTTCAGCGCAGATACGGGATAGGACTAGCGCCGCCATGGCTGGCATCGGCCGCAAACGTGCTGTAGGCGTGCTGTAGGCGTGCTGTAGCTGTAGCTATGCTGTAACAGTCGGCAGATTGTAGCTTCCAGGCCCTGTTAACTTTCAAATGCCGTGGATAAGAGCACCTAGATTTCCAGAAACTCCTAGTATGTATAGACGTCATGAGTGCCATGTGTATCTGCTGAATATAGGCCCATGTCTCCCTGTCAAGATGCATTGCTCATTCGCTCTGCTGTTGCATCAAACAAGTCTGCCAAAGCATGCAGTCATCAGACGGCACGGGCAAGATGGGATACAACGCTGGGAATTTAGCGGTCGATTTAATAGATCTCGGGCTGTGGGGTTGCTCTGCTGACGGGGACTGTCCCGCAGTGCTGGGACGCGGGCGAGATGACTGCTGGCTTCAAGGTTGTTCTGAGCGCTACTGGATACATGTACTGCTAGTATGTAGATATAGCTCGCTCGCTCTTTTTCCCCAAATCGAGAAGCACAATCAATGTCTAGCTCACCATCTCTGCACGATATGCACATGGCTGCCGTACTGAGCTTTATTGCATTCATTCAACCGACGATACATACTGCTGTACAGTACACATGGCGGTGGTAGTTCTTGCAGCCGGCGCAAATGTTGGACCGCGCCGCCACTAACAAAAGAGCACGCCCAAGAAGCTCCTCGGAGACGTGTCGAAATCCGAGCGGGCTGCCCAATTTCGCGTTCGTCGTCGCCAGGCCACGTGACGAAATCCCCGTCTCACGTGCATCTTATCAGATTGATTTCCAATCGTTTTGCGGAGCGTTGACGACTCTTTACGTACGGCAAACCAATCAGATAGCTGACTCAGGCAAGCACGGCGCTCCGATTGGCTGCAGGCTCCGACAAGGTCCGAGCTCCACAGCTGCCACAAGCTCTGCACAGACGTAATGGCCGAGAGGGGCGCGCGCGCTGATTGGCCGGCCCGGCCATCGCTGATGAGATGCGCTGCACTGGGCCGAAATCGCCATCCCTGCTTTTTTGCGCTGCTGCTTTAAGCGACGCTTTCTTTCGCCTCTGGCTCTTTTCCGTCACCATCCAACCTCGAAACCTTGCCTCCACAACCCAAACCTCGCAAACCTCTGCTCGACTTCAATCTTCTTGACGTCGACGCCATCAATTCGCCTCCAGCACTTCAAAGCTTTACCATCTCTACCTCAATACCGAGTTATCGCATCTGAGCAGGCTCTCGATATCTCTGTCTTTTTTTTTATTCATCTGCTCCAACGCACATCTGCGACCCCTCTTCATATATCTCTACATTCTCCTCTTTCCACACATCCAACTCCAGCAAAATGTTCTCCAGAGGACTCCGCGTTGTCTCAAGGCGAGCTGCCATGGCCGCTCCCCTCGCCAGACCAACTCTCGCCCCTCGACAGCTCGCGCCCGTCGCATCCATCGAGGCCAAGCGATCATATCACGAGAAGGTCCTGGATCACTATGCGCGGCCGCGCAACGTTGGCTCCATGAACAAGAGCGATTCTGACGTCGGCACCGGCCTTGTGGGAGCTCCTGCCTGCGGCGATGTCATGAAGCTTCAGATTCGCGTCGACCCGGAGACGCAGAAGATCTCCGAGGTCAAGTTCAAGACTTTTGGCTGCGGCTCAGCAATTGCCTCCAGCAGTTACCTGACCGAGCTTGTCCGAGGCATGAGCCTGGATGACGCTGGCAAGGTCAAGAACACTGAAATCGCCAAGGAACTGTGCCTCCCCCCCGTTAAGCGTACGTATTAACAATGTGATATCACTCATGATGTCGCTTTATCCTTCACATTCTTATCCAGCCAGTCAATGCTAACTCTCATGTATCCAGTGCATTGCTCCATGCTTGCTGAGGATGCCATCAAGTCGGCGATTTCCGACTACTACACCAAGAACCCCTCACGGAAACCCACCGACCTGAGCGGCACCAGCATGAAAATGCCCACCGCCGAGGCTGTTGCGGCCTAGAGTGCGCCTTTGCCGCCGGTGAAAAACGAGGATGGGGAAAATTAAATCGCAATGAATATTTACTTGCTATGTTTGGGCATACGCTTTTTTTTTTTTTTTTCTTTTTTATGCCAGCAATGGTTCAGGATGGGATTTGGGGAAACAAGACAATCACTGAAACTAGGCGTGTGGGGGTCAACCGACTAAGGGAAGAAGAAAAAGAGAAAAAAGATGCAGATTGAAACGCTTCTGTAACCAGGATGCAGTTCCAGTGCACGCTTACTTTACTTTCTGTTCTCATTCCCTTTTTTTTATACGGTATCGGAGATGAACACTGGATCGTGTCCACTGCTTGAACAAAAAGACCGAGGACACATTCCCTCCGGCTTTGAAATCAGCCGCTAAGGGGAGTTCACGGTAGCGAGGGTGAATAGCTGTAAAAATAGGTGGAAACATAACACACAAAAATACTACTTTACAAAAAACATTTGATAATTTTCATTGATGACGGCTCTGCTCTCATCTCTCGTCTCTCATATCTCATATCTTACTCATCTTGTTTGTAGCCACAGCAGCTTCATCTGAGTTGACTCCCTCAATCCTTCATTTCATCCGCCCGCATGTACCCCAGAGCAGTTCTGATAATGCACTACGATTAACTACTACTGCTCCTGCCAGCCCCCCAATTCGCCATGCCGCGCCACGCGCATAACGCCGGCGGGGGAGAAAAAGAGAGAAAAATCTCGCAGCGAGTTCCCCGAGATGTCCGACCCCGATCCCGGGAACACGCCGAATGCGTCCAGGCATATACGGGTTATTAGGGAAGCAGCATCAATTTGTGGCTTCGGATGCCGGGATCATGCCGAAGAGGAGTGAGTTTATCTTTTGCTTCATGTTTGTTCTTGTTAGTTTTATTTTCTACTGGACAGGAAAAGGTATGACTCGTAAAGTGTAAAAATTTTGGTAATATTACAACTATTGTGGTCATGGTGATGGATACATTTTGATTATTTGCCAAACAAGATGTACAGGCAGAATCCAATGAAACCCAGCTATGCAGCAGCTCTCGTTATAGGCAATTTTTATTCAATTTTGATTACAAGAAAGACTATTTGGAATTAAAATGAATGAAGTGAGAGAAGAGACAATGAAAACACCGCTCTTTCGCCTCAAAGGCGTACCTTTGCTTGATGCGCCCCATGCAACCCCATAGGAATCGCAAAATCCGCCTCTGCCCTACCCAATTCCTCCATCGTCCTCGCATCCAAACACAGCAAATACGACTTCTCCAGCGTTCCATCCACCACCACCGACAGCAACACCCCGTCATCCTCGTCCGTGCCTCCCGGGCGAGCAACGAAAATGGGCTCTCCTGGCGAATGCCCCCTGGGTCCACTCCAGATCAGGACGCCCTGTGTAGTGACGTCGGTCTTGGCGAGGGAGTCGGCGAAGATGTAGAGGCCTCTGTTGTTTGTGGTGTAGACGTATCGATATGGCTTACCGTTGAGGGCAGGGTGGATGGTTGGCAGCTCGCCGATGTGAGGGCCTGGGATTGTCAACACTTCTTTGGCCACGGCAGAGGCCTTTTCCTCTTTCGACTGTTGTTTTGATGGGATCCTGAAACGATATCGTGACAAGCGCTGCTGCATCGTTTTGTAAAACTGCTTGTCAAGCATGTTCTTCTTCGTAGCATCGTTTCGGTCCAAGAGAACATCATAGTAGAACACTTGCATGATGTCCGCGTTGTTGTACGAGATGGCATCCATGCAAACCTCCGTATGGCTATTCCCACTTTCGTCCTTTACCTGCTCCTCAAAGGCATTCACCGAATGGAAGAAGAAACCGGCCGGAGTAGAAAATTCAGCCACCACACCTTTCCCCTGTCTTCGATCAATCACCGCCCACTTACACGGAACACTCTTGTCAAAAGGTTTCATGGCGTCGAGAATATTTCTCTCCCACAGAATCTTCATGCCAGACCATGCGTAATGCGTCGACTGGACACAAAGCACCACATAGTTTTCCGTGATGAAGAAGCTGTGCATGTATGCTGCTGGATAGTCGTTGCCTGAGATGGTGGCGAGAATGTCGACGCTCCCGTCTTTGGCATTGACACGAAAGACGCGATACGTCGGAAACCGGCCACCCAGATCCAAGTTGTAATTGAACAAATCTCCAGTCTCAGGGTCGCGCTGTGAATGCGCGCAGGAAATTGGACCCTTTAGACTCGGATGGAGCGACTGCTGTCTGGCTTCGCCAATGGGCTCAAGAGTCTTGGGATCGAGTTTGCTGAGAGCCGCACTATCGGTAAGGACATATAAAGCCTTCTCTTTCGACGACTCTCCTCCTTTTACGACGTCACCACCAGGCATATCTGGGACGACAGCAACGTTGTTGTTGGACTTGCCGCTGGTAAAGACAGTCATCATCTTTCCAAATATGCCCACGCAAGGATCAGCTCGTTGAGCAAATGAGATGCTCGTTTGCCAGCCCTTCTCTTTAATCTCGGCCACGAGAGCATCTGAATGACGACGAGAAGAGTACACAACCGAGGTGCTGCCTCCGCTTGATTCAGGTGGAATGATGTCGAATCGATGGCTATGGGCGATGCCATCAAACCAATGCGAGATCATATGAGTACCTCTGGACGTACCCTCTACCCTGTCCAGGCCAGGTCCAGTTCTGAATAAAGAGCCAGCAGCCCAGGCTGGGATGGAGCCTTTGACTGTCAGTTGAATTGGGCCCCGATGCTCTTCCAGTCCTTCAAACTAAGATGCCACAAACTATCAGTGTCTTGCTATTTTATAAGTCAGGTCTCATGAAAAAATGTCCAATACTTACCTGGGCCTTTGCCGGCCACTGCTTCCATGCTTGGTCTTCGAAATTGCTTTGCCTTGCTTTTATATCGTTCTCTTGGTCCTCTACTGTGCGGGAGAAGATTCCTTCTCTGTTTAGAGCCATAGTTGACGAATATTATTAAAAGAGCAATAGCGTAAATAAGTGGCGTGATGTCCTCCTTGAATAAGTCGGGGGTATAAGAGATAGACGACAGGTCAAGTTAGCACGACCGTGCATAGCCAGAACTGTGGTATTTGAAGCGTTGACTTAAAACAGTCAACTGATGGAATGCTTGGATGAGACAGGCCTCGCCAACCTATAAAGAACCTACTCTCTTCCATTATATACCCATCCTCAGAGGTGCATTATTCACAAGCTACTAGAAATGAATTACGCGGCCCGCATCGCAAACTGTGCATGGCCTGACATCCCACCATCCCTCCTGCTCCTTCACTCGAATACTAGCAAATCGTACAATCTCTCTTGTCCGCATGGCCTGAAAGCAGCCTCGCGTTTCTCCTGGCGCTGTTTATTTAGGCTGTGGTTGCGTTGGCATCCAATGAGAGCGGACGGAAATCAATTTCAGGCGGTGGCATAAGCACGACGGGAGTGCCAATCTGCTTGGCAGCCACCGCTAAACTTGGTCTGCATGACCCGCTCTCTAAGCGAATGCGAAATGTGGACCGAACTAAACATTGCAAAGTTATCAGTCACTCGAGTTGTCTGCATAGCAAAGGTGGTGTAACTTCAGTGTTAATAACGTTGTTATTTTGACACTATTTTTTAAGCAAACTAGTATGAAATTGCGGCCATAGCAATCAACCATTGTCATTGTCTGGCTTCTAGTCAAATCTGCAATGAATGACCCAGCACGTAGAAGAGTAGCACTAACATGTGACAAATTGCAAATATCGTAGCAAAGCTCACGAAATCATCTGGTGAGTCCTGTAGTTTGTAGGGATCGTTTTGCTGATTGTTCCTGGAAACTAGCAGGTCCTAGCAAGCATGTTCTTCAAGTTTGTATTCCTAGATTTGCTTCCCTCAACATCCCCTACATCATTCTACCTAATCATCTTTGGCTTCCAGTGTTTCGCATGGTTTCCAAAGCTATCTTCTCCAGAGCTCTGTAACACGTAAATGCCATAATCAAGAGCAAACGAGAACAGAGGAATCAAATAAAGAAAACATGGTGTAGATGTATCCGCAATTCAGTGGCTAGCAAGAGGTTGAGTCTCGGAACCAAGAGCTCGGTAGAGCATCCCCCTACATATTCGAAAGGATACGCAGACTACTGCAGGATGAGGCACCAGCTACTATGACGGCAATCGTCATCTCAAACCCCAGTACAATAAATATCTTGAAGCACCGAGGAGCGCAAAGACAGCTCGTTAAAGCTTACCCCACTCAAGATCGCCTCACATGTCAAATCTTATTTCGACCAACTTTCCGCTTTGGGCAATCAATTCGAGATTGAAACGACTAGCCAGGGCCACGCTCATCATCGCGCGTAAACCACGTAATGGAGCTGAAGTTCATCCATCCACTATTAAAAGCAGTTCGTATTCTGCATTAGTTTGACCGTTTTTGGCAGTCAAAGTCGGGGCCTATTTTGAAAATGTCAACTTCATGAATAGCGTGAGGCTGAAAGGCTCGTCTTCTCGCTTACCATTTTCCCCTGCGCTCGTATTGAAGTCGCCTTTTGCAAAGTCTATTCCCCAGCTTTTGCATGGAATATTCCCAACAAGCTGAAACTTAAAGGGGAGCAGGCGGAAAGCAGATCCACCTGGCCCATACCAACCAGCCTTGAAACCATCTGAAGCGTCAATCTTGCCTGGCTCAAAGCTATCTATTTGCGAGGGCATGCTTTGTGGTCAAGCACAGCTCAAGAGTCCGTAATACCGCTGCTTGTGTAGAAGCCCTTCACTGTAGTCGTTATATCAACAACGTGGTGTTTTCCTTTGGCCAGTTCCAGCTCTGCCTCAAATCTCAGGATGGGAAAACTCGCCCGTCTGCCAGAAATTTCTCAATGTTTTTCTTTCTCGCTTCAGCCAAAGCGCTGAGCTCTACGCCATCAGTATTCCGAGTTGTGGGCGCATTTGATAGCTCGCTCACACGGCCCGCAACGCGCGCAAGGAGGAAGCGCATCTTCTCGAGTTCCTTCTCCACAGGACCATCGCGAGTCACTAGATTCTCTTGGACGCCCGCGCCGTCTGTGGTCTGAAAGGATTCGACTGTCTTCTGGAGACTTCGGAGTCGTTCAACTCTCTGCCGTAGCTCTTTGCGTTGGCGGTTCAGGTCCGTCAGCTGTCGAACCGTGGCTGCATAGCGTGTGGCTTCTAGAGGAAAGGCTTCGGCGTCTCTGTCTGATGGCCAGGCAGCGGGCAGTGTTTCGATGGCTTGTTCATCCACTGTTGTCAAAATTGTCAGCCATGGCCCGCTCGATCATCCTCCAGCACCTCCCAAGGCACCAATCAAGGATGCCATACCCAGATCAAGTTCTCTTCCGATTCCACCTTCAGCATCGTCTGGATTTTCCATCCTGCGCTCGGCGTCTCTCGAGTACACATGGCTAATCTGTTCGGCCACGTGTCGATTTGCTTGAGGCGCATAGACTCGTCGAGAGTGCTGTTGGATCGTGCGGTTGAGGTTTGCGACGGCATCGTCGACGATGCGATTTGGAAGCGGATGTTGAGACGCGTCGTTGGAGGCGCGCCAGGCTCGAGACGGCGCAACCGGCTGGGACAGGATATTTGTCTGAGTAGCGACAAATGTCTGTTTGACCGATGTGATTGTAGCGGCTGGAGGCATCTTTGTGGCCAATGTTGGCTGAGAGAGAAAGCATCAAGGGGCAGATGGCAACTGAAGCTCCAAATCAAAACATCTAAAGGCCTCTGAAGCTTACCTACTGAGCTCGCTATGCCGCAGCTAGTGACTCCGCTAAGACTGCCGGCTTACAGGGGCCAACTGCATAGAGCTGGAGGGGCTAAAATGGCGGGGTTCTGTCAGATCGATCCATAACGGTTCCTTCATTGCATGCAAATGACGAGTTTAGCCGTGGACATCAATTGATTGCCAAATTTCATGCATAGCTAGACTTTAGATATTGTTCATCGCATCATATTTATATCCATCTCCATAATACGAGTTGTCCCTCCAGCCCAATGATGCTCCTTTATCGGATTGTAGGCGTGTAGACTCGGAATGTTGTGTCTGAATTGCTCGAGTTACAGCAACAATCAACATACATGTACTGGAAGCGATATATCGCCTATTGGGAATTCGGTATGTTCCAAATTGAATGTATAGGTAATATTTACTCAAGACGTGTGCGGCGAAACAAGTTTCTGTGGTTCGTGTAAATGTATACATGCTCGCTAGTTGACCTCTTTGTTCAATGTCCAAGATGCATAACCTAGAGAGTTATACAAATTACCAGATATCTTCACAGTAGCAATACTATGCTCAGTAAACTAGGTTACCAATGAATCATTAGTTCAAAATATTTACATAAATAGCTATATTTTCAACGCAGTTTAATCGTAAGTTCACCTCATTGCTCCATACTTTAATATGCGAATATGCCAACGAGACAGTACCACTTACAAGTAGTCTTATACATAAATAACACATCTCTCTCCACCAGCGTTCAAAGTTGGACATGGGTATATATCTAACTACAAAAACTTGTATATGTCGTATTTGTTCATATAAAATGCCCGTCCATAAAATCTTCTCGCATGATAGCTTAGCTATACGCTTATACAACATATTTAAGTTAATAGCTACTCCATCTGTTCCCATATAGACTTGACTGTTGAATTTGGGCAAAACGGCGCAAGTTATGTATAAATTACAAATGAAGAGCTTCTATTTTAGTAAGATAAATCTCTAAGCTAATATAATGAACTCCGTTATAAATTTGTATCCGGGTGAAGATATACATAGGTAGATACGTGTATCCGCTCACAGGGCGTGTGCATACATCTACCCTGTCCTTAACGGAATTAATTCAAAGTACTCTGACATTGAAATGCATTGAACTAGTTCAAATTAGCCAATAGGTTTAATCAGCTTCATTCTTTTTCTTCATCTTCGAGGTATATGTCAAAGCACCGAGGTAGTCAACCTAGCACTCTGTGAATGCGCTCATCTAGAGCTCATCCCAAGCCATGTATCCTTGCCCATTGATATGTAAAAATATAAGCAATAGTTTAAATTATAGAGACAGATGCGATAAATAATAAGAATGAGGGACAGCATATCGTGACCAGGAGTAACCAACAACTAGCTACCTGTGATAATATATTGACCAAGCGAACGCAAATTCTGCTTTTCATGTAACAAATCACCTTCGTGTATCAAACCGAGGAACAAGGATATTAACTAAGAACTGATGTAGAATTAACCAGTTAAAAGGAATCATTGTACAGAATGTTGCAACTATGCAGCGCATCGTCATCCAGCGTTGACCTGAACTAATTGCAAGTCGCAAATGGTCCCATGTTGTGCTACGAGATAAAAGGACCTTAATTATAGGTGAAGAGAAATCTCTTGCCAATAATGAATAAAAATTGATTGAATGTACTGTATTCCGGCACTAGCAGTTGAATGAAAGCTACATATTCTCGCGCAAAATTGCAAACGCATACAAGATTCCATCAGTCCGAGGTAGCTAATACAATGTCGTGTTTACTAGCTATTCTTAAAGACGTAATATGGAAAGTACATGTGTACACACACCCATCTTATAAATCAAGACTCAACTTGTATCAATCTTTTAGAGGAGTGGTGCGAAAGAAGGATCAATACCAATAAGCATGCATGCACGCAGTCGTGGCCATTGGTGGGTTGGGCCCCCATCGGGTTGAAATGTGCATTAGAGTGCAGCATGCCATGCAGCCCTGCTGTCTGCCTTTTCTCTGCATTGAACTTTTTTCTCCCCATCTCCCAAAATCAATTGATCATAAATCCCATCAAATCCCATCATTGCCGGTGATATCAGCAGAAGAAGGACCACATTGCGCGCGATTACAAGGCGAATGTTGGCGCGGCTTCAACTACGGATTACGAGACTTCGCTTGAAACCAGCGGAATAGCCTCAAGTACTTCTCCAAGCAGAAGAACGTTATTTTTACCGATCCGCAGAGAAAGCCCTACATTATCGCCGAGAGACACTCCAAGCGCATCGCTGCCATGGCGCCTAGACAAGAAGTCGCCGCTGCATCACCGAGCACTTTACGCCGACTGAGGCTTCAAGCTGAGCAACCCTTTCGCCACAACCGAATCTCTCGTCGGAGGGTGCAGCCGCTCCTGAAAAAAAATATTCAATACATTTGTACAACCCTCTCAGAGGGGCGTGTGTCTTCAATAAGGGAAGAGACGGATACTGAGACCGAGACCGAAACTGAGGCTGAGACCCGGTGGGAGCGAAGCACCCGTGGAGATGCAAAGACTTTTTGGGTCGAGCAGCTGTACCGCTACGAGGAGTTGTGAAGTAAAGAAGCTATGAAGATTGATTTTTATTTGATATGTACGTGAAATTTATGAATCGGGCTGTATCTGGACGTAAGTAGACACGACATCAAGGAAGGCGAAAAAGGGCTGGCTGTCTGAGGGTGTCTTGCTGATCGAGCAATCGAGTGGTGTGAGTTGAGTAACCAATGTTTGGTTGTCTTTCTCTATTCTGCTTCTTCATCAGGAATGTTTATTGAACATTGAATATTAACAAATGATACCTTAGAATATAGTTGTTACCGCCACAATGTGCGCTATGCTGTCGTCTCATGCGAGTGTGCATGTGTCTTGAGTGTGCCTCTATATGAGCAACTGATATTAATTTTTCGAGATGAAGAGGATGAACATGGTCTCTTCAATTTTTGATGTCACCGTCAAGTCTACTTTAACAACTTTATACAAGGCTGTTACTTCACCCATACGTTTACAAATCGTGATGAAAGCCCGTCCATCGAGGCGGGGCGGCGGAACCCCTCCCCCACCTAGAGGGGCAGCATTTCACCTTTCTTCCCTTGATATACGACTGTTCAGACTCATCTCTGTTCACGAGCCAAGGATATTCAAAAAACATCAGTTTTATCTAGTCAGGCTGTGCCAGTCGAACAATTGCCATCATGAAGCCTACCATGGGAGTTGCTATTATCGGAGGAGGACTGTTCGTCAAAGGATCTCATCTGGTATTCTTCAACCCCCCTTACCATACAAAAGATGATCCCCCCCCTTTATGAACGACGACTTCTTGAAAGCTGGACTAACGGTCTCTCCTTCACAGCCTGCTGTGCTCAAGTGCGATCTCTTCAGCCTTGAGGCCATCTACTCAAGGTCTCTGAAGTCAGCCCAAGAAACCGCTGACCTTGTTCCTGATTCCGCCAAGAAGCCGGATCTCTACGCTGAGGATGCTGGTCCCAACAAGTCTTATCAAGACCTCCTCAAACGAGATGACATCTCAGCCGTCATCATCGCCCTTCCCATCCTCACTCAGCCCTCTTTCATAGAGGCAGCCCTCGCCGCCGGCAAACATGTCCTTGCTGAAAAGCCCATCGCCAAGGACGTTGCCTCTGCTCGAGCCCTAATCGCAAATGCTCAACGTATTTGCGCCACCAGCAACGCTACCTTTGCCATCGCCGAAAACGTGCGCTTCTACCCAAGCTTTGCCTATGCTGCCAGCGAAGCCGCAAAGTTTGGCAAAGTCCACAACTTCAGCGTTCGTGTCCTATGGCGCGTTGAGCCAGATAACAAGTGGTACAACACCGCATGGCGCAAAACGCCTGATTACCAGGGAGGATTCTTGCTCGATGCCGGCGTGCACTGGGCTGCCGCCACGAGGCTGCTGCTGGCTGGCGAGGGGAACAAACCGCAGTCGGTGCAGGCATTTACTGCGCAAATGTGCGAGCATCTGCCACCAATTGATACTCTTAATGCCATCGTCAAAACTCAGTCAGGGGGATCTGGTTCGTTTCAACACTCAGCTGGATCTCTACTCCAGGCTTTTGAGTGGAGCTTCTCGTACGAAAAGGGCTCTGTCAAAGTTGCTGGAGAGACTGTCACAGTAAAACCGGTCGATGGAGAAGAGTCTGTCAAAGAATTTTCCAGGACCAATGGTGTCACTGAGGAGGTAGCCGCATGGGCACAGAGCATTGTCGATGGCACAGTCAACCCGCTACAGACGCCGGAACAGGCTCTTGCTGATTTGGAATTCATGGAGAAGATGTTTACAAGTGGAGATGAGAATGGATCGACACAAAAGTATGAGTTGCTGTAACAAGTCAGGCGATGACGCTAATATCGATACGTATAATCCGAATTAATATACACAAAGCAACATCCTAGTCTATCTATCTCTGTTTAAGGCATGTAAGAACAAATAGTAGGTGTATCCAGGTTAACAACTGTGAGACAAGGTTATAGCTTGCTAGTCTCCTTCGTAGGAACAACTGGCCCCAGATTAATCTTGTCTAGTGCTTCCTTCAACTGGGTGTTCATCCCATCCTTTGGGGGTCTGCCTGTGGATCTCTCAACAAACACATGCACGAAGCTTCCCACAGCTTTCACCTCATCACTACCCCTCTCAAAGAGAGCCACTTCGTACGTGACACTGGACTTGCCCAGCTTGGTCACACGCACTCCAACCTCCGCCACGGCTGGGTAGGCAATCGATGCCAAAAAGTCCGTGTGGGAATGAACTGCCAGACCGTACTGAGGGGATGAAGGGGGGTGTATGCCACACTTCTCGACAAGATAACTGTTCACGGCGGAGTCGAATCTAGAGGACCACAGATCGGAGGCGAGGTAATAAAATTAGCAAAGCTTATAAGATCCCCACGGCGTGATTTAATTGAGAATAGCTCTTGTCTTGAGTCAGGTCACAGGGAGTGTGCAGAAATGGGGGAGAAGCGAAGGTTGTGCCCCAAATTTTTGAGGCTGCCCAGATGGGAGAACACGCGAATGCATTCGAGTAAGCCTTACAGGAAATTATACACCGAGTTGTTCATGTGGTCATACATGTCATTGTCGTTCCTGTGGCAATAGAAATACATCATCAACACTGCCTCTTATACGGTATGGGATGGATCTTTCCCGTCCAATAACTTTGCGTCCCATGGTCTCGAGAGCAGACGATGGAGGCAACTCGATGAAAATCCATCCAAGGGAATAAGAGACCCGTCGAGACCAAAGTGGAGGATGCGTGGAACAGAGACAACTCACCATCTTGTCCTGTACTCCAGAAGGTACGGATAATCCTGGCGACGGCGTGTCTTGAGAGTGGCGTGGCTCATACTGGCACGCGTCTCTAGTCTCTAGATGAGGGTTAGGAGATGCATAAGCGAGGTTAGGACGAAACGAATGATAGTTAAGCCGAATGAACGAGCAAGATCTGAGTAAGACTGCAGAGACGCCGCAAACAGTGACAGTCTGCAATGGCCAAAATGGCGATTCCGCAGGAATGGAACGGCCAGTCGTCGGCAACACCAAAGCCGAGGTTCGACACGCCCGTCTCCAGGGTAGCCATTTCGACGCCGCAGGCTGGAGAATCCGGTGCGGTCGGCGAGCAGCACCGGCCATGCCGGGCTCGGAGCCACGATTCCCCGTCAGCGCTGTTCTGCCGGCGCTGACCGCCTAATTTATTTTCTGCGGTGCCCCTCGCTGATACGTCACCGCGCAGACGACTCGACATCGAAAACTCTGAGCCTCGACGGAGAAGTCCGCAATCGAATTCACGGGGGTGTGTGCGGCCGGTGTCTGTCTGGCCTGTCTCTCCAATCGAAAAGCCCGTCTGCAGCCCGTCTGTCTGCTGATGCTCCCGCGAGCCTGCTCGAGAACCATTGGCAAGCTTGCACGAACCGGAGCTCTCGCGATGACGACCGATTCTGTGGCCCTCGCCACCAGAGCCGCAACACCCGCAGCTGGCTCAGCTGCTGTGTCCTCTGATGGCGCATTAGCATCAGCACCAGCGCAAGCTGAGCAGCCCGTTGTGGTGGCAGCAACTGCGGCGATTCCAGCAGCCGTCGAAGAGACAGCGGCGACTGAGGGGAGCGAGAAGGATGCGACGGTGGTCGTAAGCAGACCTTGGACTGAGAGTGGGAACAAGCCCAAGAAGAACAAGGCAAAGAAGCCGAGCCTCAGGGATCGCTCTGCCCTCGCCGACGAAAATACCGCCCTCATTACTCCAGCGGGCGATATCTGGCCACGGCCTTACCACTTCGAGGACGACCTTCGGCGCGTGAAACCCTACCACTTTACGTACAACACTTACTGCAAAGAGAGATGGCGCGGACGTTCGCTCATCGACATCTTCGAGTCTGAATTCCGAGACCGGCCGGTTGAGTATTACCGAAACTCCATGATCAGGGGCGACATCTACGTCAACGGCAGAGTGGTCGGCCCAGACTACATTGTGCGCAATGGGGATGTGATATCCCATACGCTACACAGGCACGAGCCACCTGTGACGGCTGAGCCTATAGGAATCATCCACGAAGATGACGATATCATTGTCATCAACAAGCCCTCAGGCGTGCCTGTGCACCCTGCCGGCCGATACAACTTCAACTCGGTGATTGAAATTATGGTAGCTGAGAGGGGCAGAGACTTCCTGCCACACCCGTGCAATCGATTGGACCGCCTCACTAGTGGCATCATGTTCATTGCCAAGAGCGTCAAGTCGGCCGAAGCAATGGCCATCAAGATCAGGGGCCGCACCGTGAGAAAAGAGTATCTAGCGCGAGTCGTTGGCCACTTCCCGGACGGAGAAGTCGTGTGTGACCAACCAATCCTCCAGATATCCCCGAAACTCGGCCTTAATCGTGTGCGTGCCAACGGTAAATCCGCCAGAACAGTCTTCAAGCGCCTTGCATACTACCCACCGCGTGATGGGGATGCAGAGGAGCCGGCTGTGCTAGCGGAGGATGGAAAGCCACTCACGCCGACGGACAAGGAGCAGCTTGAAGATGAAAGGAGTAAGCCTTGGCTAAAGAAAAAGGGGTACTCCATCGTAAGATGTCTGCCAGTGACAGGCAGGACACATCAGCTGCGGGTGCATTTGCAGTATCTGGGCCACCCGATTCAAAATGACCCAATCTACGCCAATCAGCGTGTATGGGGGTTCAACCTTGGGCAGGCAGACGCCGATGGTTCACAGAATACTGATGAGGATGTTATTAGCCGCCTCAATCGCATGGGAAAGGAAGAAGTGGCCGAAGCCGTCGTCTACTACGACGAAATGGTGGATAGATATGAGAAGCAGCGGGCAGAGAAGATGACGGGCGAGCTGTGCGATATATGTGCAACACCGCTCTACTCAGACCCAGGTAGTCACGAGCTATCTCTCTGGCTTCACAGTCTCCGTTACGAGGATGCCGACGGTAGTTGGGCCTACACAAGCCCGCTGCCCAAATGGGCTCTCCCACCCAAGGGCATGAGCGGACCGACTACCGTAGGTGGGATGGAGGAGCTTGTAGAGGCCGTCAAGGATGAAAATCCTGAGATTTCGTCCAAAGTACAGGCCAAAGTTAGAGCTGAGGCGGAAGCAAAGGCTCATGCTCACGAGACAGAACCAGAGCGACTCCCTAATGGAAGTAACGAATCATGAACGAACCATGTCATGAATCATGATGCATAGAATCTGAGATGGAAATACCCATAGATAATATATGTTGAGAAAGAAAACGCGTTTGTATGACCAAGCAGCTAGAACAGCGAAATCTAGAAAGGCTTTGTTATCTAGATAGATCTTGTCATTTCAATCTACAAGGAAAAGCACACCCAAAGGGGGCATCTGTTAATTTAAAGATACCTGAATTTCTACTGCCTCTATTGCCAGGGTGTTCTCATTTTACAGTCTGCTTTTCGTGCTCCTCTCTTGCACATGCAGGTATCTACACCACCACCACCATAGCCATCATCACCATAATCACTATCTACATAAACTCAGTTCCCACCTACTAAGTATTCTTTTAAGCGAATTGCACTGAAAAGAGTACTAGCTGCAATCTTTCATCATTCTTGGTATTCAACATCACGCATAATAAGGACTGTTCGCTGCCAACTGAGACATACATACAACCTTTAACAAACCAAGAATCAATCAACCAACATAAAAAAAAAAAAACACCCTGAAGATCAAACTGAACAATTGGGCTGAATCTGGCGCGCATTCCGAGGACACGCCCCCCCCCCCCCCCCCCNCCCCCCCCCCCCTTCCCTCGTGTTCTTCTTTCAGTCAGAGGCACGAAGCGCGCCGATGATCCTTCTTACTGTTTCCGGGCGTATAGATGGGGAGCTCACAAGCTGCGGGGGAGATGCTGCTCAAACCCGAAACAAAATTCTACGATCCCATCCAATGGCCGTTGGAGATCGACTCGGTAGATGAAAATGCTGCAAGGGCCAGAATGGAGCACTGCGTATATACAGGTACACTCTACAAAACACACTTTGTCTACTGTGCACGTGAATATGCGTCAAACGAATAAGAGGGATAGGCCCATAAGACATTCATAAAAAAAATGCATGTGAAAAAGTGAGCAAGTAGATCAACTCCAACAAGGATGGGCATTACGAAATGCGATTTGTGAATAAACTGACCCCCAACTAGCAACTTGGAGGGGAGGGGGGCGTTGATGGGCGGACACACAGAGGGACATAAAAAGTGGCCTGCGCAGATCCGAATCTCTTCCCACCCAAGAGCTGTGACGACAGAAAAATCCGATAGATCGACTTCGACCCTTCTAGACAGCATCCCATTCGGGCTTGTTAGAGGGTAGGCGGGGGTTGCTGTTTACTGTAGAGGGCAGGGCAGGGCAGGGCAAGGCAGGCAGACCCTTGAAAAAGGGAAATATGCGGGCATGATTTGAGTAATGCCCCGAGAGGAAAATGGCTGGGGGCGTTGGTTGGAAGAGTAGCGGGAAGATGCCGTGTTTAGGTAGGGTTTACCGGAACCGGAACCGGAAAAGAAACGAGGAAAAGAAACAAGTTAGTGGATGGAAGCGAGATGGAAGCAATTGAGCTGAGGAAAAAGAAGGTTAGCTGCCAGACTATAATGGTTCGTCCTGTATTAGCCAGGACAGGGTGCCTTATAGTTGCAAGCTACGGAAATGAAGTCAACTTTGAGCAGCGGAAAAGGAACAAGGGCCAGGTCTTTAAGGAACGACAGGAAAGAAGAAAATGTTTCGATAGCCGGGATATGGATGGATAGCCGGCGGTCTGAACCCCAAAGGGGAGAGGCAGCAGCCTCAACGCTTGATGCCCCCTCCTCCAGCTCCAGCTCCAGGGCCAACGACCCCGGGCCACTGAAGGGCGGCGAGACATTCCTTTTTTCTCAGAAGGATCCCCAGCGGCGGAGGTAAGGCGAGGCGGTAGGGGAGGGTAGCGGCCGCGATGCGGGTCCGCGTAAATAAGTATGTATATGTATCTTGGGACAGCGGGCTCTGGCAATAGAGGCACAGAATCTTGGAAGGATTGTCCTGCTGGCCCCCTTTGCGGTAACGATGGTCGCATGGAGGCCTTATAGGGAGTAATGACAATGCATATGTATGTGCCAGGGGGCTAGGGAAAAGAGAAGGGAAAGAAGTCACATACACACACACACACACACACACACACACACACGTACATATATCATAGACTATACGAGTCATCCACTGCATCGCGTCTAATAGGGTCTTCTCCGTGACATGCAGCCCAGCCCGGTTGCCACGCATGAGAAGAGATGGGATTAGTAGATGCCTAGAAAGATGGATACTGCCATCCGGCGCTCAAACAAATGATCGAGGTCTCCAGCTGTTTGCCCGAGCGTGTGCGCGTAAAGGGGTGCTGGTGATGTACAATGATGTATGTGTGCTGGCACTGTACACGCTTGTAGTATTAATGAGAAGGTAAAGTTCCAGTGTGTGTGTGTGTGTGTGTGTGTGTGTGTGTGTGTGTCTGGCTGAACCTGGTACCTGTTTCGTTAAAAATAGTATAAGCAAAGGTCTCAGTTCGGGCAGATGGAAATTTGAAACAAACAATCACTCTCAGATCCAAAACATCAATTGTCGAGTCTCGCCTTAGGAAATGGGCGTGTTGACGCTGCCGACTCCAAAGCCGTGGCCGAATCAACTCATTTCTCCGTGGCCACAGCTTGACCACCTCCAATAGAATCCTTGAAGAAGTCTGGCCGAAAAAAAAGGAGGCGAAAGAAAAAATTTTCCCCGCTGGTTGCTTGTTCCTGTAGACAATCTTTCAGCTTCGGTATGTTATTTGCTAAGCCTTGGTAAGAGAAACGCACGTACTTCATCAGCAAGCCGTTATATTAGTATGCAACCTCTTCTTTTCTCGGCCCCTGCTTGCCATGCAGATAGTAGTGTTACCCCAACGCTACTAAGAGAATCGCATACGGCATACGACACAGTAGCGGCACGACTTACACCCCCCAAGTGCCTCACTGCGTTTAAACGCCTTTATTGGCCTAATGGTGGTTGTGATGTAAGCATACCTGCCAGCCTGCAGGATGCTGCCGGACAAACAAGTGATAGATCCCTTTCCGGACTCGCCATCTTCCGGGATTAATGCAGGGGGGGGACAGACTCGCAGGCTGAACGTCCTACTCCGTGCACATGGAATACCTATTGCTTGCCAGCATGTTGGACCTGGCTACGGTGCCGCAACTCTAATGGTTTGGCATAATACCGTCGGATGCACCGTTTTCTCTTATCAAATTGCATCTCCAGTGGCCAAAGATGACGGCGTGCAAAGAGAAAATTAACAAGGCCCGGATGGAGGCAGCCGGTTTCAGATGTTGGGAGGGCTGCTCAAAACTTCTCGAACGTGTGGAGTCGAGTCCCAAAACACCGTGAGCCTGCAATAGGAATTGTTCTGGCAGTGCTGCGACAGAAAGCTAAATGACGCTACAATAGTATCTCCGGTGAGCAACTTTTTGATAGATTTCGCCACGCACGGCCTGGTAGTCGCTTTTTTTTTGTCTCAAAATTTTCCTCTTGTCCGATTTCGCCCGTCGCAGTACAGTATGGTTTTCATGTGTAATGATTGATTGTTTAATTTAATTCCGTCTTCTTGCGGTCAGTTTGCAGAGTAACATGGTGCGGCTGGTAGCACCACACCAATAATGCAGGGAAGCCTCTCATACTGCCTATTCGGGAGCGCCGCGCCTGATGATGGCATTGTCGATGACACCAAAATCTGGCCTAGTTAAGCCTTTGCTAATAACAAGACTCAAAGAAGAAGTATTACCAAAGCTCGATTACAAAGACGAATATTTGCCATGTAAATGAGCATGTCAGCATGTGTCACCGGGCTCCTTTGCCCAGACGAGTATTTTGCCCCTAGCCATTTTGCTACCCGTCTTCTGCTCTGCAAAGACCACGCGGTGGGTGGACGTTGGCCTGCTGCTAATTACGGACCGGCGGTGATGGTGCAATAGGCAAAAGAGAAAATAGCTTTCCGTTTTATCCAGGAGCCGGCGCTCCGGTAGTGCCAGAGTAGCGCGAAATGATCTACCGGGTCGTTGCTCAGCTCTCCGTTCAAACAACCGAGCAATCTCCAGTTCGGGATGCAGCGCAGTACCGTCTTGCGCTTGTGGCAGAGCACTGTCCCTCAAGGCCCAGTGCGCCAAGTGGCTTGACAGGCTGCCATACTGTATGAGCGCATGGCTGCTGCACTAGACTCTGCTAGGAGAATTTCGACCTAGAACACACGAGGAACGCTGAGTGTCTGTCAGCAAACTAAGCCGTCGCTACACAAAGCAACGCGGCAGCAAACGCCGGTACTTCGTACACACACACCCTGATCGCTCTCTGGCATTGCGTCTCCGCTCTTTGGGCTGCATGCTCCATGCCCTTTTCGAGGCCGAGCGTTTGCCAGGAACAGGTCTGTCTAGCGGGCGGAAGTGCGTCCGATGAAGAAAGGCCATGGAAGAGTGCTCCAGAAAAAACTCGTTTGAACCAAAGGAGTGGCAGCCAGTAGGAGGTCCGCGCACGCACAAGGGGGCCCCTGTGCTTCCATGCTTCTAGCTGTCTTCTACGCCGTAATGAGCAGGCAGCCCAAAGACTAGGAGCTGAAGCTGAGTTGTGATAAAGCTGCACGCTAAATGGCTGTAATGACGATGAAGCAGAATTTCACCAGCGCCTGCTGGCTGGAGAGCGGAGATGCAGGTAATAAGCGAGCGTGTCGAGCAGGCGAATCCTGATGGAACCTCTTCCCCCTTTGACATAGAGGACAACCCAATTGTCACGCCTGGACAAGCAGAATCTCGTGGGGATGGATGGGGTTTTGAAGATTTCTCACGAGCCCTCCCAAATATACTGCTAAGGATGTGCGTCTCGTACTGCGAACGTGTTTTGAGCAAGCCCCATGGAGGTCACTCAACCAACCGATCCGCCAATCTTTGGGTGCAAAAGTCATGTCGCAGATGCCAGGGGCTCCTAGTGTGTGTTTGGCAGACAATAAACAGCGTTAGCAGAACGCTCTGAGACAACCTCCTCCAAGCAGTGTGGGCTGCTGCGTGCTGGATTGGAGCCCAAAGTTTTTCAATATGGGGTGGCAATTGAAAAAAGCGGGAAATGCCGACTACTGTAGCCGGTCGTCGGCCGTGCGAGAAGCGGCAGGGCATGACCGCTGTCTTTGTCTCTTCTCTCAACGCTCCATGGCTGCTCTCGCTCTTCCAAAATGACGTTGCAGCACAAAACGAGCCACACGCAATTCCCAGATGGTAATGTGATGGAAGGTTTCCGCCATAGCCACGGCAGTCGAACGGCCCAGCGGATCAAAGATTGGTAAGCCCTTATGATCGTAGGTTGCGGCAATCGGAATCGCATGCCGCAGCAGCCGCCAAAGTCGAACAGTCTGTTTCTCAGTCTGTCTACCGAAGTTTTGCACCAGAGCAGAAAAATCGTCTCCGCCATTGGGGGGTTGGCGTCGTTCGCTCGAGAAATTGCCACGCGCCGCGTGGTCGTCTAGCACGCAGCCTCTTTTTTTTGCAGCACGCGCTAGTCTCTCGATAATATGGAGTAGGAAGAAATCACCTAATAAGGCACTCATCCTAATCGACGGACCACAAACTCCTGGTGCAGGATAAGGAGGCCAGTGTTCGCTCTTTGGCTCCCAAGCCTAGAGCAAGGCCTAGGTCAAACACAGGTTAGAAGCAGCAGCCGATGATGACAGCACGAGGTCCGAGGGGCGTGCGTGACATCTTCACCATGCTAGAGTACAAGTATGGTGCCACCCAACCTAAATCTCTGGAGCCCCGTCTATCAAAGGCTCAGCGACATCTCGACTGGCGTTTCTCGGGCCCTCGGTGAAAGATCGGCTGTCTGCTGCTGGACGAAGTGCTGGGCGCTGATGACATATCCGTTTTCTGGAAAGATTCGAAGCTTCCAACCGTCTGCCGCCCACTATTCTTGTGCACCGGATGCCGGGATTTGCGGCCGTGCCGGCTGTGCTAGAACGGATAGCAAGGCGCTAGGCCACATCTACACTGGCCGTTGGGAAACAAACCTGAGATCTTGACTGCTGTGGACGATCTGGGAGCATACATAGTTGCAGCATCTTTTCGGAAGGCAAGGGGGCGTGAGTGTTCTTGGATTCTAGAAATGGTCCCGGAAGACGGCGGACACTAGGCTCGCACGACACGACGGTTTTCGGGAGTTGCAAGTACCATTTGGAGTTGCAGGTACAAAGCGCTGACAGGCCGTGGCATTAGGAGCAGTGGCAAAACGCACGCTGCTGGATGTGGAAGCGGACGAGGATGATGTGATGTTTGCTAATGGTGTTGCTAATGATGTTGCTACCAGGCACGCGGAGTTCACTTGTTGCTGCAGTATCCGTGCCATGCTGCATGCACTCAGCCCGTGTGTGCTACTGACTAATCTGCCAGATTACAGACTGCCTCGTTCTCGCTAGCGATTGTTTGGGTATTTTCCCGCCCTATCTCGTGGCCCTCGTAGGTTTGGCTTTGCTTGTTTTTATCTTTTCATCTACAGTGCAGTACAGTCGTTTCTTTCTTTTGGTTGTTTCTTATTTTTTTTTTTTTTTTTTTTTTTTTTTTTTTTTTTTTTTTTTCTTTTTTTTTTTTCTCTTTTTTTTTCTCTTTTTTTTTCTAGCTTCTATTTTAGTGGCGGCATCTCAATAAATTACCGAGGTTATATCGTATAGTATCAATTTGCTAGGCCTAGCACTATGTATGATAAGATGGCAGTACTGTAATGGTGGCCTAGGCGAAGCTTCAGTGCCTTCGGCGCCAGATAAGGTACCTACCTCGCTGGCGATATCCCCAATAGGGCTTGAGGCCAGTGGCTGCAGCGAGCGAAGGTGTCAAATACAGGTTCTCCAGATTGAGGCGCTTTTGCACTGGCTACAGTGACATATGTCGCTACAGCAGCCCTACGCAGAGCCTTCACCGCAACGTCGAGTATCCCGCAAATTGGCCAAATGTACTCGGTACCTGCGTGCTCGCCGCTCTCAGATTTTTACTCGATTGCGCCTCTGCTAGAGCACTGTCGCGAGGCGGTCAGGCAGTTTGGGCTGCATTTTTTACATGTATCTGCCAATCCATGCCGCGCTAGAACTGCAGCGCTAGAAATGCATGTTATCATGTACCTCGACCTGTACAGTAGCCGTCAATCGTCGATGCACCAACTCCAATCTTCCACCTCCACCACCAGCCCAGGCCTAGTCCTAGTCCACGGCTAGAGCCTTTTTCTGCTTTGCAATCGACGGCGGTCAGCCAGCCAGCGCGTCGAAACAGCCCTGCTGTACTGTACACCACTGCCAAAAACGGGGGCGCCAGCCGCAGACGCCAGCAGCAGACGCCAGCAGCAGAAGAGAAGGCCTGGTTAGCTGCAACGGCCAATGCCATGGCCGCATACTGTACGCCGATGGGGGCGATCCACCGCAAAGCAAGCAAGTCCCTGGCCGCTGAAAGGAGGCTCGAGCTGGGCAGAGCCAGAGAGAGAGCGAGCGAGCGAGCGAGGGAAGAGACATCACCAGTTTGCCAAGGCCATGAGACGAGAAACGAACGCCCGCGCAGTCCAGCTGATTGGGATTATGGGCTGTCTCTGTTTTCTGCACTGCGCCCCAGCTCTTCGTATCGCTCAGCAAACCGGGGGGGCAATGACTGCTATTTACAAGTACATGGCAGTACGAATATCCAGCATGCGGGCGAGATTTTGTCTTCTTGCACTAATATGCAGCAGGTGGATAGGCCGTCGCTCCCTGGCCATGCCACTCTCCATCTCCCATCGACGTCGCCTTTGGCGCTATGCCTCGTCCAAGCAAGCCTTCCGCCCGTTTCCCTACACGCTGTCTGCCCGTATATCGAGGTACCAGCAATGGCAGGGGCCCAGTGGACTAGCCAGCCTAGATCGCGATCCAGTCCCTCTGCGGAATACTGTGCGTCCAGACGCCGCACTGCCGCGCTGCGAGTCCCAGGCATTGACGGCGGTGCATACCGTAGCAAGTGCAGCGCTTCCAGAGTGTCGGACCCTGCCTTGCTTAGGTTTACCGTCTAGCAGGCGACTTCCGCTGTCAGAGACGGCGGCTGAGGCCATGGGCGCCGGCGAGACGAGCTGCTGAGCTCCATCAAACAACATATCAAATCGACGCAAATGCAACAGACGCTATTTCAGCAGCGTCGCAGCCAGATCGGCTCCGCCTTCACCCCTTGCAACGGGGAGCTGCTCAAGACTGAAGGAGGCGAAACTGCCACCGCATAAGGCCTGCCATCCGCACAGTTGACTGGTGATTTGACTGATGACCTCTGTGGCCTCTGTAGCCTCTCGCTGTCTCGCCGCCGCCGCCGCCGCCGTCGCCGCCGCACCGCGATTTGCTCGCTTTTACTCCGTAGTTGCCTGTCTGCTTGCTGCTTTGCTTGCGCCCCCAGCTGAGGCACTATATTCTGGAGTACATGCTGGTACTTCATGCATGCATTTCTTCGGCTTTGGCACTAAGGCAACGCGGTCCGAAGGGCAGAGACGCTGCCAGGTTCCCTCTCGTCAGTTGTCTCTTGTCTCTGGTATGAGTACCAGCAACCTCTCAAGCGGCGTCCAGTGGTGGCCAAAGCCTCTCCCCGCGCAGGCTCTGACCGTACCGATACCAGCTCGGTACGCTCACCTCACACTTACCCGCTTTGCTGCTACGCCTATGCCAGTGCTGCGACTATTAGCAGGACGCCACACCACAGAACACGCACGCTTCTAGGCTGCAGAGCCTGCAAGTCTGAAGAGACCCGGTCGTCCGCTCGATACTCTGTCTAGACCCACGCCCAGCCCCCCTGTAGCCTCGAAGGATGTACTTGTCTTGCTATACACACCCCCTCCCCACCCTGTAAGTACTGGGTCCCTTCAGAGGTACAAGCACACACACTGACAGACGACTGGGGATCCACTCGCTCATGGATGGACGGATTCGAAGGCAAGTGTACCATATTATTATAATACGGTACCTGACGGCATCATATTCTGGTCCTTTTTTTTTCTGTCCCACTCAGAGAAACAAGTTTTACGTCTTTCATCTTTCAGACTCGAATCGCAGTTTCCTGTCTGCTGGCCTTTTGCCTGCTTTCTGAGTCTGTACAGGAGTCTTACAGTCTCTGTTCATAGGCGCTGTTGACGACGTCTTGCCGCCACTTACTTTCGTATTCTAATTGCTTCTCGTGACGGAGCAGCATCCGCGTTCGATTTCAACAAGCTCGAACGGGATCCTCAAAGTTATCCTGTTGACGTCGATACAACAAAACGAAACGATCCATCTCTTTACGTAACACGAATCTCGACGAAAAAACATACGATTCTTCAACTTTTTGCGATAGCTCCCCACTCGATCGCCCTGCGGCTCTTGACTCTCGCCGCAACCGCCCACCTTCAATTCGATCTATATTTCGATTGGAACTGTAGTTTGCATGTCCCTCTTATATAGAATACAATACGACATGCCGCGATCATCATCCGGAGAACCTGCTAAACCGTCCAAGCGAAAGGGTAAGTGTTGAATCTCATTTGTATTGCCTCCATCTTATATGTCAACATCCCCCCGCAAGCGATACCACTCAGCTACCCGGCGTTGATCAGCATCATTGCTTTTTGCGGGTTTACCCTTCTTGGACACGGTCTTGAATCATGTCAAGAACTAGTTTAGCTAATTGGTCATGTTCAGGCACTCGAAGCGTCTCGACTCTGACTCCAGCTCAGCTGGCTCGCAAGCGAGCCAACGATCGTGAGGCCCAAAGAGCCATTCGGGCCAGGACCAAGGAGCACATTGAGCGTCTGGAGCGTGAACTGGCCGAGCTCAAAGGTGTCCAGAGCCGCGACAGAAAAGTACAGGAGCTTCTACGCAGGAACAAGATCCTCGAAGAGGAGATTGCCAGGCTCCGGGAACACTTGGGCTACACCGCCACGGAATCGTCCTATTCCTCGAATGCCGCAGGTACGCCAAGTACCATCATCAACAACGCTCGTGACCTTCTCTTCGGACAACTAACTCCAAGCCCATCAGTCTATGACGGCGACCTAAGCTCCAGCAGCGGCGCTGTGCCCAGCCCCAGGGTGTCTCCTCTGCCGTCTAGCGACTTTCACCAGATCCCCGACTATGCGCAGCAATCATATGGACACATCACCAGCGCCGCCAGCGAGCCATGGCCAGCATCTGTCCCGCCTAACCCAGTCCTTGGCAACATTCCTAGCCCCTCATCCCCCGCCCATGGAGACGAATATAATGTAGGGTACATTCCTACAAGCGTCCCTACGTCCATGATGTCTTCTTCTCTGAAGGAGATTAAGCAAGATTATGATGAGATCGATCACAACAGTCAGTATACCTTTATTCCTACTTTGTTAATCATGACGGCGACTAACATTTCCTCTCTCTCCCAGGTGGACTCAGACTCAGCACACCAGCCCTGCATAACCTACCACAGTCTTATATGCAGCAGCAACACCAGCACCAGCACCCGCATCCTCAGCCACATCCGCAACACCCACCTCAACACCAGCCGCAATCACAGCAAGCGCCGCCGCCGCCACCACAACCTCCACTGCACTCGTACGCTCATCAAAGCCAGGCACCAGCTCACCCTGCGCACGGCGCGTCGCCTCACACACCACTGCAGCAGCGAAGTCAGTGGAACAACCCGTACTCTTTGTATTAGACGACAGATAGAACCGAGAGCCGAGAACCACGCCATCGCCACTGGTTTCCAATAGTTATCACTGCACCATGACTGCCTGGAAGGCCGCCCAACCAACCCAAATAACTTTCCGTACCCTCATCCGGACATCACCGAAAGATGATTTTTTTTGGCCACGACAATCTCAAAAAGGCCAATCTAATCGACGAATACGATGCTCGCAACGCTGTATATTGCCACAATCCTCTGCATGCTTACGGCGTGCAACCTTGAGTTTCCACCAGCCAATCGGCTAACCGTGGAAAGCAAGTTGCCAGAGGGCTGAGTGGAGCTTGGCTGTGTACGTGGCATCAATGAGGAAAGGAGTGTGGTAAATTGAAAGATGTTGCGAGATTTGCTTGGACGTGCTGGTGCAGCTCGGTCAGTAGGGATAAACACATTTGAGAAACATGGAAACGACTTGTCTCTTTTTGGGCGGAAAGAGAGAAATACAGGAATCAAAAAGACATCGGCTCACAGTGGCGAGGCCTGTTCTACGACTTACGGAAGGGTGTTTGAGGGTTATCCTAGGGCATGGGAGCCTGCACCCATACAGTTATGGCATTCATCGGCGTTTTGGTCTTGTATATTATATCGACATTTGGCGCATGCACACACAACCGGACGGACACATCACGATGCATCAGCGGGGTACATGGGGTTCAGCAGCGGCTAAGGCTGGGGCGATGATCGTTACATCTATATTTTCTTATAAACAAAAAAACATCCTTGGGAGATACCATGAAGGGGTTAACTGGACTGGCTGTTGGACAGGACGGATAGATGGATACGCTACTTCTTCTTGTTTATTTTTTCTCTTTTCCTCTTCTTCTTATTTCTTTACTGTTTTTTTTTTTTTGTCAAATGGGTTACGAAATCCTACTGGTTCTTTATTTTTTATTTCTTTTGTCATTTGGCTTATCATCTTTTAGAGCCACGTTATATGGGATACTATAAACTTCCGATAGAGGAACCATGAGGTTATGAAATTAGATAGTGTTGGGGATTATTATAGCACGTAAATTTCACGTTATGTTTTGTTCTTATCATCTCACGTCTCTCTTGTATCTGTGTGCTTGAGTTAACTTTTGCTATATTCTGCGACTTGCTGTATTAGACGGATATATGTACAACTGATGTGTAATCGCCAAGTACAAAACGGGAAAGGTGAAAAACCCCGACGCCTGGATATCGACGATGCCCAGCTTTGCTAGTTCTACTCGCTTAAATCTTGTCACCCCTTGCATTTCCTGGGCGAATTATGGCTTAGCTTAGCAGCTTGGAGCTGCTGTTTGAGACTGTAGCGTGAAGAGAAGACGTTGAGGGGAGAGAATAGCTCTATACACCGAAGCGTAACTTCAATTCATAACGCATCAGTCCCAGAGAGGCAGTACACCAAAGCCAAACAAAGATAGGAGTCCTAGGAACCAGAGAAGAGCAACACGATAGGGGCTTAGACGCTAACATGCGTCAAGCTGCTGTGGACTGCCTTGGCTGGCTACTAAAACTAAGACTATTCGATCTCATCTCCTTCTCCTCTGGTCGACTGCCTAATCTCTGTGGCATTATTAGATCCTACTAGCTGCTACAGCTAGAGTAACGCCCATGAAGCTAGTAGCGGCGTGAACGGCTACAAGCTGCTCTATGCAAACTAGAAACTAGCGAGCATGGGTTATTTACAACTAGTAGTACAGTTAGCTGAGCAGTTTGCTGAGGCGATGCCCTTCTTCATCTATGCATTAATGCGCACACCGCATGGGAGGTATGTACACTCGGAGAACCCCCAGATCTAGGTATTACTACTACTGCTGCTAACGAAGCGCGCGTGTTTTCCGTCGTGTGGTGGTGATGTGTTTGGGGGAGGGGGCGCGGATGCTTATATTGACTTCCAGACACATGGATGCGTATTCAGGCTGAAAGCAGATGATCTCCTAGCACCAGCAGTAGCTGGGGGATGGCGGAGAAGATCTGACTTTAGTGCTGGGCCTAAAACGCAAATGATGGGCAGCCAGCTATTGGAAGGAGTGATGGTTTGATTACACTACGGAGACTTTTTCTTGCTTCTTCAACTCTTTTTCAGCCTCACTGTGAACTATGATCCGTTGGCCGTTGGCGAATCCTTGTAGATGAATTGTTCATTTCTTGGCAGTCTATCAAGCAATAAAAGTCGGAAAATTTTTGAAAAGAGGATGAAGAGAAAAAAAAATACATTAATATTTTTGGCACAAGTTGGGAGAATAGTGGAGTTTCACGAAGAGGGGGTAAACAGGAGCCAAGAGGGGCCAAGTTTGAGAGAGAGAGGAGAGAGGGGGGTGGCTCCGTAAATTGAGAGAATATTGACGCTTACCCAGTTTAACGGTATGGATACAAATAATTCCAAAAGCTCAAGGTATGTAGGTACTTGGTGTACTTACTTGTAGGATGCAGTACGCACCGCCATACTTGGCTTCATTTCCCAGTTCCATCATGTCGATTTTCTTTGGCACGCATTGAGTAGCGCCCGCTTCCTTGGCCATTCAGACGCCCGCCTGTGGGAACTTCGAGCTTATAGTGCTGTCCAGTTTTGGCATAAAGCATTGGGCAATTAAACAAGCAAGGCCAGGCCTTGTAATATGCGTGGCAGGTTGGACAGAAAGGTAGGTATATCTATTACGTGAATTAGTATACTGGTACTCGCAGGTGGAGTGCATGAGATGCGGTCTAGATGACCCCCAAAATAAGTGGACTTCTGCCTTATCTACGGAACAAACAAGTACTATACTGATGTACGCACTGCTGTACAGACAGAGAGAGAAAAGCAGTGAGTGAGAGGCAGTGGGAATAAGCAGCTTCGGGAGATAATTGCCGAGACAGACGATGAGCTGCTTTTGTACATGATCGTAGAAAAGAAGGAGAGGGTATGGTTGGATCGACCCAAGGGAGATGGGGCGGCCATGCATCAACCGTCATCACGGCGTGCCCCGTACGAGACACTAGAGGAACTTGTACTTCGTATGGGGTATGTACTATGTATGGCCATATTTCTTATCTTGCGTGTACAAGTAGACTCGGAGTAATTGCGTGTATAAATAGAAAACTGAGCAACTCAACGGCTAAGAGGCTAGGAGAAATATCACGACGCTAGAAGGCGCACAAAGAAGAAGAAAAGAGACCATCACCGAACTTTTCAGCCAACGCTAGCAACTCTGTCATGTCGATATTTTTCAAGCGTATTGAACAAGGGTTTATAGACCCTTTTGCCCCCCTTCTTTGTCTTGCTCTTTCTTCTTCGCAAGAGGAGGAAATGTCACTTTCATGCTTGAGAGCTAGCCGGGCGGCTGCTCCGGTCTGAAAGTTTTTCCTGGAGCTTCGTCTCCTTCTTTTCTTTCCCCAACAGAAACCCCCTTCTCATCGGCCTCACTGCGGCCAGTCTACTTCAGCTCTAACATATACGCCCTGGAAGCGGCGGCGGCGGCGGCGGTAGTTGTCTCTTGTTTTTTTTTTCTCTGGGGTATGCATCCCAAGCTTGTTTCGGGGATTATGACGGGCGCGGCAGCGGTAAGGACCCCCCTGGGCGGCTAAAGCTGTGCTTATCATATAAATGCCCCGATGGTGTTCACGTCGTCTCTCGTGTATCATAGCCTATTATAGATGTCAAGCATCTTGAAAGGGATAGTCGCATCATCGCCTCGAAATAACCTGGGGAAAAGGGGGCGTACGTGGGATCGTTTCAGCTGTGGTCGATTAGCCTGTGCGCTTGTTGATGTTGTGTTATGTTCAACAGAGATTCAGCAACATTGTAAACTGCGTCGTTTGAGCCAAATTGGCATTAGAGACCCCAATGCTTCGCGATAGCAAAGTGGCAGTGGCATGTAGGACATACATACTATGCTCACTCTGCTCCTGGGACTCTAAGTAGACCCTGGTGGAAGCTGAATTTACCAGCTCATAGGGCGTATACATGCTCCATTCCTCCTCTTGTCTACCCCTGTTAGAGCTGTGTACTACTACAAGTGGTACAGTACAGTACCTGCGTTACATGAATCACATACCATACCTGTTTCCCTAGTGTTGGCCGCAGTATTGTGAGGGCCCCGATGCCGATACTGCGGGATCACCAGGCACGGGACGTTGGACGACGGCAAGCCGCATCTGCATAATAGCCCATTTGAGCTGCGATGGGGTCCCCATCCAACATGTCCACTGTCAACGCCGAACTGATTCCGGGTTGCTGGAGCATCACGTTTGTGGCTGGCAGATTCCGTAATCGTGGCGTCCGTAAAAACGTGCCAAACCGTCCGTGAATTACATCAAGCTTATAGAGCACAGTGCTCCCAGAGACGCCGTTTCTAGTCTCTTCTGGCGGACGAGCCCATGAACGCCACAGAGGACAAGCCCTCATTTAGATTTCTCCCAAAGGGGTAAAAGCTGCCCATATTGTAAACAGCGGTATGCCGGTAGGCGCGAATTATTTCAGTATATACAGATATACAGTACATGGCAGTACATGCACATACGTATAGCGGCCGCTTTTTTTTTTGGCACGCCTCGTCATTTTTTTTTCTTCGTCCGTGAGGGGTGTATCTCATTTTTTTGTCCTCCCCTCTCCTATCGTTTTTGACGCGCTCTTTGTTGAGGAAGCCCCCCTCTTAACACTAGTATAGCCCACCTAAAAATGCCAGGACTCCTAGTCCAAATAGCTGTGCATCCGGTGGGAGGACCTCCCAGAGGGCTTAGAACAAGAGTCCACCTTCCACGCGCTGGTTGGGCAACCATATATCATGCGGTGGATTCATGACAGCGGAGCAGCAAAATAGCGAGTATCAAGTCTTGAAAAATTGGCCGAGCTTGACCGAGCCGCTTCGGTGGCGGACCAAGGAGGAAGGACGGGAGAAGCACGCTAGAAGGACTATCGAAGCTTTGCATTTCCATCACTTCCATCATTTCCATCGTCAGGCCCCACAGCAGGACCAGGGGGGCGTGAACCAATCCCAGGTTGTACCAGGCCCAGGCTTGGATTCCAGAACCTTGTATTGTACAGTAGAGTAGCGCGGTACTTGTTTGAGCGGCCACCCCTCCCCTCCCCCTTCCTACAGAAATTTCCACGAGGAGACCCTGTTAGGCTGGTTTTGGCTGAGGTCGACTTATGACATAAAAAAAGAGGCGGAGGGGAAAGGGATAGCGCTGTGGCGAGACAACACAGACGACAGAGAGAAAAAAAAAAAAAAAAAGCTGATCCTGGTCGAGGGATAGTAGCCCAGAAATGGCAAATGTATCCCAAAGAATAGCAGGAAGAGTAGCCCAGAAGTGGCAGAAGGATATCAAAAGATCAGAGGCGAAGAGAATTCTCTGCTCTAAAGTCCGACGAAAAACAAATCATGCGGATGAATAAACATCGTAAGGATCCCCCAGCACCCAGTAGCTCCGATCACAAATACGTTTCGCGACTCTCATGCACCATCTCGCTATAACTCCGTATTCGCCTGAACGCGGTCCGGAGATGGGGGGGCAGCAATGTCGATGCCTGTTGAGAGCTGAAAAGGATGAGACTCCGTCGAAACCCGCCCCATTGGCTCCGTAAAAGGTAGCACGAGCCGCCTTAGTTTGTCTGCAGCGACGCTCATCTGCGGAGAGAAAAGGAGCGCACTAGACTGCATGCCGTGGAACATGCATGCTCGAGTAGCAAATCATCGTCATATACCCGCCCCAAGTCCCCTCTCTTCATACATGCTCCGTGCTTGCAATTAACATGATGCTTCGAAGAGTCCACTAAAAAAACACGCATCGTGAGACTCAGAAAGGCCTCCAGTTACATCACTCGACGCCTTCCCAGCGTGTGTCTCGAAAACGCCACCGCAGAAAGGAGGCATCCATAATTGGCCTCGTCGACGGGGAGGCCCGAATATAGCGCGCAGGTCAAAACAATAATATGCGCTGGGGCCCTTCACTGGCGTACTGGTTTACACGTGGTTGGAAATGAAACCCCCGGTTTTTGTCTTGCATATTTTACGCCTTATTTTGACATCCAAACGGGCCAGGCGATCCAAATGAAATGCTTCAGTCAGCCTCGTATCAAGCACTTAACAGTTCACAATCCCCTTGAAACTTTGTTCGCCTATACAGTAATTGGTGGCATATGTGTACTTGTCACAATCCGTATTAGTCTAGGACGTTCTTTCGGCGCAGTGCACGGCAGTTGTTGAGCAAAGGGAGCTTTACCAAGACTGCATAGCACCGTAACATCGTGCTTCCCTTTAGTGTCTTTTTCCATCCATCCACCCATGGCATCTCTTTGGGGGCCAGCGGCATATACTTGCAGTACAAGTAAAGCTACTGAGAGCTAGACGCCTGTTAGGGTCAAGCCGCTCAGGGGCTCCTCCGTCGATCAACGGCATCATGCCCGCCTGTCCAGGGCGAGAATCCTGACGATACGCTGCGGTAACTTATCGCATCACTTTTTGAGCGGGACTGCGACGTGCCGGCTCGGCAATAGGCTTCATTGACAAGGAGATAACAAGCGGCGGTGCAGAAAAGCGAACAAACTCGAGACAGGACGTACTATACACGTGTGTGGTGCTTCGCATTTCGCATCGCAACTCGCAGCAGCTCTACTATAGTAGTGTTAGCAGTGCCCACATATTGCCGCTGCACTATTATTCAGGTGAGCTATATGACTCCGACCTGGTTCAGCTTCAGCTGGCGCTGATAGTATGCCTTTCGTGAAGAAGCAAGTTTCAACATCACCGCTTCTTAGTGCCACGCTTATTCCGCCCGTCGTGCACCTACCAGGAAGCCAGAATACCCCAGTCTCCAGCCAAGTTGTACAGGTGCTGTACTATGTAAAAACCAGCACTGGAGGCGTGTATACCTTGCCCAATGCTTAAATGATTCATGTACTCTGGTGCCATGTAACCCAGACTGTGCATACCACTAGTAGTACCCATTCCGCTGCTATCCACTCGTCACATATACCTAGTATAATAGATCTTGCCGAAATCTAGTTGGCGCCAGAGGACCAGGTTTCTCCGCATGCCACAAGGAGCTGCTGACGCGACAGAGCTGAAAAGGCGCCAGGTGTAGAAAGTAAGACATCGGCACACTAGCCGCAGCTGCAGAAGCCGCCACCAAGTCTCTATTCAGATTCAATCTTATTAGTGCTGCGCATTAGTTTGCAAGCCTCGATTGGTCAAAGTTCGCCGAAGGCTTGTTACGGGACGCATGTCGGTAAATTGATCCCAGAGTGTTTCGGCTTTCATACACGTTGCGCAGTATAAAGTGGTGTGGTGCGGGAAAAGACAATGTGATATTGCTCTTCGCAGGCACCCCGTGCCATTGCATGGTCAAGCATCGTATTGTCAGACATCGAATTCCCAGGGTCAATTGTAACTATTGTCTGATCCAGGAGTCTTTAGTGATGCTGGAATATGCGAAGGATGCTAACAAATTCCTCATCCGCCATGATCCACACAACAAAGTAGACTTCCTAGCTCGCTCAGCGCATTGGAGAGAGCCTCATATGACGCAACAAGATAGTACCAAGATTGGTGAGAATCTAATCGCAGGTGTTGCCTCATGCAGACGCCAATCGATCGTTGTGGGACCTGTCATCGGTCATAGTGATACTAGCATACGGTATTTATGCCTGTATATGATCTTCCCAGAAGCAGGTGATGGGATTGAAAGGACGAAGGTCTCTTCATGGCCGTGGAATTACTAACACCGTGTTCCTAATGCCACAGTAATGATGGAGTTGAACGGGGATTCTGCTCCTAAAGCCACATCGCTGGCTTGTGGGCGCCGTAACTATTCCTATAAACAGAATGCGTCAAGTAGCCAGCGGCACGCAGCCAAGGATGGATGGAGTACCCTGTCCGAGCGTCATCAGCGCTGCTGCAATTATTCAGCCGCACCAAGCCAGCGGAAATAGGAACATGTTAGTGGCTGCCGGCTAAGCCATTCGAATATCTCCGGCAGGCAGGTCCCCCTAGCTAGGAGACGAAAGTAGGTAGCATTGGACGCGGGATCTCCAGGATCCCACGTAAGATCACACATTCGTCCAGCCTTACTGTCCCCTCCATTTCGCTGCCCCTCCACAGGCCCCTGTCCTGCCTTGCGCGCCTCTGTGATAGTCCCACTAGCCATGCAGACAGTCTATCCTAATGCCGGGTTGCTTGTATACTTTGTCAGCGGCCGATAATGACTGACAAAGCACAAAAGAGAGGTGGGAAGCGATAGATGGCGGAATGAACAATGAATTGTCAAGTACAATTCCCTTCAGCTGTGGCGCAATCAGGGGAGAAGCATCAAGCCAGGAAACTCAACAGGGAGTCCCTTTGACGAATTGCCAGATCTGGTCGTTGCACGCACGCCCAAGCTGAAGATGAAGCGCATACTAGTAGCTGACAGCCAGAATGCGGACGTTGATGTTTTCAAATACGAAGGATGCCAACACATTCAGGGAGAAGTGCGTCAAATCGAAATAATTCGCTAAATGCCCGTTATATTCTGCAGTACTGATACCTACTTGTCTGCGGTGCGATGAATGCAGTCATGGTATAAGCAGTGCCGGGGTGAAGTGCCGATGTGACAACGGCTCATACTGATAATGCGAACCGCGAGGTTTGGTCACGCCTCCCAGCCGCATACACGTATAGTTTCGGCGCATATTATGCGTGGCACGGACATGGATAACAACAGTGCAGGTATGTACTGTCAAGCAGCATCCCAGTACTTCATCCAAGACCATGCAAAACTGCTGACATGCCATGTGAGGGCCCTGAACGTTGCACTGACGGGGAGTGCGAATTCTGCTGCCGTGCACGGCGCAGCCACAAAGAGGCGCATCGTCGTTGAGAATCCCAGCATCCAGTCACCAGATCCTTGCTCAACCCAGCACCAGCTCGCCAGTTATTGTTGAAGAAGGTCTCTGCATATGACAATCAGCGACATATCAACAAGGGATCACACCACGGCACGGGATGTATAGAGTACTTATGCTAGCATTAGTACCTACCCGGTATGTGCAATGTCATCAACCTCCACCAACACCAACACCAACACCATGAGACCCGGTTTCGACCAGTGCCCGCCCCGTTGTCTGACGGAACAAGCAAGACCGGTCCCAGGCCGTCGGGATCAGATCCACCAAGATCAAAAATCAACAGCGCCCTAGATTGATCGATATGATGGTGGAGTCCCGAGTTCCGTCGCTATCTGCATGACCTTGTCCGGAAGCCGTCGACGTCGACGTCGGTCGATACGGCATTTACCCGTGACCGTTGGAGCACGGCATCTTGGCGTGCCTCGGGGAGTATCGCCCGACGCTCACCGAAGCCAAATACCGCTAAATCCATCCGCTGCCCCCAGCTTTATCGTTGCTCTCGCTTGAGCGGAGTTGGATCCCCAGTTCTTCCCCGATTATTCTGATGGACGCTGGAGTGTTGCAGCGAAGCTCGACCAGCCATTGGCTGCAGCTCGGGAATAAAGATGGCGAAACCCCGGGTAACTGGCAATACTATGGACATACTAAGGGTATACTGCGGTTAAAACACGAACTAAGCGTTCATGGCGGCGGAGCTCGATCTCTGATTGGCTGCGACCCGCAATCCTGCTGGCGAAACTTCGGTTGTCCGGCCATATCAAGGCTATACTAAGGATATACCACGGCCGAAGCCCTGGCTAAACACCAATAGCGGGGAACAATCGCGGGGAAACTCGTTCAAGACGGCATCCCTCGTGATAAAGAGGGATGGATTGCGCGCGGCTTTCGGAGAATCCTACCTCTGCTTCATGCCATCAGAGACGATAGCTGCCAAGACGGGCGAGTAAGCCCGTTAGTGGGAATTATCATTGTTGGATTGCTGGGATCTGGCCTGATTTCTTTTACGTTTCTCCGAAGTTCTCACGGCTAGCCATGGCGGACTTCGCATGTTTTATGGGCTCGCTCTCTATTTTTGTCTGGCCGACGGGTATATAAGTCGCCATGTCTGTTCGTTTTGCGTGGGAGGTTTCTTGGAGATCTTTTAACCATTCTCGTGTGCCCTTGAAGACTTTGTTCCAATCTCTCGGCGTGTTGTTCACTTGTGAGATTGCTCGCGTCTTACCCTAAAGTCTCTCTGAAAGACTCGTGTACTTGAGCACCTCCTTTTTTTTATAGAGCGGGATACCCAAGGTGTCCCCGTGGTGTATTAGAGAGAAAAAGGGTGTCTCTCAAATACACGCTGATTTAATCTAATTTTTGTTTTCAAATATCAAATATCACTCTATCGTCCAACCATGGCTGACATCGATGTCGAGGCCGTGTTAAAGAAGCTTACCTTGGCAGAAAAGGTCGACTTGCTAGCAGGTGAGCTATACATAACACTACAACAACAACAACACATGATATCTTCTCTTTCAACTACCCCCAACTCCCCCCTTTTTTCTTTATTTCCACTTTACTCTGAATCATATATAAACAAACAAACAAACGACTAACAACCATCTCTAGGCATCGATTTCTGGCACACAAAATCCCTCCCCAAGCACGGCGTCCCTTCACTGCGCTTCACAGACGGCCCCAACGGTGTAAGAGGAACCAAATTCTTCGATGGCGTCCCCGCGGCCTGCTTCCCCTGTGGCACCGCGCTCGGTTCCACCTTCAACCAGTCGCTGCTCGAAGAGGCAGGTAAGATGATGGGCAAAGAGGCCATCGCTAAGAGTGCGCATGTGATCCTCGGCCCGACTATCAACATGCAACGCTCCCCTCTTGGCGGGCGAGGCTTCGAGTCCATTGGCGAGGATCCCTTCCTCGCAGGGCTGGGTGCCGCGGCGCTTGTCCGCGGCATCCAGAGCACCGGTGTGCAGGCCACTATCAAGCACTTCCTGTGTAATGACCAGGAGGACAGGCGAATGATGGTGCAGAGCATAGTCACGGAGCGAGCACTGCGCGAGATCTATGCTCTGCCCTTCCAGCTGGCTGTTCGAGACTCTCAGCCGGGAGCGTTTATGACGGCGTACAATGGCATCAACGGCACATCATGCAGCGAGAATCCGAAATATCTCGACGCCATGCTCCGCAAGGAATGGGGCTGGGACGGTCTCATCATGAGCGACTGGTATGGCACGTATAGCACAACCGACGCTGTTGTAGCTGGACTCAACCTTGAGATGCCCGGCCCCCCACGATTTCGGGGCGAGACACTCAAATTCAACGTCTCCAACGGAAAGCCATTTGTCCATGTCATCGACCAGCGTGCCAGAGAAGTGCTCCAGTTTGTCAAGAAGTGTGCCGCTTCTGGCGTAAAGGAGAACGGCCCTGAGACCACAGTGAACAACACCCCCGAGACAGCAGCTCTGCTCCGAAAGATTGGAAACGAAGGCATCGTCCTGCTGAAGAACGACAACAACGTCCTTCCCCTCAAGAAGGACAAGAAGACGCTGATCCTAGGACCCAACGCCAAGCAGGCCACATACCACGGCGGAGGCTCCGCCGCCCTCAAGGCCTATTACGCAGTCACTCCCTTCGACGGCATCAGCAGCCAGCTCTCCTCAACCCCTTCATACACCGTCGGCGCCTACACCCACCGCTTCCTCCCCGTGCTGGGCGAGCAGTGCACAACGCCAGATGATGTTGGAGCTGCCGGCATGCGCTGGAGAGTCTTCAACCAGCCTCCCGGCACCCCTGACCGCCAGCACATTGACGAGCTCTTCTTCACCAAGACGGAGATGCACCTGGTGGACTACTACAACCCCAAGGCTGCCGATACATGGTACGCAGACATGGAGGGCACTTATACCGCCGATGAGGACTGCGTATACGAGCTCGGCCTTGTCGTCTGCGGCACTGCCAAAGCCTACGTAGACGGCAAGCTCGTCGTCGACAACGCCACCCACCAAGTCGCCGGCGACGCCTTCTTCGGCTCCGCCACCCGCGAAGAGACGGGCCGCGTCAACCTCGCCAAGGGCCAGACGTACAAATTCAAGATCGAGTTTGGCTCAGCGCCCACCTACACCCTCAAGGGCGACACCATCGTCCCCGGCCACGGCTCCCTCCGCGTCGGCGGCTGCAAGGTCATCGACGACCAGGCCGAGATCCGCAAGTCCGTTGCCCTGGCCAAGGAGCACGACCAGGTCATCATCTGCGCGGGCCTCAACGCCGACTGGGAGACCGAGGGCGCAGACCGCGCGAGCATGAAGCTCCCCGGCGTGCTGGACCAGCTCATCGCCGAGGTCGCCGCCGCGAACCCAAACACCGTCGTCGTCATGCAGACGGGGACGCCCGAGGAGATGCCCTGGCTGGACAAGACGCCTGCGGTTCTCCAGGCCTGGTACGGGGGCAACGAGACGGGCAACTGCATCGCCGATGTCATCTTTGGCGGCTACAACCCTTCTGGCAAGCTGTCGCTCAGCTTCCCCAAGCGCCTTCAGGACAACCCTGCCTTCTTGAACTTCCGCACCGAGGCCGGCCGCACACTGTACGGCGAGGACGTCTACGTCGGCTACCGCTACTACGAGTTCGCCGACAAGGACGTCAACTTTCCCTTTGGCCACGGCCTCTCCTACACCACCTTCTCCTTCTCCAACCTCAACGTCTCCCGCAAGGACGGCAAGCTGAGCGTATCGCTCTCCGTGAAGAACACGGGCTCCATTGCCGGCGCGCAAGTCGCCCAGTTGTATATCCGCCCGGTACAAGCCGCCAAAATCAACCGTCCCGTTAAAGAGCTCAAGGGTTTCGCAAAGGTAGACCTTCAGCCGGGCGAGACGAAGACTGTGACGATTGAGGAGCAGGAGAAGTACCTTGCTGCTTACTTTGACGAGGAGCGCAACGAGTGGTGCGTTGAAAAGGGAGACTATGAGATTATTGTCAGTGATAGCAGTGCTGTCAAGGATGGTGCGGCGCTGAAGGGATCGTTTTCAGTAGAGGAGACGTTCTGGTGGTCTGGAATTTAAGAGGATTTGAGTAACAACAAATATATATATATAGGTATACAGGTATAGCTGATGAGTGTGATGACAACTCTAAAACAGCGTTTTGATGAAACTTTTCTATTCAGCTCCTTGCAAATTATCGGATTTAGAAGACTCGTGCTGCACTACATTAAATCAAGTAATAAGAATCAAATAGTACACTTTGCCGGCTCAATACTTCTCTCTCAATACTTCTCTCTCAATACTTCTCTCTCAATACTTCTCTCTCCTCTCCCCAATACAAAATTATCTCGCAACATATGCAACAGCAAATCACTTATCCGCATGATCGTTTAACCGTAAAAAGGAGAAGAAAAATATTCGCTTGCCCATCTTTTCATCCAACGTTTAATAAATCCCATGACATAGAGAAATCCCTCTCCTCTGTTTTCATCTTTAAAATAGCAGTTAACCACGCTACCCCGGCTATCGCCACTCCGATGATACGTATGGAAGAGCTCCTCGCCCCGTCGGCTTGATCCGCAAAGGTGAAGAGAAGTCAGCACTCCATCACGTGAAGGCCTTTCCCCTGCCGCCGCATCAAGCCCCTGTACCTAGGTTCCCTGGTACATATGAGAATGGGGGCTCATGGGTCTGCGCGCAGAATCACTCTGCACGCGCCCAAGCTAGGGGCATACTTGTAAGTCTTCTTGTCGTATGACTGAAATTTCGCCAAAGCAATCGCATGCATGTTGCAGTTCGTATCGGAATACTTGTTGCAGCGAGTAATATTTGAGAGTATCCAATCATGGCGTATGCGTGTCCAGCATGCTCATTGTCATGATGATGAAATCAATCTCTCATTGAAATTTCCCTCCAATCAGCACAGCATCGCATGCCCAAACATCAAAGCCCCGGTAGTAGACCCCCCTTGGAGCTGGAAAACAGACACGAAAACAGATAATATTCATCTTACTCAATCAGCTCGTGATCGTCGTTGCACCGCACGTTGGCAACCACCTCCGGAATGCTCGCCTCCCGCAGAATAAACCCATGCTTCTCCACCACATTTTCTCCCCCGGAAGGGCCATATTGGTAATCCATTCCGTCATCTTGGAAGAAGTACTGGTCTCCTCTAAGCCACCGCTGGAGGCTCAAGGCCGTATTAGCCGCGCTGATGGCGACATGCCAGTTCTCCAAGCCCATAGTCATCCAGCCAACGACAGACAGGGTCTTAATCATTCGGGCGGGTGGAGACGCGTGGCAGCTTGGCACGGCAGCTGCCATGACCCAGATGAATACGCCAACAGCCGTCTTCCAATACGGCACCGAGACCTCCCAGACCAGTTCCCATAGCTTGAGGAAGTCGGTTTCGCCTAGGATCTGAGTGGTAGGTACACGAGCAATGATGGCGCGGTAGTAAATTGAAGCCGTTACACGGATACAACGGTACATGGCATCATTCTTCGTCCTGGCCAATCGGGCACTGGCAGTTTCATCCACCGGAGCGGGTGGCGAGCCGCTCATGGATGCACTATCGTTGCTTCTGGGGGAAGATGAATCGTAATCAGAACTGCTTGCCGGGGATGTACCCGCCCCCTCGTAGCCCGTCGTTTCCCACTGGATATCGTCTCCTTCTTCGGCTCCACGTCCCGTACCATCGTCCTCTTCGTGGAGGGGAATATTCTCCGGCATCTGATCTAGCTTGCTAAGGGCCCACAATGCTGCTTCCTTGACATGGTGTAGCTCTTGTGTAGTTGGTGATGGAGGCAGGGCTTGTACCATCTGTATGACAGATCTTACGTCGTCCAGGATCTGGGCCGAGCTTCGATGGAGTTTCAACGCCGACGCCGGGTCGATAAACATTGGCCATCCTGATAAAAAGGGGGAATTAAAAGAGGTTTGATACGGAACCATGAAGTCATCTTGAAATTCAAAGCCGGGTTGGCCGTAGATATCGGGCTCAATATCGTGAGCTATGGCGATAGCAATGTCGTGGCTAGACAGATTTGAATATTCAGCAGCGTTCTACATTGAAACCTGAGAAATGCGCTCAAAGACCATGCAAAGGTACTCCTAGCGATGCAAATGCAACGGTGGAATGGGGTAAAAGGCACGTTGGTCCGTAGCAATGTGACGGACCGTTTCTTTCAAGACTAAAGGGGTGGGGAGAGGGGAGATTATTAACCAGGGAAGAGGGTTTTTGATGCAACTCACATGAGCACTGTCTTGGCTAGGAAACCGCCCATTCCTAGATCCTGCAGGCCGCCCCTCATTCGCAACATGGTCTTGAGGCCCGCCATGTGGGCGCGCAGTTCTTCAGTGGTTCCCCAGTACCATGAATCCATGACCATCTGGGCGGTTCCCATGATGGCGGCGTCGCCCGTCTGCGTTCTAGCCGAGCTCAAGTGCTCGTTTAGCATGCGATGGACCACGCCTTTGTAAGCCCAAGCAAGCATCTTGGGCACTCGGCCTGTTTCCTTGAGGAAGCATACTGCCGTATATAGTACTATCTGAAGAAGGAGAGGATCTTTAATTGATAGCGGAACCCAATGCTTCATAAATCGACTCTCAGGGTCAGGATTTCCATCTATAGAAGCCTTGAAGCGCGATAGGAGTTGGAGGTCTGCAGCAGAGGAAAATTCATGTTAGTTGGACACAATATACCTCGTCTCTCTATTTGCTCCTCAAGCCCTTTGATTATACGAGGGACTTGAGCTATAGCGGGACTGCTTCTCAGATAGAAAAATCAAAGACCGCTTTCTACATGCACACACATGCATGATAATTACACAAAGAGAAAAGACGTGGGGGGAGAGAGAACAAGGGGGGGGGAGGTTGTCACATACGTATTCGGACGAGCTCAATATTTAGCCTGGTTGGCTCCATAGGCAGGTTCCGCAGTTGATCGTCCAGACCCCCAAGCATGGGAGGTGGCCGGGTAGCCTGCTGGAAAGCGCGCAGAAGTTGAGGGCCGTCGATGCTCCATTCGTCATTGACAATGCGATTAGTGACTTTAAGGCGGGCCGACAAAATCAAACGTAGCATGGCAAAGACGGATTTGGGTCTAAGCGTGCCCGTTTCGTCTGTAACTACGATGCGGAAAGGATCTGAAACAGAGCCGGGAGAAGACGAGTGCGCATCCTGGTGGTCCGGTATTTCAAAAGCAGCTTCTCTTTCAGCGCCTAGCGGTGGGCTGTCGGCCAGACCGCCGGCAGCGACGGCCCCTTCAACCTGGAGAATTGCATCTTGGATGTCGGACAAGTTGAGATGGGCATACGCATTGCCCTGTAGCACAACCTTGACATTCTTGGAGCTGCTCCTTGGAGATCCGGACGCCGTGGGCCTGAAGGTTTGGCGGTGATGTCAGCTTATCATCCAACACAGGCACATGCTAGCGAGAAGCAGCATGAACAGGCGCGCGCATGAGTTTACGCCAGAACGATATAGGGGATTGCAAAGGGGGGTTAACAGCAACATTATAAAGCACAGTCCCTCCCTCTCATCTCCCATCCCTCGCTTTTCTTTTTCTTCCATGCCCTTCTCGTCAGGCCGCATGGCCATCCGATTGGGGGAAGAAGAAATCTGCCGGCATGGTATAAAACGGCAGTCCTGTAGCGAGCCAAAGGGAAGTGGGTTGAAGCTTCGGCCTTGTGGGGGAGCTGAAGTGTAGTCTGTCCATTCCCCACAGGCTTTCTCCGAAGTCCCTGTCTGCCCCCAAGAAGAACGGCTGGCTGTGAGTGGAAGAGACGTGGGAGGGATATGCAAGAAGTGGAGGGTGTCCGTTTTTTAAGGGCTGCCGTGCTGTTGGCGGGAGATTGACAACTAACCTCTTGACGTTTCGTTTGGTGGTGTACTCGCACGTCGGCTGCGGGAATCGGCGCGTACAATTGCTACACGGTCTTCCTTGGTCGCACTACGAGCAAGGTACGAGTCAGCCCATGTTCTTGAAACTTCTTCTTTTCATTCCTTGATTCATTCATTCTCTTCTCTTCTCCCAACTGGCATTCGCATTCTGCCCGGCTCTTAGTTTTCTTAGATGCTACTGGCTGGCAACGGGGCCGGACGATGCCCGCCCATGCCAGCCTAAACCGCCAGGGGGTTCGGACATGATGATACTCGTCCATATCTAGGGCTGCCGACGGGGGAAGCGCCCCCAGAAAAAAAAAAAAAAAGGCTCTGGGTAGCAGCAGCGGCACTCTGTTTAACTGACCTTTTGCTTGCGACGTCGACACTCGGTGCACGAATTGCCCCTAGCCTTGATGGTCGTGTTTGCGCCTAGGCGGCGCTGATGGGGTAGAAGCCCCTGCACCTGCATTGAGTCGGACATTTAAGCTGGGCGGCGCGACCGATGGCGTAGCGAAGAGAGGAAAAAGCGGCTAATAATCAGAAATGACGCCGGCGATGATGATGCGGTGAGCGCCTGAGGCGAATAAAAAAAAAGGAAGAACAAGGAATAAAGCAGAAAATCCCGTTAATAAAGCGCACGCTTCCCTTTCCCTGGTTCTTGCGGAGTCTTTGGATTTTTTTTTTCTTCTTCTTCTTCTTCTTGTCTTTTCTTCTTCCCTTCTCTTTTCCTATTGTCTTTGTCGTAGCTAGACAATATGCTGCGACCTAAAAAGAGATGACGGCTTTGACGGTTCGCGCCGCGCCTTTAGCCGCAGATTCGTCGAGTTCCGGCAGCCAGTCAGCCTCTTGCGTCGGCGCAGAAAAAAAAAAAAAAAAGGTGTGGACGTCGTTTTGCATAAATTGAAACCGTTTGCGGCTCTAGCGTGCAGGAGCTGCAGTCAAAGTCGGACAGCAAAAAGATAAGCCGTCGGTCGGCAGATGCGGTGACCTTTGCAGGAAGCTAAACTTGGCAGCTGAGGCTCTGCGCCAAAAAAAAAAAAAAAAAAAAAAAAAAAGAGACAAGCGAGCGTTTTTGCCCTGTCTCGTCGCAACGCTGGATGCGCCGAGTGAGGGGAGAGTTTGAGGAGGGAAATGAGCTGGTGGCCGGCAGCGAGGCTGGATAAGAGGAGAAGTCCAAGTTAACAGCAGAGGGTTACACAGGAACGGCAACGAACCCCCAGAGGGCAGGACAGGATGGAACAATGCAATGCGCACGTCTCGGCCTTGTGTAGCGCTCACGCCCTTTCGCCGCTGCGCACAGACGGCCCCAAAGACAAGAAAGAGAGTTGTCGAGCCGAAGGATCTGCCTGTGTCTGTGTCGCGAAGACAAGACAAGGCCGAGGTGTCAAAGAAAGAGATAAAGAGGAGCAGAAAAGGGGGCGGGTGGTCGGTAGAATGAGTGGTCGCCCGCGGTGCAGCAGCGGCTGTCTCGAGTCGCTTCTTCCGCTGCTTCTGCCTCTCTCGTCCCGTCTGTCTCTTTTCGTGTTCTCTGACTATGGCGCTCGGCACGCTCCGAGCATCTCCTGACTGGCCGAGCGATGGGATGGGATGCAATGGGATGCAATGCAATGGCCGCTCTGAAATCGAAACGAAAGGCGGGAAAGCAGCTCCAGAGAGACTCAGCGACTCGGGTGAGGGCTCCAGACGTCGGGTGTAACGCCAGCAGGGCCCAACGAGCGTGTGCGAGGCCCGGCAGCGCTGCGAGAATCTCGATTGCCCGGCCTGGTGATTGGGTGGCTTGACGGCATTCCAGGGAGATTTGAGATTTCGAACAAGGCCCTGCCCAGCTTTTGGTGGTCCCGGGCCTGCTCGCGTCTCCGGATTTGCGACAAGCGATGCGGCCTGCGGAGAATTGTTCCGCCTTGTTCCTTTCAACCCTTCAATCTCTTTCTGATCCTTGATCTGGACACCCCCCCCTTTTTTTTTCTCACTCGTCTCGTCTTTTTTTTCTTTCTCTCTCTCTATTTCTCATGAAACAAAGAGAAACATGATACAGGCGCAGGCGCGGGATTTGCGTTTCAAAGAGCAGGGCGATCGGACGGGCGAGGCGCAGAGACGGCCAAAGTCAAAAAGGGCGATACAGAAGCCGGACGAGGAGAAAAAAGAGACTAAAAGGAATGGTCTGATCTGGCCCGTGAACCGGTCGGTGGCTGACGGGCCGTTTATTTAAGTGCTGGACCGGATTACTGGAGCAGCAATCAATAGTAAGTCGTAGTGCCTGTTTTGCTGCTTGTTTGCTAAGTAAGAGGGATTGGGCGATGCTTTTGCCTGTCAGTCTTAGCGCCGCCAGGGAAAAGAGGGGACGAGGGGCCGCAGCTGTGCTGTGCTGTGCTGCCAGACGAGATGGAAGAGCCTCATCAAGGCCACGCAGCTCCAGGTTTTTTTTTTTTTTTTTTTTTTTTCGGCCTCCTCTCTCTCTGGTCTGTTCATCTCCCTTTGGCGCCACTGACGTTTTATTTGTTTTGATTTTAAACACATATATTAGGGGTGCATGTAGAGGTACAAAAACACCCACGCACGCATGCATGCACTCGTATAAAAAAAGGAAAAAAAAAAAGTGGCGTTGTTGCAGTGCATCGCAGCAGCCAGAGTCGCTCCCTGCATGATCTTCTTCGACACCCACATTCGGCGCCGTCTCGCCGTGCAGTGCATTAGCACAGCGGTAGAGGCACTGCCAGCCCACTCCCGTTCCTGAGCCTTTAGTGGCCCCCCCAGCGTGCTAAAGGGCTCTGACTGTGGTGAGTGTGGGGTTGCTGCGGAGTTTGCGTCTTTGTTCAGCTGAGAACGTTTATTTGGACATGCCATGCAAGCGGGCTCAAAGCATCAGCAGCGCAAGCCCAGGCTGTTTGATTCACATGTCTGCGCAGTTGTTTGTATGTTGATTTACATACATACCTAGTAGTAGTAGTAGTAGTAGTAGTAGTAGTAGTAGTAGTACCTAAGCGTAGAGGTATCTGGTAGCAGTTCTCCATGTATCCCCCGCTGCTCCATTAGCGCTCGCAAACTGTCCTCTCTTTGTGAGCTAGTCGACCAACATCGTTGCGCCGACCATCACCGACCAACAACACTCGGGTGGAGAAGACCTTTTGTCCATCAAACGGCTCAGGCCGGCCAGACAGAATGTCATGGAAACTCTGGGGCCTTGCGTGCTACATGCGCGTCGAATATTGGCCCTCGACTTGGGAGTGATTTGCTAATGATTCTCGATAATCATGGACCTAAGAAGCTGCTCTATGCAAGTACCTACTAGTAGCAGTGGAAGGATGCCGCGCGCAACAAGTAACAAAAAAAGTCTAGATCGTCAGATTCCACATCTGCTGCACGTAAGCAGAGATGGCCGCTAACAGGCTGCACCGCATATCCTTTATCTCGTCAGCCCTCCCTGCTGTACGTAACGATGCATCCCCATCGTCCCATCATCCTTTTGGACGGCTGTCCAACGACGAATCGCCGTTGGCGTTTGCCTTCTGGCCTCGTAGCCAATAAGCAGCGGCAGACACACTGAGAATTAACCCTGCCAAAGCCATCTTGCCTCTCATAGGTCCATCCCAGGAAAAAGGATGCCATCCTCTTAAACAGGCGGCATCACGCTGCTGCTGTCTTATGTCGCGCATGGTCTTAAACTCAAGCCACCGCTCCTCATCGAGAAAGGATCGATAAAAAACCCCTGCGGGATTCAGATTTGCATGATCATCTCTTGTATGCACACCATCTCATATCTCATCTGATTTGAACAGTAAAAAAAAAATTACTTGTGATAAATTGGCATCAACGCGGTATGGCGGACCGTCAGGTCCATCATCATATTTTCACCCAGGCCAGAGTACGTGGGTTTACCCTTCTGAATTTCGTTTCATAATTCTTGAAAAGCTATACATGGCTTATTTCATTTTCCCTAAAAGACTATTTTATATTCGAATTGCCGCCTCCGCTGCCCATGGTATCAAAGCAAGACATAGTCGTAACAACTCAAAAGATCCAATTCCTCTCTCACCCCCTCTCTCTCTCTTCGAAGAAAAACACCAAGTAAGAAATATACACAAAGAAAAAAAAAAAAAAAAAAAAAAAAAAAAAAAAAAAAAAAAAAAAAAAAAAGAAGAAGAAGAAGAAGAAGAAGAAGAAGAAGAAACAAGCATCTCAATCATACCCCTCATCGTATCACCAATTTAATATCCAGAACGCCATTATTTCCCTACTCTTTTAATTTATTGCCCACTTGTTAATACTGCAGATACTCTGGCTTCCGTGCCATGTTGATGGGAGGCGGGCCGTCATCATCGTCGAGAGGATAAGGTGGGATCGAGGTCTCCGAGTCTCGCGGCCGGTGACCATATTCATGTATAGGCGTCTTTGGCGGCAACGGCGGCGCCATCTTTGCGGGCACTGCCGGCGGCTCCATTTGAACTGGAGACTTGAGTGACAGCGGTGCCGGATACTTTGGCTCCTCGTCCGGGCCCATAATGGCAATCTTGTCGTCGGCAAACTGAGGAATCCTGTACTGGCTGGGAGACGACATGTCCACCACATTAGGGGGGGTCCGTCCGTAGCGAGAGTGCCCGGTGCCTGGTCGGATATGGTCGCCAGAGACTCGGGGCGACGACAGGGTATTTGCCTGCAGGTGTAGACTGTCTGGCGCAGAATCAAACGACGAGCGGCTCGGTGGGCTCTGTGGGCTGTGTGCAAAGGATGCCGGCATGTCGCCGGGCAGCTCGACCGCAAAAGGTTGCTCATAGTTGGTTTCTGAAGTCGACTTGACCAGCTCGGGCACGTTGACAGAGTTTCGCTCCCAGCGGAGCTTTGCTCTGTGGATTTTGGCAAGCCTTGTCGAAATGCCGTGGATCATCGTCTGCTCGTCTTCCCGCGACATATATCGTCGAGTGCCGGTGCTGATTTCACTGAGTCGGTTCCACTCATTCATGCCAAACTCGCCCACTCCCACCTCGACGTTTAGGCGGTAGTAGTTTTCAATGTTGACGCCTCGCTTTGCCAGATGCTCCCGAATCATGTACTCATGAATCTTTTCGCAGCCTTCAATCTTGGAGATCATCTTTCTTCGCGCCTCGGCAAATTCGCCCAGGAATCCCTCGTACCACACTTGCTGGTTTCCGTCGCTCCCGCGAGGCCGTCTTCCAGTGCCAACGCTGACAAACACTCCCACTTCTCGCCCTGGCCATTCGTTAATCACTGCCTCATCCAGAGCCTCGGGTGCGGGGTTGAAAGTGCCGGCGCCATCGTCGTGGAATATTGACTGGCCAATCTGGACAGGCTTGAACGCCAGGCCGATTGAGCAAGTTGCACGTCCAGCCTCCCAGATCTTGCAGTCAAACTCTGGCGGGGGCTCTTTGCGTGAATCGTAGGACCGCAGCATTACTGGGGGTGAGCCTCGCGAGGATCCCTTGTACATTGCTGTTACAGCGCTGTATTATTCATGTTAGCCTTGGTCTCGGAGATTATATAGATGGTAAAAAAGATAACCCGGGAGGGGCTGGCTTGTATCCCTTACGTCTTGGTTCTATTCTCTCGGGCGTCGTATAATCTTGCGTTCCCGTTTCCATATTTCAAGTTCATAGCCGGTCGAGTCGATACCTGGCCGGAAGGGTGGCGTGCGCTGAAACTAAGGGTACTGGCGTTGCTAGTGTGCCGCTTTACGGATCCTGAGCTTGAGCGACTTGACGAACGAAGGGGGTTTTCGACTTCTACCTCGTGGTCGTTGCCTTCCTTTCCATAGACTGTGTGTTCCCAGACTCCCTGCTTGATGGCCTCCTCAAGCTTGCTGGCCTTGAAGAGCGTAGATCGGTACGGGATACCAGCGATAGTCTTGTCCGTCTCGAACACCATTTTGGTCATGCGAACGTACAGCTCCTTGCAAGTCTCCAGGTCCAGCCGTAGCCTGCCCAGCATGATTGCGATCAAGCCGCCGGTGCCTGTGCCGACGATCAGGTCGAAGTGCTCGCATGGCTTCGGGATTTCGTGTCGTTTAGGTGCGCGACCTTCGGTTTCGACGAACGTTCGGTGCATGAGTTCTTGGATGATGATGAGCATAGAATAGCCTCGAACACCTCCTCCGTCTACAATGAAAATGTGTGTTAGTGTTAGCAGCGCTCTTCACTGGTCGCGAAACCATAGAAACAAATAAAGCAGAGTTTCCCCGTACCGAGAGACAAGATGCGCAGAGGCGGCCCTTTGGTGGTGTCCGACCTCCGGACTCCATATGAGTCCATCATATGTGCAATTGTTGATGCGAAACAGTCGTCGATGTGCGCGCAATACCAAGGATCCGCCGGGTTTCGAGGTGGAGGGTGAAAACAGTTCACGAACAAGAGTCGCGTCGAGAATGTAGCGCGCAAAGACCCAAACGAGCGCAGTCGCCCAAGTGTAACTTTATGTATCAAACGTCCCAAGCGTCGAGGCCGCCGCTTTTTTTGGTGTGCGCTTTATCAATCGGCCCCCGCTAAGTTCGGATGCGCTGGTTTTTTTGGTGGTGGTGTCGCTTTGTCGCCGTCGCAATGCGGATTAATCTGAGGTCCGCAGAAATCGAAAACGTTGAAGCTTCGCGAGGAATGTATCGTGAGGCGCAGTGGATAATGTGTCACCCAAGCCGGTACGGAAAGTAAAAAGGACAAAGAGAGAAAGAGAAAAAAAAAAGATTTAAGAAAAACTACAAATCTGGCCGTCATTCAATGATTCATTTATGATAATCCAACGTGCCGTGACGCAATCGCCCGGATATACGAAAGTAGCTTCTTTCAGGGATGGAGGGGACCAGCGAAGCGAGGGGCGCAGCGCCGAAGAACCACTAGGCAAACGTCACAGGGTCCTTTAGGCTCTTCCGCCCAGCGGGTTGGCGGATTTCATGGCGCCTGTGGACCCTTCCAGACAGCGCCCTGGGCTGGCTAGAGAGTGAGACGAACGGCTGTGCGTGCGCCGCTGGGCAGCGAAGATCAGGAACGGGCTTGCCGGGTCATGCGAAGCTACAAGTACCGAAGCTGCCGCGCGGGAGGGCGACATCATGCAAGCAAGGCATCAGGCTTTTTGCTGTCCGTCATCTTGGAGGTTTATTTGCGGCGAGCTGCGTGCATTGCATCTCAAGGCCGGGAGCCGTGGAAAGGGGCCGAACGCGAGATGGAAACAAAGAAGCGGAGAGAAGCCGAGATGGAGTGGGAGGCTGGCTGATGGCATGGAGGAGTTACCAGTAATACTTCTGCCTGTAGCCAAGAGCCCAAGAGCCCACGAGCAAGAGGCCACTGATGCCAAGTCTTACCAGCTGTCGTCACGAGGGAAGTCTAAAGTAATGTGACAGCTTGGGCGCTGGTATCATCGTATCATCTTATCATTCACTCTTCTTGCCCTTCATCTCGCCTGCTCCGTCTATTGATGGCTGGTGGATTATTCTCAAAAGTGAATACCTCTACTCGCAGAAACCCTTCATCCAGCGCCTTCTGTGGGTCGATCGGCGCAGCCTCCTTCTGGTAGTCATCGAGCTAGGCAGAGACAGCTTCCAGAGACGGAAAAGCAAGCCCCGTGTGTGTGTTTCTCGGGGTTTGTTTCGTGGGGGGAGCTTTTGAGCCTTTTGGGGCTGTGCAGATTGGGCGGATACAAAGCAAGACGATCTACGGAGAGCGCCACGTGATGCCATGCCATGACTGAGATGCCAAATCCCGTTTTCCCAATACGGAGTGCCTTTCGTTCTATTGCATTATGAAGCACTTTGGCTCTCACAAAGTGCCAAAATAGTCGATGCTGGTTGAGCGTGGATATACTAGTAAGTACATCTTCGCATCTCTATTCCACAACATACCTTGCCAAAAGCAGAGGCAGTACATACATGTACTTGTAAGTAAGCTGATAAAAGGGCCTTCTATGGAATGTCATGATTACACGCATTCAAGCTGCGCCTCCCGTGCGCGCTCAATAAAGAGATTACGGGCGGTAGGGGATACCAACAGGAAGAAAAGCCACGGATATGCAAAGGGCGCCATATATTTAGATTGATTGTGACATGCTGCCCTTTCTCACCACTTCCCGTATGTAGCCAGTCTGCTAGCATTACACTGTACCTTACTTGTATGAGGCATGCGCATGTATACAGAAAACATGTATACAGTACAAATACTGAACTCAACGCAACATTCACCTGCAAACTGCTTTACGTCAAGATTTCGTGCCACAAGATTTATGCGTAAAGGAGCATCTTCCGTCACCAGAAACTTAATTCCAGAGGCAAAAAGCCGGTGAGCGTGAGCAAGGATGACTTCCTTTCTCTAGCGCTGGCGTTACGAGGAGGCGCAGATATACTAGAGAAGTGCTGCCCTTGGCATGTGTAATCATGAGGTACCCAGACTGTGTCCTCCGTACGTAAATGCATTGAAACAGTATTACCTTTTCAATAATTTTTACATTCGCGGCAGCAATATGAGTGAGTAATGTCCGTGGTAGGTAGGCAGGTATAGGTAAAGGCTTTGCATGTAGCCTTGCGGTCTTATTGTCCCTGCAGTTTGGGTGGGCGGGATCCAGAGAGAAGCGGCGTGGATAAAAATAGGAATGTGGCTGGTGATTGGCGCTTCTATGCCTTTTTACAACTGTGGCTGACGAAGTCAATTACGCGTAGGCGCCACAATTTTTAGCATCTCGGGCGTGGTGGCGAGCTTTTGTAGCTGAACAAGTTCTTGTGTTGTTAAATGTCTGAATGCCCGTAACGTGGAACCAAATAGCCGTGGGAGCGTCAACCACTAGAAGCTCGGGAAGTGTATGGCATTGTCTGATTCGGCGGCTGTTCATACGCCAACGTTTCATGCATCGCCACCTCGCGTTTTTGTGGGAATTCGGATCCCCGAGTCAGTGGCTCAGCCTCGCCGTACGACCCAATTTCACCGCCTTTGTGTACTATTAGGTAGGTATTGCACGGCTTGCACGGCTAATAGGGGCACAAACATTCCAGTTGACGATGCCTTTGGTATATTTCGCCTTTTTTTTTTTTCCTTTTCAAATAGAATCTGACAAGAATGGCACCAAGCTCGAATCATTTAGTACAAAAGCGTGAGGTATAACGGCAGTGGTACTTTAGCGACTTATCGTATTACATTAGGTAGTCTAGTAGGTAAGGAGATATATTTGCCTCTCCGAAAGACTTTACCACTAGTAGGAGTAGGAGTGGTTACTCGTATCACAGTTATAGAAATATCCATAGCGTGCCCCAGTCGGAATATTGACCCTCTATCCTCTTCTCCAATCTCCGGTGCAGGTCCTTCTCCTGTCGTCACAATTGAGTCTTCTTCCAGAGGGCCGACCCATTACCTGCGTGGCTACGAGGTAGATGGAGGAAGTAATGTTACAGCGTACTTTTTGCATGCCATCGATGATGAACATGTCATTCTTGATTGCCAATGCCAAGAGATTACAAATTCCCAAAGTCCTATTAATACTGCTTGTAAGAGAATGCCGAGCCAATAGGCCGATACAAAAACTACATAGTTTAGTACTGTAGTACTGCTAGTAGCAATAGTACTAGGCCATGGAAGCCGGAATGAGACGCTGAAGCCGTACGAATGGCAACACGCCGCAACGTGCTCCACACATAGGCCTGTTACAGTACATATCGCCCCACTGCAGAAGGCACGAGACGTACCTATCAATTCATTCAAGGCTGAAGGAAATCGTACTACTCGTGGGTACGAGGCTGCTCTCTGTGCGTGTGAGTGCGCGCGCGCGTGCTGTCGTATTCCAAAGCCCAGGAATGGTGGCCTTATCCCCCCCTCCTCTGCCTGCAGCCAGAGGTTGTAGGATACATATAGTTGTGGTGTGAGGTGGCAGCTGCATGCGAGAACGAGTACAAATAAACTACGGGTTTGAAAGAAGCTGTTCTTCCGTAATAGATTACGAAGCACAATCCCAATCGCCTAGATCAGGTGCAATGCGACTCTGTGGCGCTCCAGAAGGCGGCGGAGATGGACCGAGTTGTGCTGGGTCGAGCTGAAAACTCGCCACAGGGATCTGGAGAGTTTTGTTCTATTGTTTCTGCATTGCATCCAGCTAGGGGATATTGAAAGCTCGTCCCCGTCCCGCTCTACTACTTGCAGCTCTGAGTGCAAGCCTCTTTTTTTTTTTTTTTTTTTTTTTTTTGGTCCCCATCCCGTCTTATCAGGCGTCACCGATGGGACCTGGGATTCTTGTCTCAGTTGAGCTGCATTTCGCCGGCACATGAACGACATTAACCGCCGGCTCCGTAGCAGCGCTGCGACTTATACGGCACCGCGTGTCTGTGATGGCATCATCACCTCACGAATAAAAACATTGTATGTACTCATGTGACCTGAGATGGCCTATAAACACACTACAAGGTATGAAAGATGAAAAACCCAATGGCGTGCAGAGGGCACAGAGTAGGCACATACATGTAGGCTGCAACATGCTGGCACCAATACCGCGAGACTGCGAAAAAGTCTTGACATATTTGAGCCATGTCCGCAGGTAGGTAATTTTACGTGTAGGGTGTCAGTAGCAAATGCGACTCCTAAGCCAAGCCGTCGCCAACGGGAAGCTCAGAGACAAAAGCGCCATGCCCATTTACATGTGCACATGCCCGGATTGCTTCACGTCGCCACTGGTCCCAAGGTACGGGACGGCGCGGGCTTTGCGACAGCTGGAGTGGCCGCCGTATCCGTCATTCCCACTTCTTCCCCTCTCGTTTCGTTTTTCCCAATGGACTGATGCAGTAACGTATAAAGAATCAACCGGTGAGCCGCTCCGAGACACCCTGATGATGCCCGCCACATTGGCAGCTCCATCCCACTATGCCCAGCGCAGTCTAGAAGAAGGCCCCGACGCCGAATGGCAGAACGTGCAGTCAGGCTCCGGCATCCTCGCCTCTACTGAAAGGGTCGCACTTTTGTTTGGCGGTGGACGCCCCTCGCCTTTTGGCAGTCCCGAGCGAGGCTGCGAGATGATTCGCCGGGCTGACTGTCGAGGCTAGGAGGCCGGCTGCGCTGGCGACGAATCGAGCAACGCGCGGCCCACGCAGGCCGGCGGCCAATTCGCCGCGCGACTAGTTTGGGACGGCCGGTGTTCTTTCATGTTCTGTTCCCCCTTCAGCTCTCTCTGCTGTTCAGCAGCTGGTGCGTGAGTCCGGGGCTGCGGTCCTGGGAACTGACTGACTCTCTGTTTGCTGCTGAAGAACTATTGGGTTGGATACTAAGGTACATAGACCAAGTCCACGTCGTAGTGGCACATAAAACATACAGGTAAGGACTGGACATAGACTACATGTACGGAGTACACTCAATAGTAGCTTCAATGTCGTATCAAGCGAGGCACAGCAGCAGCCCTTGTGCGGCAACTCTGCAAGATGGGTAACACCAGGCCTCAGCACATGTGTTACGTGTAGTCTCGAGGCTGGCTGTCAGTGCGCCAGACGAGATTGAGATTGTCCACGGCTGAGCTGCCCAGACCCAGAGGCAGTACTGGTATATACATGCAGGCTGGCTGTCGTTGCTAAATATATCGATATACCACTAAGGCGATAAGCTGCGCATTGCCGCGCCGCAAACACGACGACAGCGTGTTGGGCAGAGACACTTGGGCGTCTCATCCAAATTCCTCACTGGTACATTAGCAGGTACCTCCGCACTTTTGCTACAAGTGTGATATGCTGATGTGTTCAAGATGGCATTGAGCTTAGAAGGGCATCTGTACGGCTGGCTTCTGACTCTGGCAGCTCGAGACGCTTAAATATGTGCTGCGCTTAGTAGTGCCTGCTGTCACCCGCATGTGGACTACTTAATGGTCTATACATACCGGGATTGGAGGCGTTGAAGCTAGAGTAGTTTATACGGAGTGCCTATCTTGGCAAATGCTACTTGAGTAGGCAAGGTAAGGGATATTTGCCGAGCCGAGCCATCAACTGGCTGTGATGTGTGAAATGGCTTTGAATATTTTGGGGGCAGAAAGAGACGCCAGACGGACACGAATACAGGCCGTTGTGCAGACTGGAGCTATTTTCAGCAACACGAACAAGTACTGCTACCAGTACTAGAGGGGTAAACACATGTACCTGCTACAGTAGGTACTGCATGTGGTTTCAATTCTTGGGCACTGCAGTACAGCAAAGGCACAGCACAGAGTTCCAATGCCGGCAGCGAGATGCAGGCTCAAGTTTAAATCCAGATAGTAACCGGAATAGAATGAAAAGAACGAAAAAGAACAGAAATGTCACAGCTCGCCCAGGCCCTCTTCTCAGTACCCTTGCCTTGCACTGTTTCATCCAAATAGCGCCGGCCGCCCCCCTCCTCGTCTTCTGTGCTAATCCTTCAGCAGCCAGGCGCTGCGGAGGTACATGCTACTCGTGCATATGTCGGGCCCTGGAGCAGGTACCTGGCGATTCGCTTGCCGTGCAGGTACTGGGTACCAGCTGTTACAGCCGACGCCAAACCCGGAGCCTGATGCAATCCAGTGACTGCCAACTCGTTTCGAGCCTCTTATGTCTCCATAGCCTGTCAATCCAGATAGACAAGGCCGGGACAGGCCCCCAGAGAGCCAGAGCCAGAGCCAGAGCGTGCGAGTGACGCTGCCGTGTCGTGTCATCCATGTCATGCTACCTCCCTCCATGTACTGTACGCTGGAGAGCGGCACTTGCATGCATGCCGCCACCAGCCAATTCGATTCGTGCCGGCCATCAACCAGCGCCTGTGCCGTACAGCAGCAGAGGCCTCGAGCCGGCATCCATCCATCCATCCATCCATCCAATAATGCAGCGGCTGCAGCTCAGCCAGCCAACCAGCCGGACTGCCAGCCAGCCCAAGACCCAGAAATCCCCAATCCAATCCAGCCCGGCGCTGCTTAGCCCAGCCCGGCCGGGCCTTGCGCTTCTGCCTCTCGTCTCGTCTGCCAGCGTCTCTCAGCCGGGCTTGGGCTGTCCCCGTCAAAACACCTCGGCTACCGGCCAATGGGCGCCGCTGCTGAGGCCCTGCACAGCCAGGCGGCCCGCCAACTAAAATATAGCGGCGTGGCCCTTCCCTGGAACGCCCCCAGCCCCAGCGCCCAGAGCCCCTACCGACTGACTTCATACGTTGAGGTGCTCCGTAGCACTGGCAAATACTGACAGCCTCGCCAGAGCCTTGGACCACTCCCTCGCCGGTCCCCTCTTCCCACCCCCCCAAAAAAAGGCCAGCCTTACTCCCTCGTCCTCTATTGCTGTCTCACCTCATCTCTGCTTCTCCCAGCCGGCCGTCGTTTTGCTCCTGTTGCCTCATTTCCATCGTCCAATCCTCCCCCAATTGCCACGTGCTGCTTCTCTGTCGCTGCTGCTGCTACGCTCTCGAGGCTGTCGTGTCTGCATTCAATTCAGCAGTCCAGGCCTCGCCCAGCCGGAAAACTTTCCTCCGCCGTCTCCAGAGCCTCTGCGGCTCATCTGCTCGTCTGCTCGTCTCCTCGTCTCCTCGTCTCCCTCGTCTCGCCGTGCCCTCCGCCGAGCCCGTCCATGGAACCGTCTAGTAAAAAGCGGAAGCTGGCTCCCAAAGTCAACACTGCGGCAGCCCCCAATCCTCAGCCTGCTGCGCAGTATTCTCACGAGACGGTTAGCCTTGCATCTCTCTCCAACTGCCTCGCCAGTCTCGCTCTCTCACCATCTCTGTCCATCTCCCTTTTGCCTGTTCCTTCTATAATTCCTCCTCTTCCCCTACTGCTGCTTCTGCATCTTGCATCGTTTGCTAACGCATGCGGTCATCCATGTCTAGCCACAACAACAGCCGTACGCCGTCCACGATGTTCCGGTTGCCGAACGACAAGACTTCGAGGCCTTTGCGCGCCATCTGCAGGATGCTGCCATGCTGATACAGCGCCAGACAGAGCGTCCGCCTCACAGCGACGTATCCGTATTGCTCTTAAATTGGGAGGAAGACCGTACGGTAGACGAGGACGTCACTTCGATGGAGCAGGTCATACAGAAACAGTATGGCTTCAACACACAGCGCTGGCAGATTCCCACCGTACCAAATCCAAGCATTAAGCTCGGCGTCCAGATGGCCTCTTTCCTCGAAAACGCAAGGCCCAACCATCTCCTCATCATATACTATGCTGGTTATGGGTATGCCGGCCCCGACGGACAGCTGTATTGGGCCTGGTGAGTCTGCAGTCATTTGGGGCGCTCTTTAACCCAAGCTCCTCTCACATTCTCCCCCCTTCTCCCCTCTCCTCTACCCTTGTATAATGCTCGCTATAATCCGCCATCGTCTCTAACTTTGCTTGTCCGTTTAGCAACGCACGCGAAGATGCTGCCAAGCTCAAATGGGATGGTGTGAGATGTCTGTTCGAAGATGCCCAGTCCGACATCCTCTTACTTCTTGATACCTGTGCCAAACCGGACTCTACAGCTGCCGGCAGCCACGGCGTGAAACAGGCAATTGCAGCTTGTTCGCCAGAGCACAAGCTTCGTGACGATCCTGGCCAACGCTCCTTCACCTCCTATCTAGTCGAATCGCTCCATAAGCTGAGTAGCGCGCAGCAGCCCTTCAGCGCTCAGAGACTACACGAAGAGATTTGCGTCCTGAAACAGCAACAGCAACAGCAAAACGCAAGCAGCCCCGCCACAGCTCCTACTACATTGCTCGTAATGCCCATATTCTTCACCCTCACGCCCACAAAGGGACACAGCCTGATGCTGGCATCAATGGTAGGCAGAGCGCCGGCGCCTCCTCTGAATGGCGTGGATGTGCCAGACGGCGGCCAGAACAGTCGCGCTCGTGAAGACAATCTTATCGACGCAGCCTCCGTCGCTGACCTCCGATTTGAGGAGGCTCGGATCTTGGTCTGCACAACGTTCGTCGGGGATGCGAGCCCAGATATGTCCTACTTTCACCAGTGGCTGCAGAACAAGCCGACCCTCAGCGCTGCCATTGCCGTCGAGGGCATGTTCCTTGGCCCCCCCACCATGCTGCTGATATCAATGCCCCACTCCATATGGAATGTTGTCCAGCATGATAAAGTCTGCTGTTTCCTGGGCTACATTAGTTCTCACAACATGATCCATCTGTATGAAAAACTGGTGGGGCCTGGCGGTATCCGGCCGTCTGCCAAGGAAGTAGAGGATGGCCGCATCTTGCTGGAGGCCAGAGAGCTGGCGGCGGGGACACCTTCGCGTACTCGACGGGAGCCAGACCCGTATCTTCATGCAGCGGCCCGCGACGGTCTTGAATACAGGTCACAAAGTAGCCCCTCCGGTGCGGCGTATACGCCGGCCACCCCTCGAAACATTGCGCCGATGAAGCCAAAGGACGACGTCGAGGATTCTGCCGAGATGCAGGAAGCCGCAGAACAGCTCAAGGCCCTGAGCCATGTTCGGCCGAGAGGCGACGACGGGCCTCCTCCTCCTCACCCGCCTGTTCCTGTCCCTGCTGCCCCTACTACGCTCCCTGCCCTCCCTCCACTTCCCCCAATTTCTGCGCTTCCGCCATCTCCAGTACTTCCTGCAGTGCGGCAACACCGGACAACGCTCCCAGATGGCATCCCCGAATCGAGACACAGTGAGGCAAACTCATCCCGCGATATCGTCGAAGCTGCAACTGCTAGTGCCATGGCTGTGGACTCGGCTTCACATTTGCGGATGAAGGCGCCGCGGCGGTCTCTTCCCAAGCAGGAGACGCGTTGCAATCACTGCAGCCACGCACCATTCAAAGATACGTCTTCACTCCGTAAACATATCGCCGCCGCCCATACACGACCATTCCCTTGCGCTTTCTCCTTTGCTGGCTGTGCCAGTACATTTGGATCAAAGAACGAGTGGAAACGTCACATTGCCTCGCAGCATCTCTGTCTGACATACTATTGCTGTTCTGCCTGCCCGCAGAGCGCGATGGAGGGCAAAGGTAACGAGTTCAACCGCAAAGATCTCTTCACGCAGCATCTCCGCCGAATGCACGCTCCTTTCCAGATCAAAAGGACAATTGCCAAGGGCGATAGCAAGCTGATGGCCGAGTGGGACGCTCACGTTAAAGAAATGCAGCAGTCATGCCTGGTCACTCGACGGCACCCTCCTCAAAAGTCAGCTTGCCCCAGGAAAGAATGCAATGCCGTTTTCGAGGGGCCCACGTCGTGGGATGAGTGGACTGAGCATGTGGGGCGGCACATGGAGAAGGGTGAAGCCCAACGGCTGGGCATCGACAAGTTGCTGGCAGAATGGGCTCTTGACGAAGGCATCATTGAGCTGAGAAGCGATGGCGAGTACCGTTTGTGCGCCACAAACGGCGTTTTCCCCGGTAGCAGCAACGGTGGCATGAATAATGGTATCGCCGTCCATACTCAGCCAGCGGTAGAGCACAAAGAGTCCGCTCTCTCCCTTCCAGAACATGCGTCATCTGCAGAAGAGACTTCTGTAATGGAAGCTAAGCCAGCTGAAGATACGCTAATGGCAGAAGGATGAGCCCTTTTGCTAAATCCTTTCAGGAGCAAGAACTTCGGATTATTTACTACCTGTCTGAAGTGACTAGCTTACGAATACTTGGCCGTCACTGCCGCCGTTGTATCAGATCTCTCTGTGCATGCATCCATGATTCCATATGGCCTATACAAATCCGAGAATGACTAACGAAAGCAACGACGATGGAATCTCTGTCCTGCATCTCATTTTATTCTTCTATTTCCTTGACTCGTCTGTCACTCCCGTGCATAACTTCATCATCAAATGCTCTGAAGCCTAGGTTTACTATTAACGGCGTTTATATATATGGTTTTGGCTTCCCAGGTTTTTTTTTTCTCCTCCTTCTTCTCCTTCTTTTTTTCTTTTCTTTGTTTTTCCATCTTTTTTTTTTTTTTTTTTTTCATACTCGTCTTATTTTCCTTTGTTTCTCATGGGTGGCGTTGTAAGATTGAAATTCATCGGAAAGGCATCAATCAGTGATACAGCGGGTCTTGTTTCTCATTCTATTGTTTCCAACCTTTTGCTCTCCAGAAGCGGAGTTACGGAGGATTATTCTCACAGATACGGGAGCGGTGCTCATTTTCCAAGAATTCTATGGCCAAACAAAACTGATAGCTGGGTGGGAAGAAAGAAGAATACAAGCAAGCATACAGGCTTTTGAACAAAAAAAAAAAAAATGCTGGACGGAGCTCGAATGAAAGAATAATCATCTATAGGGCCGGCTTGTAGACCTCTGTTCCTTTTCCATAGAAGGGTAGACGTAAGAATATTACAATGTTACAGTCCATTATCCCGAGATTGGCAAGGACATTGTCCTCTTTTTTCTCTCTTATTCAGCCAGGCCCTTTGTTGTATAACGCGATACGTATTCATCTGCAAGAGAAGGCCGAAACGGCAGAATTACTCGCTGAGGAAGAAGAGTTGGGAGGAAAGCTAGTTGTTCATATTCCAAGAAAACATAATCGTACTATGCTTTAAAAAAAAGCAATATACTATATATACATGAAGTACCCTTGGGGCATAAAAGCGCCACAACTATATATTCATAAGTTGATGAAGCCAGTGAGAAGTCTCCCCCAGTGTTTCAAATCCAGATTTCAAAACAATCTGCAAGTATATATATAAAAAAATGAAACAATACCTTTAACCAATTCTGATGGAAGTAGGACCATTTAGGGGCAAGTTAACATTGAAAGACTTGCTATTGCTGTTGGCTCCAGTATTGGACTTAAGGGCAGCTGTTGAGCCGCCTAGAATGGTCACCTTGGAGATGACAAACGGCACACGGAGGTCAAACCTGCCGCCCAGGATGAAGAGGCCTTTAGTGTACGTGAAGGTGACGTGGGTGATGGCCTTCTGATTGATGGAGACGCCATCATCAAGGTAGAGCTCGCCAGAGGCAGAGCCAGAGGCGTCGAGCGGGATAAGAAGCTCAAAGTTTTGCTTGCGCAGCTCGGTGGTGGTGTTGGTGGACTTGATGCGGAGAGGCATAATGACACCGCCGCGGATGAAGAGGGGAATGGACGTGGTGTCGACGCCAGTGATGAGGTGGTTTGTGGCGCCACCAACAATCTGAGCGTGCGTGTACCAGTCGTAGAAGATGTCGTCTGGCAGGTAGACGCTGACACTGGTGGAACCCTGTGCTGTGACGGGGGCGACGATCAGGCCCGGACCGAAGAAGTATTGAAGCTCCAGAGCCCAGGTGGCTTGGTCATTCGGGTACTTGAAGAACATAGGGGTGACTGCCGGGGTACCGTCGGTGGAATGGCGGTACATGGCAGTGTAGATGTAGTCGAGCAGGCGGTAGCGGATGTCAATGGCCTTGCGGGCACTGTTAGCCACTGATGTCCATCGGTAGAACTCCTGGCCAATGTTGCCAAGGTCGTTGTGGTTGCGGTAGAAGGTGCTGAAGGCGCCGAGGGAGGCCCATCGAGCGCAGAGCTCCTCGTTGGTGTTGCCGCCGAAGCCACAGACGTCTGAACCGACCATGCCGAACTGGAAGAGGGAGGTGAAGGCCAGCATGGTGCGGATGGAGACGGTGTAGTAGCTCCACTGCGACATGTTGTCTCCCAGCCAGTGGCCGACCTTTGAGCCGGCGCCGGCGAATGTGCTGCGAGTGATGACCATGGGCCGAAGACCTGGTCGGCGAGACTCCATGGCATCGCGCGAGGCTGAGGACATCATGGTACCGTAGAGGTTGTGCGTATCGTACATGGCGAGGCCATTCTGGTGGATGACATCAGTGTTGACGGTGTGGTTAGAGATACCGCCCTTGTCAGAGTTCCACGAGACTTGGTAGGCGGCCTTGTTGTGGATGGGGTACTTGGGATAGAGCAAGTCACGGCCGGGCAGGCCCTTTTGGTCACCCAATTTGTTGTTGGAAACAGAGGAGCTGCTCTTCAAGTTGACGGGTAGACTGCCGCTACCTGCGTTGATTTGCAGTTTCTGAGACCGGTCATCCCGTTTGCCAGGACATCCCTGGGGCTGGAAGTCGCAGGGCCAGCCGGGCAGCGGACGAGGTGGTGACCGGACCGCCGGTGGGGCCGGAGGATAGCCCTTTGCGGCCGCATATGGGTCGTCACATGGGAAGTTGCACGGGAAGTTGCTGGGCTCGTTCATGTCGATCCACAGGGCATCGATATCCAGGCCTGTGTCGGCATTGAAGAAGGTCTGGAACTGACCGTTCCAGTACGATGTGATGTTGGCGGAGAACCAGTCGGGGAAGACGGTAACACCTGGCCAGACCACGCCGATCCAGACAGAGCCGTTTTGGCGCAGCAAGAAGATGTTGTCATCAAGGCCTTGGTTAGCCGGCGGGTAGTCTTGGTAGGCCACAGCAGGGTCAACCATGACGATGTAGTGCTGGTCATTAGCATGGAGGTGGTCAACAAGTTCGCGCATCATGGGCATGGGGAAACGTTGCGGGTCGACGGTGAAGACTCGTCGAAGGTCCATGTAATCGATATCCGTCCACATGGTCTCAAGGGGAATGTTGGCCAGGCTGTAGTTTTGGACAACTTCGGCGACATTGAAGGCGTCTTGGTATCCATATCTGTCAATTGGCACACGATGTTAGTTGTAGTGCTCCAATTCTCATGTACTGGGACATTTCTTGTAATTCATACCGGCACTGGTGGAAGCCCAGACCCCAGTATGGCTGCATGGTTGGGAAACCAGCAAATTGACCATACTGCTGCACAGCCGCCACCGGAGTAGGTCCAGCAACAAAGTAGAAATCAAATACACCGCCAATGGTGTTGTACTCGAGATACTGGTTGCCAGAAGCATCCTTGTTGATCAGGATGTCCATTCCATTGGAGTTGAGGAACAGGACGCCGTGAGAACCCGTGGCACGGTGCTCCAGGTAGAAGGGGTGAGTTCCGTAGAGGTTCGAGTTGGCAGGAATGCCGTAGCTGTCCTGATTCCACATCGTGCGGATGTAGTTGGTCGTCTGGAGGCGGAGAGAATCGGAATGCTCGCCCAAACCGTACAGGTTCGGGTTCACAGGCAGGCTGGTGCGAAGGCGAAGGTACTGCGACTCGAAGACAAGCGACGCTGGGGAGGTGTTGAAGATGACCTCGCCGGTTCTGGCGCGGGTGATGTTGAAGGAGAATGGGCTCGCTGTGTAGCTGAACTTGAGGTTGCTCAGCTGCGATGGGATTGCGCCTCCGGGGCGTGGGAAGACGGATTCGGGGACTTGGTAGACCTGGTTGCCCTTGTCCTGGATAAGGACATGAACTCGGTCCGCTGGTAACTAGTCAGATCACTGAACCAAGCTTTCGTTGCAACGCAGGGTCTCAATTGCTCTCAGGGCGAGCAGCCCTGTAACATAAACATGACGGCGTCATCAGCGGCGACTCACCAGTTTGGTACGTGACCTGGAGAATGAGGTTTGGCAGGTCTGTTCCGTACACATTGCACGCAGCTCCGGCCAGTGTCAGATCGGCCGTCACGCCGGTGGGCGTAACGCGAACATTGGAGGCGTTGTAGCCCGGGCAATCAGCCAGAGCGTCTGTAGTAGCTCCATCTCTGTGGAAGATGGCAGCTGCAGAAGTGAGCCCCGCGAACAGGGCGGCATTCCAGTGAAGCATCATCGCGACTATGATGACAGCGACGGCTAGAGTGATGGCGAGAGGAGGGATGGATCTCGGGGTCCCCAGATGGCCGGCCATGGCTGCGGTGATGCTGGCGATCCCATATATATACATGTACCGATGCCTGTACCTATGCCTGTCCCTGGACCTGTACCGATGCCTGTACCGATACCTGTGCCTATACCTGTGCTTATACCTGTACCCGGTCGCAAACACGGATAACCGATGGATTCGGCCAAGGCAGCGTTGAATGCCGGAGAGCGTCGATGTCTGGCCCCTGTCAGATGCTCTTGCCCACCAGCGGGCCTAGCTCTTCAGCTGTCACGCCGGCTAGAAGAAGAATGCGACATGGCAAATCCAAGTTCCTGTTAGTGGCCAATTCGAGGCGGAGGAGCTGTGGATACAGACGAGGAGCGAGGAGGGGCACGCATAGATCATGCATATCTCCAAGACACGGGACCCCGGCAACTGGGGCCCGCGGCGAGTTGGGGTTGGCCGTTGGGACAAGGCGCGAGCTGCGATGCCAACGGATCACCAACGCGAGCCACGGACTACGTACAAGTACTGCAGGTCGGTTGCTAAGTTCGAGGCGTTGGCAATGGATCTTCTTAGCCCGCTGTCTAGCGTGCGGTAACGGGCAAACCGGAGGTTGCTGCAAGGAGACTTGATGGGAGAACGAGGCTTGAGCGACGTCTCAGCAAAAGGCGCCAAGCAGGAGAAGTGAGACAAGAGTCGTGCCCGTCCGGATATTGTCATCTCAATCCCAGACATTTCGATCCGGTTGCCAGGGGAGAGCAGCGAGCCGCACAGTTGGCCAATCCCTGTTCGTTCCGTCTTGCCCACTCCATGTCCTTCACTTCATGTCCGGCGACGGAATCGTGTCCGCTTGGCGGGAATTCGATAGAACAGAAGCTCGATCTCAGGCTGGCGAGCTGAGAAGCAACATGATCTGAAACGCGTACAAGCTCTTATTGCGCAGCAGTATTGGAGGGGGGGTGATGCTGCAAAACAAAACAAAACAAAAAAAAATTCCATGAGCTTATACAAACGAGCGGGGTCCAACAAGAGCTTCCAGCGGCCTCTCAGCAACTCTAACGGCTTCCGCAGCTCTAAGCGCCCTGTACCTGCGCAACTGGCGACCCCAACTCCCCCGCACCGGGCCTCTCTCGTGTTGTTTTTCCGGGGGCGCACAGGGCACCAACAAGGTTTCCCCCCCCCTGAAGCCGCCACCCGATGCGCCGCGGGCTGCTTTTCGCCGGGTCTAAAGCCCGCTAAACGCTACAAAGTAGGACTAGCACCGAGTTGCCCCGTGCAGCAGCCCGTCTGCCGTCGGCAGTGATTCCAGGGCAGATTCACACATGCTCGCACAAGGAGTGTTATCATGTATAGTAGCAGGTATTAGTAGTAGCAGTACCTACCAAGTACCTAGCATCTGCACTCTTGAAAAAAGTGGTTATCCGGTCCTCATCTCATCAGGGAGCATCTTAATTACCCCAGCTTCTCCATTCAGGCGCGTAACGGGCCGAATCAGAGGGCGGCGAACCGAGCCATATCCATATCCATACGGCACTCATGCTTGAGCGCGTGCCTTGCCAGTAATAGTCCGCCGGCCGGAATGAGGTGCCAGCATCGAGGGCGAGCGATGAGCACGAGTCAAATATTGCGACCCCAGAGCACGTATGGAGGGCGTCCGATGTAGTCTGGGATATTATTGAAGTATTTGATCATGTTACTGTACTGTAAGCTCGATACAGCTCTTGGAGTTGCTTGTATATACGTAAAGCGTCCAACATGTCGCTTCTCACATTATCATGCAGATCATCCGACTCATGCAGCGTCGCAGCACTACAATCGATCTAAATCAGACGATCCCCCTTGCTTCCAGCAAACGTGCCAAAGGTAGCAATCTTTGGGTACCATTTGTCCTTTAATTGTTTTCTTCTTCGGCGCATAAACGCCCGATGTACGTGTTGCATATCGACCATTATGGAGCAAATTTACATGTACTTGGCAGTACAGCTTACCTGCTGCCTACAATGAACTGATACCTGATATCAAATCAACCGTGTGCATGTGATATATCCGCTTGGCCGTTGAATGCGGCCGACCCTAATCCATAAAGCAGCAAAAGCGGTGGTGTTTTTGAGTTCAAGCAATTGTATCGAGCTCCATTCTTCATCTTGGCACGGTAGCACCAGCATCAGTCGCCGTCGACAAGTTCCGAATGGTGGCACCGCATTGGACCCTCGCACTAATAATGAGGGTGTGGTAATTTCCCGCCCGCCAACCGCCGGGCTCGCTTGGCGTCACGGTCCTCCGCTCATGGGATCCTGGGTGCAACGCTGAGAGATCTCTGGTGACGGCATCTGGTTTTGTTTCTTCATTCCTTTCTTCTCTTCCTTCTTCCCCAACAGGGACGCCTCATACATGTAACCGTGTCTTTCTATGTTCTGTAAGCTGTATCCCACCACGCCACGTGAGCATAAACCTGGACCAAGTTTTGTTAGCACCGAGTAACAGGCACCCCTTGAGAGCGAAAGCTGTGAAAGGCTTGACCTTCTTGTATAGGCCAAGATTCCGCCTGGGTCTTTTTTTTTTTTTCTTCTAACCACCTTTTCTCGGCTCTGCCTCGGTGCCTTAGCTATGCCGAAGTCATTGGGCTGCAATGCGACGCTACAGCCTGTTAAATGTGCATAAACTATTTGTTTTGTTTTGCCCTCGCTGCATGTTGGTCCTCTGTGTGGAGAATTGGTACCTGCGGCGTGGTCAGATGCCATTCCCAACTTCTTTATCCGTAAATAGAGCAGGAGATGCGGCGCCAACTACATGCAAAAGGAAGCAGTATCCCAATTAACTCTGCTCAGTGATGGAGATTTTCAAGCCAACGTATTATTAATATCTGCTACCATGTTCAGTAAACTCTGTGGAGCATAACCAAGAGAAGTCAATCTCACCTAACCTAGAAGTGGTGGTGCTCCATCCGTGCCTTCACTTCTCGATCTAGCTGACATAGCTATAGTATTACGGATGCATCTCTCATCATTACGGTAGATTAGCACTAGAGGTACTATTTAACAATATTCTACTTGGTACTTTTTGGGCGGTAGGATACATGTATGTTGTGGTACTCGTATGCGGCCTTGCTCGCTTCGCTTCTATTTCAGTTTCTTAGCTGGGAATAAGCTTATTTCTTGCCGAGAAGCCACTCTTCGACTCGGCACGGCAGCCATCTTTATGAGTGAGTGCCTAACTCTCTGTGCTATGTGGACAAGGAGGATTAAAAAAAAAAAAAAAANAAAAAAAAAAAAGAGCCAGTTAATATTCTGCTGGTGATTGTTGGATTTGCTATGATCCCCCCTTCCGCGTTAACTGGCTTGCCCTCTCTTCCACAGCGAAAATCGCACGTGATTGGCTTCTTGATCGCCGGGATGCACGAGCTTTACGCTTTACTTGTATAACGGAGTGATGAACAGGGAACCAAGATTCATAATACACAGCGTGCAATGCATAAAATACATGCGCAGATTGAATTGATACGCTGGCAAGGCGACGAATTGTAGCTCGCGCTGGTCCAGAGACCCCGCCAACACAAGTCAGTGTACATACAGCCCGCCCAGTAACACGCAGATGCTGCTGTACCGCGTCTGTATCACCTGTAAGCCAGCTGGCAGCCCCTTGCGTCTCGCGCGCAACCCATTCTTTTTCCACCTGAGACAGGAAGAAGGAAAAAAAGAGCGAGCCGAGGAGCAGACGGAGAAGAATTCGCATTGTTCTCGGCCATTGGCAGCCCGAATCTCTCTCGTTGCCGCCCAAAAGTCCCGTCTCTCGCAGCGCTGCCCTCTAGCAGCAGCAAGGACTCGCAGGGGGCCAATGTACAGCGCCGCCACGCCTAGCTGTCGCGGTACTTTGACCATCTTAGCGAGCCCGAGGAAGCCCCAACAATGGCGGCCGGAGCCCCAGAGCCTCAGATCTTCGCTAACAACCTCCACCAAGATCAAGCCACGCGCGACATGAACTTTGCGACTCTGCCCAACTTGGATCCCATTCTCCAGCACCAGCAAAACCACCAGCAGCAGCCACAGCCACCGGCACAGCTACAGTCGCAGATTCAGGCGCGGCACCAGCTTCAACAACAGCAGCAACAGCAACACCAAAACCTCCAGCAGCAGCAGCAGCAGCAGCAGCAGCAGCAACAACAGCTTCAGCAGCACTACCTCCAACAACACTACTTTCAGCAGCAGCAGCAGCAGCTCCAGCAGCAAGCGCTCTATCACCAGCAACAGCAGCAACAGCAGCAGCAGCAGCAGCAGCAGCAACAACAGCACCAGCAGCAACAGTACCAGCAGCAGCAGTTCCAAATGAACGGCATGAATGGCGCCAACATGGGCGCCGTCATGCCCGCGCCCACGCCGGCCGGACACCAGGCCGAGCTCAACTACATCTACGGCATGGTCGAGGAGCTGAGCCGGCAGCTCGCAGACAACAGAAAGGTTACCGAGGACATCGTCAGCGGCCTGGGGCGGGTGCGCAACAAGGCAAAGGCGCAGGGGCTGGGCAACAACGAGATGATCTCGTCTGCGGCCGACGACATCAATGGTGGGTTGTGATTGAAACACGCCTTTCTGCTTCGTGTAATGCTAATCTGTACTGGCTTCGCAGCCCAAGAATCAAATCTCGACACCATCATCTCAGAACTCTCCGAGTCCTTCGACAAGGCCAAGCATAGTCGCGATGCCAACGCCGCCCTCCTCTCGCAATACGCAAACGCCATCTCCCTCATGCTCAAGCAATTCCACGAATACAAGTCCAAGCACGTCGCCGACGTGGCCGCCTGGCACCGCTCCTACCGCGCACAGCTGGATGAGGCCCGTCGCGAGAACAGCAGGCTGCGCGAGCAGATATGGGAGATGCAGACTCACGCCGGCCGCGCCAACGAGTCACTCCGCAAGTTTCGACGCAAGTACGATGAAGATGAGGAGCGGTTTGCGAGACGTGTGGATGATACTGCTCTGAGGCAGGAGCTGCGCTTTTGGAAGCGCATGGCAATGCCTGAGCTAGAAGACGACGACCCGTACTGGAGCGGGGATGATGATATCATTGACGAGGCTGAGAAGGAGAGGCTGAGAGAGCTGGAATTGCGGGCGGCCCAGGAGCAGCACATGGTTGACAGCCAGGGTGAGGATAGCGATGAGCAGCACCACCTGTCTTCTATGGGCATGATGGGTGGCATCGCTATGCAGAGGGAGGACTCGAACAGCCAGATACTACCGATACCGCCTCCTCGGCCTCTCAGCGCGGCGTCTAGTACAGGCTCAACAGGCAGATGATGAGACTGAGAATGGAAATGTAGGACCCGATGTAGAACGAGATGCATCCAACGGCATCTTGACATGAAGGGTAATAAGAATGGAGATGACGTATACCCGAATCACGATGCCACGAGTGATGAGCAGAGGGCTTTTGATGGATTGTAAATACATGTAATGAATGGGAAGAGAAGAGCAGGTCCAGGTGGTATGGCATGACATTTGATCAACCGACAATCGTTCTGTCGAAACCAAGAGAACGTAGAACAAAGCATGAATATTTCATTAAAGGTACATTACGGGTATCGTGGACCATTTCTTTCCGTCCGTCATATTAGATTATGTGCTTTCTCAATCCTCTTGTTTTCCAGTAGCTCTGTAGTCATTCCAATATAATATTACATGGCAACCAAAGCCAAAGTGCGTTATAACTGCTTTGCAGTCTTTCCTTAAGCGAGACAGCAGTAGCATCCCTAGCAGCCAGACGGAGCTAATACCCGCTCTGCTCGCGTCGGCCATCGTCTTCTCCATCCCTATTCTCCTTGGACGAAGCCGCAGCCTCGCCCGCCTCCTTGATACCCTGCTCGTCACCGCGCAGCTTCGCAAAGTACGCCTTGATGTCCTCTGCGCCCACGGCCTTGCCGCTCTCAGCAAACTGCTTGAAGAACGGTGTGAGTTGCTCTTTGAGGTGGTTATATGCCATGACGCCCTCAATGGCCTTGACGCGATCCATGTTGCGCAAGGCGCTTTCACCACGGTCCAGCAGGCTGCCACTTCCGTGCGTCGAGCCTCCGTGTTGGGAAGCACCGTCGTCTGACAGAGGGGGCTCGTAGACTTCTTCCTCTTCTAGGAGCTGTGGGTGGGCGTTGAGTTTGCCGTAGCAATCTGAGCAGTGGCACAGTTTCTCGCGGAAGTCCTCTTTGAAAAAGAGAGAGAAGCGCCCTTCGGGTGCGACGGGAAGGTTAGGCAGCTTGCACGATGCTAGGCCGCCATCCTTGGTTTCTCCCTCTGCGGCGTGTTCTCCTGGCTTGGCAGCATCTTCAGTGAGCTGTACTGCAGTATCTTCCATTACGGTAGATTCAATAGTTGATGGCTGGTCCTCGCTCTTAATGCGCTTCGCGTCTGTCATCTCTTCATCCTCATTGTCTTCGGCCTTGCGTTTCTTGGATGCAGCTGTTGCCGTGCTCTCGTTGGACGGCGACGGTGCAGAAGCCGCGGGATCATTTAGAAACAGAGCTGGTAGGAAGCCTGAGGTTCCTGCATACTGTTTGATCCATGGATTTGCTTCCACACACTTGTAACATAAGAACCCTTCAAAGTCGTCTTCAGCTGGGAACCCAGGAGGCATCGGCGGCTCGTCATCCTCATCCTCAACTGCCACATCTTCCGCGGCCTCTGTTGTGCTATTGTTTGACTGGGCCTCGTCTTTTTCCGTAATTGTTGCAAGGGCGCTCCCCTTCTTCTCAGTCTCCTTTGGTATAGCCTTGGATTTGCTTTTGTTCATCTGCTCAAACCACTTGGGCCCCATGCCTACCAGGCAGCCAGGATGATACCAGTCCTCTCCACAGCCTCCAGTCTCGGCAGTGCCCAGCCCAAGGCATTGGAACATGGTTCCTTTTTGCTCAAAGGGGTCATAATCGCACTCGCAACAGCAGAATCGGTTCTTGAAGTTGTCATTGTACTTGTTGTTCACATCCGGCTCTTCAGAGTGTACGTTGCCCTTTGTATTGGTCTCGCTATTGATGCGTAGCGTGCATGGGCTGCTGGACGGGAAGCGCGTGGTTCCGCAATCGCAAGTGAAGTTTCTCTTCTGGAAGATCTCCACAAGAGTATGTTCGCCGTGGCATGAGACTGAGCAGGCATAGCACATGCCCGCCGGGTTCCAGGCATCTTCAGGCTTTGTCGGCGCAGGGTTGCAAGTTAAACAAGCAAATACATTTTGTCGAAGCGGACCGAGGATCTTGGTACATGTCTCGATGCTCTGTAAAGACAAAACGGTTAGTAATTGATAAATTTGTGTGTATAGTGGGATATAGAGCCTTGATGTAGGTGGACGTACGTAAGGCAGGGCCTCGCGAGCGTCGGCTTCGAGGATTTCTTGGTCGCGAAGAAAGCTATCAATATCAGCGTCAGCAGGACACATCTCGCACATCTGACAGGCGGCCAAGGCCAAATTGCAACCTACTCAGCGGCAGTTTGAGAGTCGTCGGACGCCCGCGATTGCTGGGAGAAGCTGTTGCTGCGGCCTGTAGCACGCTCTGGCTTTGTCTCTGCGGCGGATAGCGATAACGATTCGACCGTTGGAGGTGGAGGAGCGTTGTCGGACATGGTCGGAAGGCAAACAAAAAACTATACAATTGAAGAAGAGGCGATATCCCTGGAGATGGGGTGGATGGACAAAGTCCAACAGAAGGAGATGAGAGCCGAATGCTGCCAGAAGAAGGGCTGTGGCTGTAGCTTGTGGCCCTGTATACTGCAGTACCTAGGTAGTACTAAGGCTGCTTTACCAAGTACTATGTAGGCACCCTGTGGCAGATGCTACCGTAGTAGACAATATAAGTTGTACGTGAAGCAGCGCGTTGAAGTGATTTATTGCTGAATTATTTTGTCATAGTGACACGAGATGAACGGACGCCTGAATCGAGAGGTGCAGAAACCACTTTACGCGTCGATGCTAAACGGGCCTAGCGCCGATCAATTAACGCGTCTTCAGCGCGTTTAGCACGCCTAGCAGCACCAAGCTCAGCCAATTGCTCCCTAATCTCGTTGCCCCCACCGACAAGGCACAAAGCAGCTGTGTCGCCAGATTTCGCTTTTCTTTCTTCAAGCTGCAAACCCCCAAAGCAGCCGCCGCCGTCCAGCGTGAAGCCATTGGTAGCCGCCGCTATGAGGTATGCCGATTGACTCTATCCGCCACACGTCTCTTCTAACTTTCAGCACCAGTTCTCCGCTTCGTGATCACCCTGCATCTGGCAATCGTGGCTCTGCCCCGCGGTCAGGCCGCAAGCGCTCTCGCCCTGACGGCGACGATGTGTCTACGCCTGGTGCCCTGAGCTCCAGCCCACTGCCCTCGTCTCCACCGGGGCCTCTCAACTTTGCGCATGGAGTCGAAGACGACGAGGATATCGAGGAGGAGGCAGAGATCCAGGATGACATTGATGACATTGACGAGATGGCGGACGATGATGTCGATCTGTTCCGCGAAGGTTTCGAGGCCGATTATAGAGATAGGGAGGATGATGTCTACGAAGGCGCCGGATTGGATGACGATGGCGATTACGACTCTATGGATCTGGGCGAGAGGCGGCGACTGGAGGCCCAGCTGAATCGACGAGACAAAGAAGTTGCCCGTCGGCAAAGAATCCCCGCTGCATTCCTCCCCGGCGATGACGATGACGGCGATATCGACCTGACGGCGCAGCCTCGTAGACGAAGACATCACTACGACGAAGACCCCGACGATGCTATGGATGCTGACATCATGGAGGAGGAGCTCTCTCTCGAAGCTCTGGGCGATGTCAAGGCCTCTAATCTAACAGAGTGGGTGTCTCAGCCTCCAGTCCAGCGGACAATCAAGCGGGAATTCAAGGCGTTTTTAACATCCTACATCGATGCCTCGGGTTCTTCCGTCTATGGCAACCGGATTCGGACTCTGGGTGAAATCAACGCAGAGTCTTTGGAGGTCTCGTACGAGCACCTGGCCGAAAGCAAGGCCATCCTCGCCTACTTCTTGGCCAACGCTCCTGCAGAGATGCTCAAGCTCTTTGATGAAGTAGCCATGGATGTTGTGTTGCTGCACTACCCTGATTATGAACGGATTCATTCCGAGATTCACGTCCGCATCTTTGACCTGCCTGTCCACTATACCCTCCGACAACTGCGTCAATCGCATCTCAACTGCCTTGTGCGAGTTAGCGGTGTTGTTACTCGTCGGAGTGGTGTCTTCCCTCAGCTCAAATATGTCAAATTTGACTGTGGCAAGTGTGGTGAGACTCTGGGCCCTTTCCAACAGGAGTCACATGTCGAGGTTAAGGTCACATTCTGCCAAAGCTGCCAGTCTCGCGGCCCCTTTACTCTGAACTCGGAAAAGACCGTCTATCGCAACTATCAACGACTCACGCTGCAAGAGTCGCCGGGCACTGTTCCTGCTGGACGTCTTCCCCGCCATAGAGAAGTCATTCTTTTGTGGGATCTCATTGACAAGGCCAAGCCTGGCGAGGAGATTGAGGTTACGGGTGTGTACCGAAATAACTACGACGCTCAACTGAACAACCGCAACGGCTTCCCTGTTTTTGCTACTATTCTTGAGGCCAACAACGTCGTCAAAACCCACGATCAGCTTGCTGGATTCCGCTTGACCGAGGAGGATGAGCAGGAGATCCGAAAGCTGGCCCGCGACCCCAATATTGTGGACCGAATTGTCAATTCAATCGCCCCCAGCATTTACGGACACACTGACATTAAGACGGCGGTTGCTCTATCTCTCTTTGGTGGTGTTGCCAAGACCGGTCGAGGAGCACATCACGTTCGTGGTGATATCAACGTGCTCCTTCTTGGTGACCCCGGAACGGCTAAATCGCAAGTCCTCAAGTATGTTGAGAAGACAGCACACAGAGCCGTGTTTGCGACTGGTCAGGGTGCCAGCGCTGTTGGTCTGACGGCTAGTGTCCGTCGAGACCCCTTGACAAGTGAGTGGACGCTTGAAGGCGGCGCTCTCGTCTTGGCGGATAGGGGCACATGCCTCATCGACGAGTTCGACAAGATGAACGACCAAGACAGAACATCGATTCACGAAGCCATGGAACAGCAGACCATTTCTATATCCAAAGCAGGTATTGTGACCACGCTACAGGCACGGTGCGGCATCATTGCTGCTGCCAATCCGATGGGAGGACGATATAATTCAATGATTCCGTTTTCGGCCAACGTGGAGCTGACCGAACCTATCTTGTCGCGTTTCGATATCTTGTGCGTTGTGCGAGATTTGGTAGAGCCGTCTGAAGACGAACGGCTGGCGAGGTTTATCGTTGGTTCTCACGGGCGAAGCCATCCTTTGTCACAGGCTCGCCCAGACGCAAATGGTACTGCCGCTACAACTCAAGACAGCGCAATGGACACTCAGCAGACTAGTGCATCAAGAGGCCAGAGGGATGGTACGGAGATTCCGCAGGAGTTATTGCGCAAATACATCTTGTATGCCCGAGAGCGCTGCAGCCCCAAACTCTACCACATGGATGAAGACAAAGTAGCGCGACTTTTCGCAGATATGCGAAGGGAATCTCTTGCAACAGGAGCTTATCCGATCACTGTAAGTTCAGGTCTAATCAGTTGACAGACTAACATTCTTTATCTGGCATCGCGCGATACTAACACCTGCGTTTTAGGTTCGTCATCTTGAAGCCATCATTCGAATTAGCGAAGCGTTCTGCCGAATGCGCCTTTCTGAATACTGCTCAGCACAAGACATTGATCGAGCAATTGCTGTTACGGTAGAGAGTTTTGTTGGCAGCCAAAAGGTCAGCTGCAAGAAGGCTCTGGCGCGAGCCTTTGCCAAGTACACGCTGGCCCGGCCGGGTGCGAAGAAGGGAGGTAGCGGAGCGAGCCAGCGGCGACCAGACGCTGTGATGGCTTGATCAATTGTTTTTTGTAATGTGATAATGGGGATAAGAGGACGGATGTATGGACATGTTTACTGAAGATGATGAGGCCTTGGATTAGAGTATTGATGGCGTTTGGAATTGAATTAAATAGCACAGGGAAAAAAAACAATGGATACGAACTTTACAATAATGGCTACACAGCCGTATCCAAACATGTATACCATGTAATTTTGGGAGCTTTTGAAAATAGTCGGATTATTAAAGCTTGCAATACATGAATGTTCCCGGACACCTTGTTCGCTGTATCGGATATGGTACAGATCTCATTAGGATAGTAATCGTTCATGCTACTCTTTTCTTGGAATTTGTCTAAATGTACATACACAAGGTGGCAAACTGTACCTTTATTTTGAGCTTGAATCCGGCCTTTGCAATTCTTGCTCCTAAAGGCGTAAGCGCACCGAGAACAATGCAAGAAGCTGCAAACATCTGTGCTCCCAAATAGCCCCCCTTCTGTCCCTGTATTATGGCGCCACCAATGGCTGGACCTGTAAGCGTCGAGAAGCTTACGAAACGCATATTCATTCCAACACGGGTTCCGGTCCTACTGGGATCAGGAGTCATGGTTGTCGAGACGGCTGGGAATAGCGCTTGTAGCGATGCTGCAATCAGCCTGTAGACAATGGCGAACACATAGAGACCGGCAGTTGATGTTACCGCTGCCCAGCAATACATCACGAAGCTGAGGGCAAAGCTCATTGGAATAAGCATATTGAGCATGCCAACACATCTGCCGGCAATAATAGTCGGCAGAGTGCGGCCAATGATGCCGACTCCATTGAGAATCATGAGCCCAGGTCTATGGGTTCCTTGGTGCCGATTGTATGGCGTGCAAAAGTCCACAGATAGAAAAGCGCAAAGTAGAGACCCCAGAATTTGAGAAACATGCTTATGGAGAATAAGATAAATGGCAGGTCAGTAAAGGCAGATGTATCGGTCCTCTGGCCTGTCTTGCGTGGCGGCAGACGAGGTTTGAACCAGAGCAAGCAAGGCAAGTCGCAAGCATGATGAAACCCATGGCTCGTAAAGTCCTTGCAAATCCAGCATCATCGTGAAAGATGAGCCAGTTTACCGTGACGGGGTATACAAGACCACCCACAGAGGCTCCTGCAGCAGAAAGACCTACAGCAAAGGCTCGATATTTCTTAAAGCACTGGGAGAGAATGGCCAATGATGAGCAAAAACGAGAAGCCATTGCCGATGCCAAGGCAAATGGCTTGGGCGAAGAATATTTGCCAGTAAGTTTTGCAAAGAGACGTCATGAATATGCCTAGCAATTGGAGAAAAACTCCACATGCAAAAGTGACTCGAAAGTGCCCAGCATCAGTAAGACGCCCTGCGGTGACGCCGATGGAGAATAGGAAGAAGACCTGCACACTTCCTATCCAAGGAGATTTGAGGACTGAGACTCTCAAACGATTTGGGCATAGTATTCTTGAAAGGCTCCATAGCCATTTGCTACTCCCCAAGTGTTGAAAAAGACAATGTGCATGAGTAGAAGATGCAGCCAGGCAGTAATACCGCCATCTGGGGGATCTTTGGGCCTGAGCTCGTCGTTTTGACAACCAAGGGTTGATTGTTCTGTAGCGGACACGAAATCTCCCTTGGACCCTGAGACTGCCTTTTCGAAGTCCATAATTGACATACCTATGCACGAATATTCCTCTTGGTTGGTTTCTTAGTACTGCTTTGTACAGGCACTACTCGAGTAATACAGCGAGGCTAAGAACATACACCTTACATACTACTCCGTATAGAATACAATATACAAAGTATATGATCCTTTTTAAGGAAAAAGGTTAACAATGGAAATTTCCCTTCACAGTGAATCATCATCTCATCTCAGCAAATGTTGGTTTCGCCGTACAAGTTATAAGTCGACTTCCGTTCTATGCGTGATAGCCGTCCGTTACCGTCTTTCCCGCTACGACGCTATATCCGATTTTAGCAAAAGTCCCCGCGTGGGCATCATGACGCAGAATGAATCCAGTCCATTGTGCCTTATTCCTTGCCTCCTTCATTTGTGGCTTTTGATGGACGTTGGCCTCTTGCTTGGGAAAAAAAAAAAAAAAAAGAAAAGAAAGAATAGTAAGAGATATTTGCCATTACATAATTGATACGATCCTGCATCCGCTGAGGACCGCCATGACTCGGCAAGAAGGGCGCAAACGGTCGAAGCTTGCGTGCCAGACCTGCCGCGACCTCAAGCGCCGGTGTGATGGCGCGCGTCCTTGCGGAACATGCGTGCGGTTTGAATACGAGTGCACCTACAATGTATACCGCAAGAGACGGGACGTGGAGCAGTACCTGGGGCCGGTCGGCGAGCTGACGCCGTCGCGGTCCAGCGCAAAGTCTTCTCACGACGAGTTTCCATGCACGGCGAGCCCGCATATCCAGGCCCGGTCCGTCGAGGCAAACTCGTGTCCTGCGTTTGTGCGGACGCTGGCGCTGAGGCTGGATCCGAAGAGGAATCCTCGCATGCTGAGCTTTGCCTGGAACGCCTTTCTGGGATCGCGGCAGACTCTGCCGACGCCGTCGTTCCAGTCCATCACAGACGTGGTGTCGCAAAAGAGGCTGGAGGACTTGGCGGCCGTCTATTTCCAAAAGATTGACACAGTCTATGGCTTCGTCGATCGCAAAGCAGTAGAAGACGGCATACGACGGCGGTGGACGGTTCAAGACGCCACTCAGGCGCAGGACGCCATACTATGCAGCATCGGCGCGCTGGGATGCCTCTTCTCACAGACACAGACCGACGCTGCCGACGCTGCCGAATCTGCGCTGGTAGAGCTGGCAAAGCGTCTGCTGGAGAGGACGCTGTCCGATCCTCCGACGACAGACAGCATCACCGCATGGCTGCTGCGAGTTACTTACCTGCGAGTCGCGGGGAGCCAGTATACTGCTTGGATGGCCAGTTGCACGTTGATGCACATGATAGACGCAGCCGGCTTCAACATCGAGTCGCCTGGGAAAGCGGTGCTCCCGTCCGCGCCCCAAGCAGTTGGCATGGAAATGAGGAAGAGAATCGTGGCCATTGCGCAGCACCTCAACGTGTGGATGTCGTTCGACATGGGCCTCACTCGCGTGGCCCTCCCGAACATCAGCACGGCGGTTTCTTCGGCGCGAGAAGGCGACTATACGTGTGAAATCATAGAGCTGCTCCCCTTCTCGGTAGAGCTTGATCCGCAGAGAAAGCCCACAACGCTTGAGCTGGAGTGTGCTCTGCAGGTGGTGTTGAGCCGTGTGCACTCCAGCCCGCCTTCGGTTCTCGCTCAGTGCAACCTGGCGCTCTGTCTCTGTCGCCGCCTACGATCGATGGAGGTTGCCCTGCCAGAATCCGTACTCCAGCAAGTACTGATGCTAACGTCAAATGGCATTCAGGCCGCTCAAGCAGTGTTGGCCGCTCGAGCACCTTGGCACCAGATGATCTATGTGCCATTCCAGATCGTTTGTGTCCTGCTTGCCATAGACACTGTATCTTCAATCTCTCAGCTGCGAGGTGCGATGCAGTGTCTTCAAGACATTACTGCTGTCTACAACACCGAGGCAACGCAGGATGCCTTGATAACCGCTCGCTCGCTTGTTTTCCTACATCAAAAAGGAAAGGAAATGTTTGCTTCGGCCTTGGGCGAGATACTGAAGAATGACCCGACGACTCCCGTTGGAGAAGCACCAGGGATCCCGCCGATGCTTTTGGAAGATGCGTTTGGCACGGGCAACTTTACAGATCAATTCTTTGGCCTCCCGTACAACGATATAGATCAACTTGTGAATCCTGATTTCTTTTGGAACATTAACGGCTATGGGCTTTGAGCTAATGACAATACCACGAAGTTTTTGCGTAATATATTAATACCCCGGAATTTTTAATTCGAGAATACGAAATATTTACATACATGGTCCGATTTAAAGTTGGATAAAATGAATGTGAAACGAGGAGGAAATGCACAGAATTTGCTCTAGCGTGTTACGTCAAATTGAATTCTCGAAACAAGTGACAACTCATTAGCCACAAGACTTGGATTTCCCATGTTGGTAAGCATACCAACTCTTTTTCAATGTAGTGTTCAAAGTACATATTCTAACGACTATCGAGTAAGATAACTTCATCAGGCTATCTTCACTCTTAAGAGCCATGTGCATGAAACAATTTTCTTTGCACCATTGTTATCTAGTTGAGCAGACTGAGCTCTCTCTTGATGCTATCTCGTAAACCAGCCTTGTCTTTGATGCCCAGTAGCTTGCAGTCATTCGCCTCAAGGTCGACAAGGATCCTGACACCATCTGCAAAAAATGTATACTGCACATAAGGGCCAATCGACTGCTTGTATTCCCCCTTTGCGACACTGGCAGTTGCTGCTTGTAACAAATCACTGCCTTTGATATGACTGACCTGGAACTTGGTGCCAGATTCCTCTTCAAAGATCTTCAAAGCCTCATTTTGAGTAGTTTCAAAAGAAAAGACAGTCATAAACTTGTTTGCCGTTTCTTCCGGCTTCTTCAAAATGGCAGCAACAGTCTCACCAACATAGTAGGTGTTTGTAGCCGCCCAGGGCTTGTTGCCGGAGTCGATGATTTCTCCAGTCTTCGCTCTTGCGTTGATTCCGAGTATATATTGAGTTTGAATGCCCTTTTCTCCAATTCATTAGTTCATTGTTCCCATTCGTGGAATAACTTAATGGATGATTACGGCCTTACCCAGTCAAAGAAAAAGCCACATGCTACCCCTGTCCAACTGAACCACTTGTTTTTCGCAGCAACTTCATCCAAATATTCATTCAGCTTGACTTTATTGACTACCATCCAGCCCATATCTTTTTCATCGGTACGCCGATTATCGACGCCGAATTCGGACGGAAGAAATCGTTGGACTTTGGCAGCAACGGCAGCGTCGACGATTGTTTTTTGGTCATCAAGCGCTGCTGGGGAGATTGCAGAAACCAAGGCATCGTGGCCTTGTAGGACATGCTGGACTGCTTCCTTGGAGGTAATGTCAACTCTTTTCACGTCGACTCCATCCACAAAGGTGGCTTGGGACTCGAGTCGCGTAATAGCAGTAACCTCAAAGTTGGAATTCAAAAGGGCTTTGATGATGGAAGGTCCAATGTTTCCAGAGCCCTGATCCTTTGTTAGCTTTGCTGAAACCTCTGTTGGACCAAAGGTTTATCGAACAAACTCACACCCAACACTGCAACTTTCTTGATGGCGGCCATGTCTGTCGAAAGTGACTCTTCTTGAAACCTTGTAATAAATCTTGATGCTGTGATTATTAAAAATAAAAATAATAATAATAATAATAACCACTTCTAAGCCATGATCTGCTAAGGAAATTGAGATGAACACTCAGGGGAATAGCTACAACTTTAAATATCTCTCGTGGCATCCGGTATACCCTTGATGCAGCATGTCTACTTCGTGGTGGAACCGCATCGCGGGCGAAGTGAAATGGCCGCCTGCTGATAAATCATAATAGAAAGTACAGGACGATGATTTTTGCTCATGTAAGTCAGACATGAGCAAGATGTAAAAGTGGCACTATCTCTGTTATCTCTAGACGTTTGTTTCTACCATGTATTACTACTGGAACGACCATCACCCCCAACGTAAAGTGGTGGATTAGATAAGTAATCGAATTACTAAGGGGTCTCTAGCTTCTATGAAATGGCATGAAATGTAAGTTCTTTGCATGTTAGGCAGCGTCATTGACGAATCTTTCAGCTCTGGAAACACTCCCTATTTGAAAACTCTGTAGCTACGCCAGGTATTCCTGTGCTAAACTGCAGTCAACTTCCACTGGATCCTTGGTGGATTACTACGCAACGACAAATCGCTAGCAAACTTCTTGCGGTTTGCTGGCGGGTTTCGGCGGCAATATCGGAATGTGGCGGCCAATGAATGCTTAATCACCGCAACTGCCGCTCCATCCCGCAACTCACTCTTGTCCTCTTGGTTCAACGTCCATCTTTTCTTCCAATGGATCCCACGAAGGGCGCAGGCCGCTACACGCGGACCGCTTGCTTCCCCTGCCGCCACAGCAAGAGACGCTGCGACAAATCTCTACCAGCATGCCAGCTATGTATCCGCAAGGGAGTAGAATGCAGCTATCCAACACGCCGAGCCCAGAAATACGTTGTGCTACCACAATCGAGCGAGACACCTCAAACCATTGCGCCGGCGAGAGACGACTCAATAACAAGCAGGGTTACCCGCAGCAGTGAGTCGGTTTCACTGGATCGAGAGTTATCCTTGGAAGCTTCTCATGCTACGGCGGGCATAGCCCAGTCATTTGCTACGGCCACAGCTATTCAATTCATTGCACCTGGGATTTTCCGCGACGCACACTTAGAGATTCCACGTGTTAATATTGGCATCCCTAAGGATGTTGCTGCTCAGGTCGGAGACTTTGGACAGATTCGTGATACTTATACCACGTTTTCTTCTCAAGCTGTCATATGGACGCCAGTGATCTTCCGAAAGAACTTTTTCAACATTGCACTCAACCCACTATCTCCACGGCGGACTGAAGGCATCCTAATGTGCTTATGTATGAAACTGTACTGCACACCCGCGCCTTCATACGAGGACGATGGGAAAAGGACGCTCTACAAGATGGTTAAAGAATTCTACGCTAAAGTAGAAGCCACTGGAACCATGTCTATTTGTATTTTGCAGTCGGCTCTGCTGATTGCCGTCTATGAGATTGGGAATGCAATTTACCCGGCTGCATATATGACCGTTGGAAGTTGTGCTAGGTACGGTGTTGCTCTGGGCTTGGATAAGTTGATGGTAAATTTGACTGGAGAAGGGAACTTGGGCAAGCCTTGGATGGAAATAGAAGAAATGAGGAGAGTCTGGTGGGGAGTACTCATATTAGATCGGTACGCTATTCTTCGATGGCAGCACGGAGATCATTGTCTGCAGAATGTTGCGACCACTAACACTGAACGCAGATTTCTAAATCTCGGAAACCCTTCAAGATGCCTAACAACGAAAGATCCAGCGTACGATGATTATCTCCCGGTGGATGATCAAAATTTTTTGGGTGCCGTAAGAAATTTTCGATGACCATACCAACAAAGAACATGGTTAACCAGATCCCTTTTAGACAGCAAGGCCCCAAGACAACATTAAAATATCTGCTGCATTTAGTCTCAAGATGGGCCCATTCGCCAGATTAGCCCAAGCCACGTATTTGGTCAACCAGGCTCTCAATCTTCTCTCTTCTCTTTCTACGCAGGATGAGGGAGTTGAATCGGTCAATGTGGGCAAGGAAAGTGCACAGCTACGCCGTACAATTGAGGCACTAGTATCAGTAACCAAGACGGAATTTGAATTTCGCGATTTGGTAACTTGCTGTCAAGCTGCAGTTTCGTATTGGTAGGTCCTATCAACTGCGGAGGTATATGGCCGGGGTTGACTCTTGATTAGTGCCATATTGCTGCTCCAAGAGTACCACTGGCGACGAGTGCGTATCAGCTCAACCGAAGAAGCATACACTCATATGTTTCCAGAGTCGCGACGTGTCCTGGAGATGTTGACGCAAATGGCATTTTGTATGCGCAAGGATGCAGAAGAGGGAAGAAGCTTGGATGAGGAGTACCCAGTGTTTCTCATCCAAGTGCTCTATCAAGCAGCACTGGCGACCATCGAAATGGGTCAGGGGACCCCAAATGAACAACTCGAAGAAAGACTTGGAACATTAAAGTGGCTTCTTCAGCACATCCAGCCGAGGTGGCGGGTAGCGGGTAAGTGAGCTGGTCAAAACCTTTTTGTGTATTGGACTCTAATGGAGCTATACAGGTGTGTATTTATCCATTTTGCAGTCTAAAGAGGCAATGCTTGCTGCCGCTATTTAGTGGCATCTGAATGAATGAACCTGTTATAATAGTGGAATTCTAGTAGCGGAAATGGATGATTTTTCTCCTTAGCTTTAAGTAGACCGCCGGATGACTGACCATAAAACTGAGGTGAGGAAGCGTATAGTCTAATAAACACGCAGAGTATCAACGGACCACTGCATCTCAATGACCTACGGAATCTCTAGTGAATGAATGATGGCGAAATGGGCTGAAGAGCCTGCCCAACATATACAAGCATTATCATGAATTAGCTACTTATTGCGGCTACAGAAGCAATGGCGCCCAAATATGGCGTAATTGTCCAACAACACCCCTCTCCTTTTCGATGCACACGATTCTATTACCGGATCAGCCGGCGGCTTCCACTGACCATCCAAATGCGCGCATACCACTGGTGAAGTCTTTCCATCCAGTCCGGCATGGGCCCTTTATCGCCCTCCACCTTGCGATCGCTATGGAAGAGACAGCTCTTGAGCGTCAATCGCGCAACCTGAGCGTCTTGATCGACGGTGGCGCCAATAGCGAACAAGCCGTCAGAAGGCCGCGGGCCGCTGTTGCGAGGAGAATCGCCACAGCGGACAATGACTTCGTCGGGCGTGCGATCCACAACTTCAAAATGGTCCGTCAGACGTGTGCCGGGCTCGTAGCTGGAGGCGGCGAGTTGCTCCCGAGTCCACAGCTGTGACGACGTCTCAGGGCTGTACCATTTGCGGTGCAGAAAACGTCGCTGTATTTCGTAACCTGTCGAGTGTTAGCAACAAAACGCCATCACTGCAATAATGAGAGTTTCAGCTTCAAGGATGCTCACCCCAGCCGCTCCATACGCCACGGCAAAACTCTAGAGCGAGGTCGCCCTCCTTCTGAAGCAGCTCTGGGCGGATGCGGTTGAGAGGGATTGTCTTGACGCAAATATCGTTGGTAGCTGCGTTCCGATGCGGGTTATGCTTCTTGTATACGCCGGAGCTATACAGCGCATCGTTGAGAGGAATGGGCGTGATGATGCTCGTCGACAGGCGGATGTAGCCGACTGCTGCGGCTGTGCCGGCGGTCACCCCAATGGCGGCCTTGCGAATGATGCCCATGGCGAGTTGTGGTGATGGAGATGGAGACTGTGTGGTTTAGATATTGTGGCGTCGGATCCAGAAGCTTGAATGGCGGCGTGGCTCACGATGCAGGCGGAAAGGTGGCAGTTTGAGGCTGGAGATGAAGGCACATGGCCAAATTGAAGCTACCGATATCTGCACCGCAGATCTGGCGCTACTGGCATGGAGCTCATGCTGGTCCCGCCAAGCATACGCGTAGCATGAACGCCTCCACAATTGTAGGCCGGCGCTAGCAAAGCTGCGATGTGACGGATGGTTTGCATGGCCAGTTTGGTGTTTTGCGCAATCAGCTTTGTAACGTTTCAATACAAATCGTATTGTGATATCTTTCAAGTTTTCAATTTGTCAATGGTGGCGTATATCATAGTTTTCTCTATCTCGTGTCTACGTTGCGAAAACCTTCAGATAGTACCGGTACCATTGTCATCTGGCACTTGGATACTAATGAAGCATTGCGGTTGGATGTATAAAATTTTCACTCTGCCTGCTTATATCACTTAGAAGGAGTGGTGTGTTTTGTATGCTTGGTCAGCTCTTGGATCAAAAGTGCACACATCGCCGTACTAAACAATATTTTAAAGTAGCACCTAACATGCTCTTTTCACTCTTCAAGTGATCGCTTTATTTCTCTCATGTGCAATGTGCCTGAAACACCCTTGCATAACATTGATTTCTCAAATAGCTAATTGCATTTGATTCCAGTCGTTATCTCACTAGATGCCGTTATATCCGAAGATTTTGAGTATGACTTTTCTCATTAGTAGAAGTATCGCTGCAGGCCCTGCCATGAAAGATTTAACCGACGATGATTTATTCGAGAATAAAATGCATTTTATTTCATTTCCTTCTCCGAAACTACCGCTCACGAGCCAATCATCTCTTCGCTTCAGATCTTTGGGAGGACGTTTTCTCATCTAGGTAAGGGATTGGTATATTGAAAAATGAAGAGAATGCTTTAGCGGTTAGTTGAAACCATGATTTTTGAATATATTTTTGAACTATTGGTTAAAAATGTCTTTAAAGGAATACGTAGAATATAAGAGAGTAGATCATTCCTGTCTTATGGAATTCCGTGATAAAGAACTGACCATTGGTCAGCAAGTTTCTTTATTTATGCATGTAATTGTTAAATTTATGCTTGGCCTTATACATATATATATATATATATTATTATTATTAGTATCACTATGATATATACTTGACCTACAAGGGCAGAGCTGTAAGGCTCAACGATTGTGCTGATTTAGGCTAGGGGGGTCTCAGCCAAAGAGAGAGAACACCATCTAATATTTGTATATATGGATAAGATCCATGATCGAGGCTTGGTCTGGATATATATCAATCTTGGTGTTATAATTAAATGCGATAACTCTCTCACTTGCAGAGGAGGGACATGGACCCGGTAAGTTAGTCAGTCGATAAAGGCTTTATAATGACAGCTTGTACTCCATAATATAAAATAAAGAGTTATTTGCACTTTTATTATTAGGTAATGGCACATATCACATGTCCCACAGAATATATCACGGTATCCAGCTTGTGGGTTTGAACTAACGTCGGCATCGACTAACACAACCCCAGACTGATGCCGTTGTCAGAATACGAAACTAGCGCGAGTCCTCGGAGCAAAACAGAATTTCCGTATCCGAGTGGACTTCAGGGATCTCGACCCTCTCATGAAAGATAATGGGAGTACTATGTGGAAGAAGAATGACGACGAACAGGCTACCGGCAAGGCCATGCGCCATATTCATGTTCTCCCCGCCGGCTGTCTTGATAAAAATGTGTCAAATTATACCTTAGCATCTCTGAAATAGCCATTTGAACGAGGGCCGGGGGGCAGCAACACGCAATCATTGCAGGACGACGACGGAGCCGGCCGATGATGGTCTAACTATTTCGATGCCGTAATACACATGGCACGCTGGCGTCTAACTCTTCTTTACCATGTCGTTAGTGCTCGATGCCGTTGAAATCCTCGTTTGCCTGGGCAGATATAGTGATACGCGGAGTACTCCGCGCTCTTACAAAAGATCTCGACTAAGATTGCCACCACCAGCTCTAGTGCCCGGAAGCTTGACCGACGCAATTTTTTTCCCAGCCAACTGGGAGCGACTTACCCACCGAATATCGGATAGCCGTGCCGTAGTGCGGTGCTATTATCCTCTTAGCCTTCGAATTTTAGCCACTAGTGCCCAATTTGATATCAACTGGAGATGAATAAATGAAGTGAGGATTTATGAGAGATAGCTGCATTGAAAGATCTTTGAGATAGGCATGAAACAGAGCGATAGGCTGCAGCATGATATCTAGCCGCCGGAAGAACATGTCCGTGCCATTCAGTACATGCAGAGTAGTCCAGTCCAGTCCACAGAGCAGCTTACGGAGCAGAGGTATTTGCCATACATTCCGTGGCCCCTCGATGGGCGAGAGTAAGACAATGGTAGCACCGCGTTCCTCGTACTCCACCCCGCAATGCCAATGACTAGCGTACGTCTCATACTCATCCCAGTATGTGCTCCGTAACGTGGCAAGGGTCCAGCTTTCTGAACTCGCTACGGGAAAGGCAGCTCCGCTCTACTAGCTGGCCAGGGACAGACTCAGTAGTGCATGAAGATAAGCCTACTTTGTGCCATCTTTAAAAGGTCGCGTGAGGTGGCGCGCAAAAGGCACCGCTAAAAACTGGGACCCCACGGCCCGTCTTATCTGGAGAGAGAAGAAGAAGAAGAAGAAGAAAAAAAAATATTGTTAAAAAGGTACGGCTCCGCACCCATCCAAGGCTCCAGCAGGAGAAAAAGTGCACACCTGCAACTATTTCCCCCAGAGTGCTGCGGCCGGACAACTCACAGGATGGAGTACGACCCAGAGATTGGCCACAGGCCAGCTGGCCATCATGTTGACGAAAAAGATCCCGTGGCCAATGTTTCTGACGACACTTCTACGGAGCTGGCTACTGGACCATCAAGCGGGCTGCTGTTCCGTCTTCGCAAGCTAGAGGCGCATATGGACAAGAAGCTTGGAATCGAATCTGAAGCCATCAACCGCAAACTGGAGGAAGACAAAAAGCCAGTCCCATGGATCGAGGAACTGACAATGGCCCTGCTCTGGGCTAGCGGGACTATGAATACGTCTTGCTTTGCGACTGGCTTCCTCGGCGCCCAGTTTGGCTTGAGCCTCAAACAGGCCATTGTTGTTACAATCTTTGCTTCGATCCTTGGTGGCGCCATCACCGGCTACTGTGCGACTTTTGGAGCCGCGACCGGATTACGACAGATCAGTGTGAGCCGATACAGCTTTGGCTGGTGGCCAAACAAAGTCATTGCGCTGCTCAACAGTATCCAGCAGATGGGCTGGGCGGCAGTGTCGTGTATCACAGGGGGTCTGGCCTTGACTGCCGTGTCTGACGGCCATGTCTCACTAATCCTTGGTATCGTCATTCTGGCTGTCGTTGCTCTCGTCATATCATTCATTGGTTTGAATGCTATTCTGGTGTATGAGAGATATGCCTGGATCATCTTTTTCGTTATTTTCCTCATCATCTTCGGCGAAACTGGCAAATATGCGGACAACTCTTCGCCTCCGACTGCCACTGGATCTACACTTACTGGTGCCGTCCTCAGCTTGTTGGCCATTGTGTATGGCTCAAGCGCTTCCTGGTGCACCATGGTCAGCGACTATTACGTTCACTATCCGGCGAATGTTAGCCGGCTCAAGGTCTTCCTCATGACTACCTTTGGCATTGCAATTCCAACCTCTATCGGTATGGTTGCTGGCTGTGTTGTTGCCTCAGCTCTGGGCTCCAAGCCTGACTGGGCGGCTGCATATGAGGAAGGACTAGGCTATCTGATCCAAACTATGCTCTATCCGAGAGGATTTGCCAAGTTCCTGCTTACCCTGCTCGTGCTCTCTGGCATCAACACCAACGTTATCAGCATTTACAGTGCTGCTATTTCGTTTCAGCAATTATCACGACCCTTTGCTCTCGTTCCGCGGTTTATCTGGACCATATTCTGCTTTCTCTGCATTCTGGCTTTAGCTCTTGGTGGCAGAGAGCAGCTGAATGCTTACCTGCAGAACTTTTTGAGTCTTCTTGGATATTGGTGCACGAGCTATGGTGTCATCTTGTTTGAGGAGCACTTCATCTTCCGAAAAGGCAACTTTGACAACTATGACCTGGAAGGCTGGAATGACCCTGCACGACTACCCGTGGGTATTGGAGCCTCCATTGCTTTTCTTCTTGGTGTAATTTGCTGGTGCATGGGTATGGATGAAACGTGGTTCGTTGGACCTCTCGCGAAACTCATTGGCGAGTATGGTGGTGATGTTGCCAACGAGTTTACCTTTGTGGTAACAGCAATTACCTACGTACCAGCGAGGTATCTTGAGCTGAAGTATATCGGCCGGTAAAGTGGCTGATGTGTAAATACAATGGCGGCTGCGCTTATATATTCAACTCTTTTATGACATAACCCTCTTCTACCTTGGAGACAAAACCCCTTCAAGAGGTCAAAATAATACAGTATTTAATGATAATAATTAAAAATTGATGAACAAAATCTTGTGTATTGCGGCCGTGTTCTAGTCTCTTGATCAGATAGCCATGGGGCTTGGTAAACAGTGAACTGGAGTCCTCAGCACGAGATGTATACTTGCGGTTGGTCAATATACAAGGCTATTCTATCGCAAATAATAGCAGTGATATTTATCGCTATTAGTATTAATAGTGAAACCATCTTAAGTGAAATTTGAACATAACTATGGTTGTAAATCAGCAGCGAATTGTTTTCCTCAGCAAGCAGCTGCAGTAAGCGAAACGGGCGTAACTACATAAACCAGTCAACAGAGCTTATTAGGGCGGAAACGGTAGTTAGCGAGCATTTAGTAGTAACCGGCCTGGATTGCCATTGTGTGGATGAAAGTGAAACACCGCACCAGACGAAATCTACATTACACTTGGTCCAATTGATCATATTTATGTCACATTCATTTATCATTGAACGCAATACTTCTATATTTTCGGCATGTAATAAAAGATGTAACTTTGAAGATTTTTAGGAATTGCTTCTATTCTTCTGAAACACATTATGTAAAGCCACTTTCATCAAAGTATTCAATATGACATTTAAGAGCTGGCTGAGACGCAGTTTATATCCAGAAGGCTATCATCCATGTTGGTACAGATCCATTGAGGCGTTTTGCCACTGGGATTAGCCACCGAGATATTTTGAGCAGCAATGTTTATACATTTCTTTAAGGTATTATGTTAACTCAGGTCTATTTCACTTTCAATGTCTGGGTACTTACCTCGGGAGATGAGCATGTCAGGGTCCCCACGTCAGGATCATGTTTGGACGATGTTGTTCCCCACATGTTTTTAAATAAGACATCGCTGATGGTCATGTTGGAAGGATACTTATCGCAAATACTCTGGTTGCTTTGGCCATAGCACTGGTTGATCTCGATAGCCCAATCGTTGTTGTCGTTGTAAAACGAGTCATAAGTGACATTTTTCACGTATCCCGCTCCTCCGCCTCCTGATAGGCCAGGTTGAAATGGAGTATCTGTACCAGGCCATACCTTAATACGAGCGCCGTCGCTAGCATTGGACATTGAGATGTTGTATACGTATACGTTCTCAACTATGTCGTATTCTGCGGGATATTGACCAAGAGAGCCGACTGAGATGCCGTGTGAGCCATTGCACTGCAAGCCTTGGACGATGATATTGGTGCTGTTGGGCTTGAAAGACACGCAGTCATCGCTGTTATTAACATGCGAGTTTTGTATAACGACGCGATTGCTTCTAAAAGTGTCCCATCCATCACCGTTCTTGGCCGGATTGCTGCTCTCGCTACGCACTGCGATATCAATATCGCTGACAAGGATATCGGTGCTATTAGCGATAAGGTTAAACCACTGTATGCAGTCAGTGACTTCTTTCTTTCTCTGTATACGTACATTTACTTACATCAGGAGAGTTTCGCATTTTGAGGCCCGTGACAGAACCTGATTTGAGTCCGTCTAGAACAAACAGGATAGGTCGCAAAAGAGTAGGATTAGTTGCAAATGCATCATACCAAGCCTGGCCGTTTCCGTCAATTAAACCGTGTCCCCCTCCGTAGATGTTGACATCCTTCCCTCCAAAACGCCAAAAGGCCGATGAATTTTGGAAGGCATACTTGAATGAGTTCACCACCCAATAGTCAATGTCGTCGGAAAATTTTATGGTGCCGGTGAGAACAACATCTACAGCCTCCAGAAATGTAAGATCCAGAGGGGAAGCAATAGTGTAACTGCCATCCAGTACCACGCGGCCACCTCTATTACATTCTTTGAAGGCTTTGAAAATCTCGGGAGCATTGTCGATATTCTTTTGGTTCTTAGGATGAGAAGAGCTTGAAACATGACATGTCTTGTGGCGATTAGGAGAGTGTGGGAACGGCCGCCCTGGCGTTTTGGGGCCCCATTGAAGCTTTGGTCTTTCAAGTATAGTCTTATGGGCATCAATGGGATACACTGAAAGAAATAGAGCTCCCCAAAACACTAGTTTGCTGAGAATAGCCATTTTGCTAGCTGTCACTAGGACAAGAGAAGATGATGACCAGCATAAGCATAGAGAGGATGTCGGATGCTAAATATCGCCATGATATATATATATATATATATATATATATATATTCATAGGAAGTTATAACGGATCACCAACGTTTAAAGACCCGACTCGATTCATCCGGCTATTCAGCTTAGCCTCACGCTAGGTTACTGGGCATTGAGGATCCGGCTATGGTTCATCTCCAATCTTAATGCGGAGAAGTGGACCATCCTCTGCAATGCGGCAGCAAAGACAGGTTTTGAGTGGAGCGGCTATCAGATAGGTGTGGCATCTATGCAGAGTAATTGATTACACAAGATACTAGGGAGTACCGCTGTGATTGCTGTTGGTTGATGAAGATCTTTTGTAACAATAGTGGAGAGAATAATGATCACAGAAGTCACAGAAGCGGCTAGAAAACAGATGACTATTTTAAATCTAGTTGAAAATAGCGGTGAAGCCAATAGCTTGCGAGGTGCCTCTCCACAGAATGGTAAGAGAAAGTGATAGTTGAAACCATAGAGAAAGAGTGGTTGGTGGAAAAATAAAAGTGTGACAGTTTTCTCAATGAGATCGTAAAGTCCTGAATACCAAGGATTAGATGGGAGATTTGAGCAGATGCTTATCAAACTAGCCGACAATATTGACGGAGCTATGAAAGGTTTCCTTCTTTAATTTGGCGTACCACAGTCTTTATATCGGCACGTTGCCGTATCAAGCGATAAACTGCCTGAGATTCCTCCTCCGGCATATTTTTAACAGCATTGAAGAAATACTGATACTCGAGACCCTTCTTCCTCTCCTCTAGGAGATTTCTCATTAGCACTTCTGTTTCAATCTCAGCAGATGCATAATGACAATTGATATCTTGCTGAGCACATGAGAGACATCTGGGCTGGTCTCCGCTACACTAAAAAGATAGATTAGTTTGGCTACAGCCTTGGAAGATAGACAGGCAATGAGAGGACAAAAATCGAGTATACTTCTGTTTTGCTCATCTGGCAGGCTTCACATGAAGCATTTACGCCATTGCGTCGGGGGAGCGTATGATCCTGGAGTAGATTGTTGGCGGAAGCAGAGCTCGAGTCTGAATTAGGCGCGGGCTGGCCCGGATCTGGGGCGCTTTCGTGGGACGTGTCACGCTGCATCGTAATGCTGCGGTAAGGCTATTCGTAGTGTAGTGGGAGCAAGATATATCGTATATCGAACAAAAGACGGTAGCGCTGCCCAGAGTCAAAGTGATCAAGCCCAGATCGCGTGAGCTTTTCATCTAAGCAGCAGCACGTGCAACGAGCCAATCAGACGAAATAACGGCCGCTCTGAAATACCACGCCAGGGCGCGGAATGCCTCGGTGCATGCTTTACGAAGTATAGCATGAATGTGTTCCTTTAAAAAAAAAAAGGACCATCCTCATCATGAATTTTTCAGCGCTGCCACGCAACCTTTAGTTGGTATAAGGTAGTATATGTGCATGAGAGACAGATTCTGATGGTGTGGCCGATTTCACAATCGCCAGTTTGTAGATCGCATATTTTACAAGCATCCTATATTAATTGCTCTTTAGATGCCCCGGTGCACTGCGCGGCTCGAAACGTACATTTTTATCCAATACATGTGTTTAAAACTTATCATTAAAGCAAAATCAGCTATGCATATTCCTTGTATACCATTAATCACTTATGATGTTCATCATCTAGAAGCAAGCATACTGTAGCTACATCTTATCATTGCACATCTTTGTTGGACAAACAATTCACAAATCTGGTAAATCAGCGTCAGGGCTGAGAACATGCACAATGTAGGTGCCAGTAAATTAACAGAAATCAGCTATAGAACTCAAAATGGCTATGGAACAACTCAGCCTAATGGAGCTATTGCAATCGATATAAGCTAAATGTCCATATGCTGTAACAGTTAAAGACGACGATGCCATATCAAAATGGAGCACGCAAAGTAATGTCCTTGCATAAAATACAACTGATCTCTACCGTGGCCCGAAGTTTTTTGACAAGTACTAGGCGTAGCCTGTATCTGGAACAGTGTTTTGATGCTACATCTGTCTCAAGAGAATGGTAATGTATGAGATACTCCCCATAAATGACATTTCAGGGCAGGAGTGTAAGCAACATGAGGCGAGAGCAAGACCTCAAGGAGTTGGTCTCATTGGCTTATGCTTGCTGGGCCGTCGCAACAGTTCCGTTGAATTCTTTCTCCATTTCAATGAAGCACATGTCTTCGGGTAGTGCCATACTGATGAACCGTTCGCGAGGAAATGGCGACGTCTCGCCCGTCTTCTGATAGCCTTGGCGCATGTACCACTCGATAAGGGCCTTGCGTATCGAAAGTGCGTTTAGCGAGAATTTTTCAGCTCCCCAAACCCGTCGGCAGTATGCTTCAGCGTAAGCAAGAACCAGTCGCCCAACACCACTGCGCTGATAACGGTCGCTAACTGCGATCATAGAGAGGCGGCCACAGTTACCGTCGCGCTTAGAGACCTCGATGGATGCGACCAGGCTATTGTCGTTGTCCAGAGCCATCAGGATAGTATTTTCCGGGTTGGCAATCTTGGAAGCCACTTCCTCGACATCAATTCGAAAACTGGATGCGAGCTCTGCATCGCCAGTCCAGTCGGATCTGCTATCCTCGGTGCGAAACGCAGATTGAACCAGTTGCTGAATCTGCTCCGCATCCTCTGGAGTCGCCGTACGGAATTGAAGGCTGAGAGATGCCATGCTGTAAGAAAGATGGGTCACAAGTGGATGTTTATCGAGCATTTGCGAGCGTGATACTGAAAACAATCGCTGCCGTTTGATATGTGGCCTCTTGAACCTACACTTGGCCAATACTTTATACTTTTTTCTTTCTTTCTCATGGCATATTCCATCGTGCTACGAAGTGCTGAGCCTTACAGCCTTTGACTTGTTCAAGTAAGGGCGCTAATGACTCCGCAGGGCTTAACCATGAGCTCTCCCGGTTCAATATCAGCTGACCTGCCAGGCTTCCATTTTGTAGTACTTCCCTTCCCCTTGAAACAAATTCTGTCCAGTTTCTATTGCATGCTGGATGAAAGGCGTGCAAAAGGCGCGAAATAGTACTAAGCACATGCGTTAATACTCAACATGCGCGCGCCTTTGCTAGGTGTTAGAAACAATAGTTTTAGAAACTAGTTTTCTTGCACAACACACTGCATACGTATATAGAAGATAATAACTGACTATGTTAATTTTTATTCTAAACTACGTGTCTGATAATAGGAAAAAAAAAATAGAAATCTTTTTTTAAAATAACTTTTTAGCCATGTACATGTAAATACAATGTCTTTATTAAGTTGCCGAAACAATAAAAAAACTATTACTATTTAGCTTACTAGCTATCTAACTACAATTACTTGGCATTGTACCCCACTGTCTCAGCTAGCATAAAGGAAATAAAGGTTTATTCCCTTATGACCTATCCGATAGTTAAAAGGGAAGGGCAGAGTCTTACAGTAATAAGTTAGTATAATAAAAGTAGCCTAAATTAGTTGGACTTTATTCAAGCTAAGCTTTCAGATTCCTAACTGCGCTCGCCCCTGGCCTAGTGCTTTCCTAAAGAACCTCTAGGTAGGGAATAGCTCCAAAGTATCTCCATCTAGATAATTTAAAGAGACAGAGTATCACTGTTACCCAGGAATTACAAGGCACACTGGTCATCCAGAGTGGTTGAATTCATGGAGATACAACCAGCAATGCAAAGAGAATTTCCTGCAATAGTGCCGTTGGTGTCCACACAGCGGTAGAGGACCTGAAGCAGCTGGGTATCAGCGAGCGGAGGAATAATAGAAGTTTTGTTCACCGCGGTGGTTAACTCAGTGTTATTATACCCTTTAGTAGAGACGTTAATGGAGAATTTAGAGCGGACAGGTAAGGACTAATAAATACCGTAGGTAGCAATCATCGTATAACCACACGTGTATCCTTGATAAATACAAGGGGTAGTAAAACCCAGGACCGCAGGCGAAAATGCAAGCATCGCTGCCAAATTAGTAAGAGTGAGTTGGAACATCATTTTCGATCTGGGAACAAAAGTGGGTGTAAGACTAGAAAATAGTTTAATAAGTAAATAAATAGATAGGTCTCGTAGTTGCTTGTTGATGCAATTCGATACCCATTATCAGGGCACAAGCAAACCTTATATGCCTGTTGCTGGAATGAAGGTCTGGTGGTTTTGAATCTATACTAAGACAGGAGGGGTTCTATAACCCCCTGTAGCTAGAAATATCATACGATTTCTGCTTGTAATAGTATTAGCATTGACTAATACAAGTCTTTACATTCCTATGTATGCAGTTAAGAAGAAAATCTTGGGATTGATAAATTATTACTATTACAATATCTATTTTCCTTATACGGAGTAGTATCTAGGTATATTATAATTAGCCACATACTCTTAAGTTTGCATATTTGTCTTGTTTTCCCGCTGTCTTGAACTTCTAGACTTATAACCTCATGTACATTCCAGAACCGAAACTGCGGCTTAGTTACTTACCCTTCTTAATTAGCATTTATTCCTATTGATTAGCCAGATATTTTCTATACCTTAGTATTAGAGGAGCATGCTGTTAATACAGCTTAATTGCAGACAGCTACTTAGAATTAATTTCAAGGTTAAGTTGTTATAAATTACTAGTAACAAATTACTTATTACATAAAGTCCTCTCTGCAAGTAATATAAAATATAGCCAGTTCATAGATTGCAATACTGAAATTGTAAAGCTATGTAGTCTATATATATACAAGCTACATGCATAAGCTAAGACAGTAATTTGACTAGAGTATAGCACATGAATTAACTATTCTTATGCTTTCGATTTGTTTTTATATTGTCTTCATTCCTAAAAAAACTATTATCTAATACTAAATGTAAAACATCATACCACTCTCAAACTAATATTTACTCACCAAAAGAAGTAAGGAAGTACTATACTATAACAGTTAAATCTTATAAATATTTCTAAGGCTCCTACGTTCTAGAGTAAAATATTAAAATGCTTATTTTATTCAACAGTAATTTAATATTTCCTTTATTTTTCAGATTTTTACTCGATGGTAAAACATCAAGTAAAAGTCATTCATAATGTGGATCCAGGCTAAAATTTTCACGGTTGTTTTTTTGGATTTATTAAGCCTTGCCGCGTGTTCAACTACATTACATCCTACAAATAGCCCATATAGTATTACTCCCAGCATTGTATCACACGTACAAATACGTTTGACTAGCAAGTTACTTACATTTTTATAGGTCAGCGGGCTCCCAAAGCAGCTATTCGTGCTTGTCGACATCGTCCAATAGCTCCTCAGGCTCCTCAGGGTCCTCACAGTGTACAGTATCTGCAAGGTCAAGAAACCTCCAAAGGCGCCACAATCAAAATCGGTCCTCCAGGCCCTCATGGTCTACAAGATCCTCAACGTTCTCAAGACTTACAAAATCTGCAAATTCCGCAAGTTCCCAATGAAGACACAATCGGCCCTCAAGAGCTTCACGGCCTGCAGGGTTCAAAAGGTCGGCAGCATTTACAAAATTCCAAGGGAAACACAGGAAACAATAGTACAATAGGCCATCAAGACCCGCAAGTTCTACAAGGTCTGCAAGACTCACAAGGTCGGCAAGACTCACAAGGTCTGCAAGACTCACAAGGTCTGCAGTTTTTACAAGACCTTAAGGGAAACACAGGAAACAAAAGTACAATAGGTCATCAAGACCCGCAAGTTCTACAAGATCTGCAGGGCTCACAAGGTCTGCAGTATTTACAAGATCTTAAGGGAAACGCAGGAAATAAAAATACAACAGGTTCTCTAGGCCCGCAAGTTGCCAAGGGAGCTACAGGTACAACAGGTCCTCAAGGTCTAGAGGGTTCACAAAATCGGCAGCATTTACAAGATGCTAAGGGAACCACAGGAAACGGAAGTACACTAGGCCTTCAAGACCTGCAAGTTCTACAAGGCTTGCCGGGTCCTCAAGGTCTTCCAGGTCCTAAGGGAGATACAGGGGCGGCAGGTGAAACGGGTCCTCAGGGTCTTCAAGGCCTTCCAAGTCCAAAAGGAGATATGGTCGCAACAAATACAACAGGCGCAACAGGCCCTCAAGTTCTTCAAGATCTTCAAGGTCTTCCAAGTCCAAAAGGAGATACAGTCGCAATAAATACAACAGACGCAACAGTTGCAATAAATACAACAAATACAACAAATACAACAGATGCAACAGTCGCAACAAATACAACAGTTGCAACGAATACAACAAATACAACAGACGCAATAAATACAACAGACGCAACAGTCACAATAGACGCAACAGTCGAAACAGACGCAACAGTCGCAACA